GTCTGACCCTGCTTGTATATATACTGGGGTCGTCTGGGTTTACACCCCCAGACTTATCTACCTTCGTCAATACTCGATACACTTGACTGCAGCTGCGACTTCCCCTACAAGTCCAGTTCACCTATTATAGTCTGCGACCTCCATTACTTCGCCTTATCCAACATAAGCAAGTAAGACACTTTGGACTTCGCCTGATATTGGGTCTTCGTGACAGGCGGCGTGGTCTGTCATCATCAGACGAGTCATCGGGGGGACCTGGAGGCGGAGGGCCGCTTGCATTGGTATGTCGCTGGCCATTATGGGCATTATGCGGTTGCTGAGCATTGTACTGAGCTTGGATACGTGCCCAGATACGATCAGCTTCCGAGTTCGGCATACGGTGCAGTATCTGACCATCTTCCGGTGGCAGCGGGTGCTCCTGATCATTGATAATTGCAGGTCCACCTTCTCCGGCAGCAACATCGCCATGCGCACGATGTTGTTGGACCTCCTCGCTCAACATGTGAGGGGGCATGTCACGTTGTTGCTCCTGCTCGGCTGAAGCATTGCCTGCAGGTTGGGCTGGACGATCACCATCATAATCTAACCGATCCTCTGGCACAGATGGTCGGAAACGTTCTCGGGGAATTTCTGATGGTCCTGTCTGTGGCAAGTCAGACATAGGCAGCCGTTGATGAAAGCTGGTCATGGTTTCATCAAAGTGCTTGGTGAGAAGCCGTGCATGCGATCTCATAGCATCGTGACTCTTGACCGCTGACTCAAACTCACGTCTGGACCTTGCTAGATAGGATTTCATCTTCGTTAGATGCTTGTCTGTGAGCATGACATCCTTCTGCATCTCCATCAGTTGGCTGTGCACCTCACGAGTATACTCTTTAAGAGCATTCATGCGACATTCCCTGGCCGCCTCAGGATCTTCTGGCGGTGGGGTTTCATGCACAGGCGGTTCAGGTGGAGGCTCCTCAACATTTTCGGAAGGGGTCTCCCCACCGTCTATGACTGGTTCCTGTGCATCGTCGCATTCATTTGACAGCGGCCGATGCTCAGGGCGAGGTGTCACCAATGGGTCAGACGCCAAGGGTGCGTATAGTTCTTCAACCTCTGGAGGGACCTGCACTGATCCCTCGGGTGCAACTTCAACAGGTTCATGATCCTCTGTGCGAGTACGACTGGTCATCACACGTCTGCTCGGCGGTCGGGTCGATGCTCTGGAATTTGCACGACTGGCTCGCGAGGAGGCGGTGGAGGTTGCTCTCGATGTCGTAGCTCTTTTCGACATGAGTAGACCAGGTGAGTAAGTTTTTTCGTCAGAGACGGGGTTTTTTGGGGGGCCAATACAGACTTTGTCGTCCAATGTGAACAACGGCGAGGGTTTAAAAATGTATAAGGGCTTTGCCTGTGGCCTTAGCACACACGATGTAAACCGAATCGAGCCGTGTATTGGCAAGCGAGAGTACAGCGTGAAAGAGTAAGACCAGGACTATCTACAGCAGAGCGTAGGTTTTTCTGTCACCCTCGGCTAATTCCGAGTGGCTGCTAGTAGTGGCGGTGGCTGCCGCCTTTTGGTCCAAGACACCCTTACAGCAACTGCATTGTACGGGGCAGCTCATGAGCTGCCCTCTTGCTGCAAACTTGACGTCGAGGTCATTTGTGGCCAAGATGAGGTGATCAACACCAGAGAAAGGTCAGTCTGTGGTGATCACAGATAGCTGGAATACGGTGCTTCGCTTGGACGTGTGTGCGTGATAAATTGGAGCCACGAGAGAAATTTGGATGATCAGAAAAGCTGGACCTGCCGATGATCAAGTAAAGACCCAATGACCGATCAGAACCGTCGGAATGGATAGCTAACAATGAGTCGGCTCTCCTTTCACAGTGCTTTCATATATCACGCATTCTATACCAGCATCAATCATTCAATCATGCATCCGACGCGCGAGCTTCCGTCGTGCTATGAAAGGGGAATCGAGGCGCCATTAGGAAGCACGAATGTCCGGCTATGAGATTGAGTTCGTTCCAGCGTTCGCGACAAAAGCAGGCTGGGCGCAGATCGACAACGAGCATAGCCTGGAGGCCATGTCCCCAACAATCAGAGTTCCATGCATGTGCAATGCAGAGATGAGTACATGTCTCGTTTCTGAATGTCCCGACGAAGCTGGTAAGAGGACGTCCATATGAGCATGCTGATTGGAGGTCGAACTCTACCATCGTCATTCTCCGACCAGCGCCGGAGCACCCAACAAGCGCAGATCAGCCTGATGGAACGGCTTTCCCGGGAGGTGCTCTGGGTCAGCATTACATGACAGAAACCCTTGCGACACAAGGCGGGCAGTGAGCTACCGTTTGACGGCTTCACATGGAACCCATGTACAAGGCCGCATCGTGTGCCCCGAATAGTCCAGTTCATCGGTGTTGATGCTGACGTGAAAGGTCACCGGTAGAGCGTCATTGACGCAAGGACTATGCAAGGACAGCCAAGGACACAATAGATTCAAGTTGCCTTTGATCAGATGCGCTCGGTGCTACGATAGAGCAATTCTGATTGATCGGACGCACTCGTACACGTGGTGACCGCCACACAGGCGTGTCTCCTCAGGCTTGAGCTTGAGCTTGATCATCAGGTTAACATGCATTATAAGGAAGGCTGAACAGACAGGATGTCTGTGAGTTGATAAAGGCGTTCTATTGACTCAACAAGCCAAATCTCAAAGAAAGCGGATAAAATAAAATCGAACGCATGACGGAATCACCAGCTCTTCACAACCACGCAACTTCACCGAGAGGAGACTCGAGAGCATTCTGATTGTGGCTATGGGACCGGACGTTCAAGATATAATTGAATCTTTGCATCATCTACGCTCCCTGTGCAGTTCGCCTGCAGCACTGGTCTCTATTGAGATATTGAATGCGGCCGCTGAAATGCGGAGGAACCAATAGCACAAAAGAGCTCGATCAAGTGAGGTGAGATTTATTATGAATGGCAGCGCAATAAATTTGACCGGAAAGTCATGCGCTGGCACTGCGGAACTGCTTTTCTGACGATATCTTTTGTTATGATCGCATCGTATGGGCAATGATGGTCGAGTACCGAGCCCAGCTTTCGACTTCACCGTCGACATGGGGTCACACTGCCCAACTGAGGCGTGATATGCGTGTCACTCAAACGACACATTGCGAGCAAGAGATGAGCACAGCCGCGTCTCATGAGAAAGCTGATGAGCTGTCCACTCACCTTCACACAGACGCCTCAGGGGAACTTGATGTCGAGGCAGTCCATGGACAGTGCGACGTGATTGGCGCTAGCGAAGAGATCCAGTTGTGATCGTACGTAGCTCGAATTGAGCGCTTTGCGTGGATGATAATGCATGATACGATGGAGTTACGAGAAAAATGTGACTACTCAGAATGGCTGGGCTGGCAGGTAACCAAGCGAGATTTCGTGACTGATCAGCATCGAAATGGATAGCTTACAAGAAAGAGACCTCATACCATATTTTCGCACCTTGTCGGTAGGCTAGATTTCGTACAGATTGCCCATTGTCATATCGGCGTCAATATGCCCCTTGTCAACCCAGACGCGCATCCGACGTGCGAGTTCACGATTGCACAATGAAGATGAAGGCAAACCAGCGCCCAGTGAGAAAGCGCAGATGCCCGATTATACGGTTGACTTGTCCCGGCGCTCATAACAACGGCAGCCTTTTCACATTTTGACAGCCAGCAAAAGCTGAAGGGAGGCCTTCAGAATTAGAGCTGCATGCACACAGAGTGCATACGGGGGCATTGTACGAAAGCATGTCCAGATCAGCATCGCAGCGCCCATTGAGAGAACGATGGATTGAATGGCTTCCGTGGGGACATGCTGGGTCGGCGTTGGACGACAGTAACTTTTGTGACACGAGGACGAACTGCGCTACTGATTGACGGCCTCAGCTCGGACTGTTGCTGGCAGAGAGCACAGCGAGTTTGTCGAATCACAACGCCGAATAAGATACCTGAACAGCCCTGTTCATCGACACCGACCTCAAACATCACCCGTGAGAGCACCGCCCGCATTGATCGCAAGAATAGCCCAGTTCACAGCAGATCGAAGGTGTCTTGCAAAATGAAACGGACTTGAGCGACCGAGCGCTGACAGATGTATCGAGGTACAAAGCAACGGTACCGTATGTTTTGACCAGTGGATGATATATGATGCATAGAGTGAGGTGGAAAGAGGTGATAAAACAGATTCTACGGACTCACTGAACTGAGACTATACGTAAGGCTGCATTGTTTAAGGTTTTTTCTAAGCCTGATTGTTTGGTTGTGGAGAGGCCTATGGACATGTCTAGAACTTGAAGGGAGTAGGTTAAACACTTGCTGAACCGTTCGCCGAGCCTTTCGCTGCTCGACGCAATGTAAGACTTTGATGAGGCGACGTACCGACGTTTGGCATCAGCACGGGTAAATGTGCTGGGAGGATCCTCTGTGAAGCTTGCCTCGCACTATGCGAATCCGGGAGTGGATCTTGAAGCTCGCATTGGGAATATGTTCGTCTCTAAGAACCGGGTCATACATAATTCAAATGGCTCGTTTCAAATCTCTCTGTGTGCAGAGCCCTGGCTATTTCAGTAGTCGCTCTGAGCGAGCCCCGAAAGCATAGATGTCTCTCACCTGTCGGTGCAGCGCACAGCCCGGAATGAACGAAGTCGACCCGTCTGTGTGTGAGCGGTCGGACTCCCGCGTTCCACGTGGCAGAATGATCGGGCGCTCCCGCACCATTTCCACGCCACAACCGCGTCTTCTGCAACGGCCATCCAAGCTCAAGTGCCGCGCTGCAGAAGGTACGATATCCGAATCATGATCAGGCTCCCGTAGTGAAGATACGGTAGTCAAGGCATGCTGTTATCCCGTCATGTTAGCGGCAAACTCCGTCATCATGCCTTTCGTCTTCCTTTGTTAACGATTGACTTGGAACAGAGCACTCACTCAAAAACTGAATTATTGATCTTGTCTCCAGAATCAAATCGTCAATAAGCATTCCACAATTTTTCGCATACTTCGGTATTTCTCATGCGAGCATCTGACCATGAGGAATACTCTACCCTCACTTCTGCGTGTCCCCTGTACGCATGCTACGTTTATCTGTGACTCGGCTGAACGTTGCCATGAGATTCGTCTGATCCTTCCTGTGATGCAGCCCATTCGTTGTGTTGCAACTTTGACATCACAGCGACTGACCAACAACACAGCCCCTTCTCATGATCTCATATCATATGAGCCGAGCGACCCGTCCATTCCGACGTGCATGTCTCGTTCAGTTGCTGTTTTACTCATGCAGGCATGATGGAGTCACGAGTTTTGAGCCGCTATTCACTTGAAGACCCCGTCGCAGGTGAGCTGGCTCACACCGCATGTTGATATGCGGGTGATGTAACGTTATCTCGTGACGGAATATGGCGTTTATAAACAGGCTGACGGTCCATCACCTTAAGTCGACCTTTATTTTCCCTAGTCAGGCATGTCTGCCGCCGCCTCTGAAGCAAGCAACCTGTTGGACAGTTCGTGCGTCTCTTCTTCAGATTTCTGGAGTTGTACTGCATTGAACGATGTATTATCAGCTTTACAGAAGACTATGCTGTTGTCGCCGGCGCAGGCAAGTCGCGCATTTGTTTTGCTTGATACTGGCTGATCATTGACGACTTTTTCTCAAATAGCGCTCATATTGTTCGACCATGCCATCACATTCGGCCAGGAGGTCGAGCTGTTCTGGGGCGAGAGATCGTTCTCTGCGTGGCTGTTCTTTGCCAATCGGATGCTTGCATTGAGTTATGCGATCATTTCCGTTTGGTCGCTCATTAACTTTGACACAGTAACGGTGCGTGAATCAACATTGTCTCGTCTGGATATGACTTCGACTTACAAATATTGTAGAGGCAAGTTATTCCCTGTTGTCACCTTTATTCGTGTCTGATTTTTCTTATGTTGTAGTTGTATGGCAAACTTTGTGACGAGCAATCTGCTTCCCATACTGATTGGAATAATCTCACAAGGTAGGCTGGCATGCTTTGTGACACATCATCACAGCTCAAGCATAGCCAAGTGGTTACAATATTGCGAGTAAATGCCGTATTGCGAGTAAACGCCGTAACGGGTGGCAGCCGATGGCCCGTTATGCTCCTCACACTGCCTGCGGTCTTCAATGTGGTCGCAAACATCTACATCGGTATGATTCCTCCTGAAAAGGACATATTCTTGATTTGCTTATGTTAAATTCATGGGAAGCCTTCATCCAATCGTCATATTCTGTGGTTTGGGTTGATAGGACAGCTATATGCATCCAGTCCAGCAGTTCCAGTTCAGTACAAGATACTGATTCAAAGTACGTAAGCCGGCATCTTTAGTAAATTCGTACTTGCTTATCTGTTTTACCATAGACGTGAGTCCGAACTCAGGGATGCTTTCCTCCACTCTCCTTTGACAATCGCACTGCAGTGGAAATAGTCAATGGCGTCTGTGTTGCAATTATCGCCATCATGACGCTCGCAATTCTCTGGCGCGGGCTGTATGTCCACCATAGACTAGCCACCATTGATATCCTGTCTCCGAGGAATCCGTCGCTTGCGGCTCTACTGCTCAGGGACGGTACGGCTATCAGACCATGACTATGGGTCTCTGAGCTCGAATAACATTTGCGTCCACTATATTCATAGGCACGATTCAATTGACGTGAGAAATGAAGTCGGACTCAATTTGGCAACGTCTAAAGCATATTATTCAGAACTGTGCTACTACTGAACTTAGTTACAATCGTAATGGACTTCTTGGACGTTGTAAGTGCATTCACCCCATTTCTTCTGCTAGATCCTAATTAATCTGTCGCATATGACTATGCACATGATAGAATGCTGCATATGTTGTCAGTTATTTGAATTACTAGTGAAGCAATCCTCTTACGTTTTCTCTGCCAATGACACACTGACATGTTTACAGACTCACTACCATTCTGATCTCTCGTGTCCTCCTCAATGTCCGAGCCGCAGCGCGGTCCACACGCGGAGAGCAGTCTCAAACGCCCTCCTTCGTCCGATCGCAGCGTGGGCTCGAGGCACAAGGGGACGTCGAGGACATGTCGTTCGAATTGAACATCCTTAGCAGCGCCAAACAAGCCCAGGGCACCCATCGCGCTTACCTGCAAGACTCTATGGAACATGATGAAATTATTGCCGAACCGCGCAGCACGGCGGACAATGTTTCCACTACCGGTGACGCTCAGGAGGACGTGAACGAAGAAGAGGGGATGGACGAAATCGAGGAAGAGATGCGGTCGGATGGGGAGAATGATGTGTGAGGGGAGAGAATGAGCCTCCAAGCCGAGCTGTCAGATTCACGGTGATTGTTGTTTGCTTTCTACTTGTAAGTGGCCTATGAGTCTTCGTACGCTCCATCTCATCCGGCTACGTTCGCAGATTTTTCCGCGCAACCTCAGCAGATGCATATCGTGCTATAGATCTTGTTTGACATTTGTTTTTGGTATGAACATCCGTACTACATAATCGTATCTGCAAATAATTCTTCACACGTCTGCTCTGGAATTCTCTACGCCCCGTCTACCTTAGACGAGCCATCGAGGTGTTGAACATGCACGTCGTACGTGCCACTCTACCCGTTGCTTAACAGATACTGTTTGCTACATGCCGCTCACTCGGATACACCCTACGAAGGCAAAGCAACGCCCCATCCACGCAGCGCAACAAACCAGGCCAACCTCATCGGTTCTTCTCCTCCTACTATATATACTCTTGCGCAGGTGACAATATCCTGACACCCAGCGGTTCCTCCGCCCCGCCAGCCCACGACTACCTCATTTAGTACACCTACCTCCCTCATCTTCAAAGACCAGTCCCGATAACCAGGCACATTTCTCAGCGTTTCATGCCACCGCGGTCTCGTCTCCATTTTTAGATCCTTCCTAAATTTCCAAGAACAAAGAGACCGACCGCTTGCTATGCACACCGTCGCCTCCCTATACCCAGCCGCTCCAGAGGTACACCGAATATTCCCCGCGTCGCGCGCCGGGACGACACCGCGTCACGCTTGTTCACCGATGCCCGAGCGGGCTCGGACATCCCGTATATGCACTGAAACATTCAATATGAATTTGTGGGACGGACGGTTTCTAAGTGGCCGATTGGCTTCCATGTGAGAGCGAACGGCGAGAAGTGTCGATATTGATGGCTGCCTGGATTTGTTCTATCATCTTCACTGCCTGAAGCGATTAGCAAGCAAGACGAGGTGTCGCTGAAAAATCTTCTACAATCCTGATATTCCGCTGTGGTGCACGCGAATCTGCGAGGATCCAGATTACTTCAGTGAGCACCTTCACGCTGATCGTAGATAATGAAGCAGTGTCAGAGAGCTGTCCGCTGGTACCTGATGTCATAGGTATGGACGGCGGATGGTTTGCATATATCCGAACACGTTCCCAACGTACAAAGACGATACCTATGACGGAAGTCTCGATCAACACACTGTTCTTCATTTCTTTCCTCCGCCGTGACTGGCACCAAAGTTGTCCAGTGCCTTAGAAATTCTCGTGCTTGAACCCATCCTTAAAATCCAAGTTCTACATACCATGTCTCACCAGCGCCCAATCCTCCCTGCCTCGGGCATCCGCTAGCTCAACTCACCTTCATGTAAATCATCCCCCTATCGTTTTCAGCCTACGCCCGGCGGCGACGGGGCCGCGACGTGCCTCGGGTCGTTTTGCGTCTCCTCCGAGCCCGTGCCCTGCGCCATGCAAACCCTCCGAGTTAGCTTGCAACAGCACCTCAGCATGTAAGATCACGCACATTGACGGCAGTCAGAATGCTCGCGGCGATGTCGTCCATATCTCCCGAGGCACCGGAGAGCGGAAATTGCGATGGCTTGGGCTCATAGTCGGGTGTGCTGCGAGTGCGGAGGTTCGGGTTATCCTTGGGCAGTTCGGGAACTGCGCCGGGCTGCTGTTGTGCATGTCGCAGTTGCCCTGGGATGTCAATTCGTGCGTTCAGCAAGGATTCCAACAAGGATAGAGAAAAGCAACTTGAAAGGAAACATACAGGAGGGAACCTCGGTGAGATTCTTGACCTCAGACGGGTTGCGCTTGCCGTGGATGCGAAACTGGGAAATAAATAAGGCCCGTCGCGACGATCGTCATCCCGGCGAATATCGTCTGTTCCCTTGCGCATGAGCGAGTAACCGTGCGAATCGCTCAAGCGAGGCTTACCTTGAAGCTCTGACGGACTGTGGCGGGGCGCGGGTGATCCGTGAGGCACGGTGATGGCTATCAGTCAAGCTGTGGTTCGCAGCAAGTGTTTGGAGGGAGTTGGAGAGGACGAAGGCGAGGGTGGCAACGAGCAAATTTCAGTCTAGCTAGAGCTCCTGGCAGTTCGGATTCGAACAGTGCTAGTGATATCTCTTCAGGGGCCGTTGATGCCTTCCGTGCACGGGAATCCCACACGCCAGATGGCCGGCATCGCGGAGCGTTCCGCAGCCAGACCTCGCCGGCTGCCCTGCCTGCGAGGAGAGAGGGCCCGACGACCGACGTCACCTGCCAAAAAGTCATCTGGCCTTCCTGTTTGGGCGCCGTCGCGGCGGCTTGGGAGAGCGGGGACGTAGGCGCGTGACATCATTGGCTGCCTATGGCAGGGCGCCGCGTCATGCGGGCGTGTGAGCTGACGGCGTCTGCGCTGGAAGTGGCTTGGGTGGCGTGGAGTTCGTACCTAGTGCAGCCGACGTCCCGCTTATTCTGGAGGCAAATCTACGGAAAGTCTGGAGTTAGCCACTGGGTCAAGTGCACATGGTGAGGTTGAAGGAGGAGGCGAAGCGACCAAGGTTCTACATCCAAGTTCCTCGCAGCTTCAGCGGACATGATCGCAACCGAAAACGCCCCGCGCATGGCACGCAACGCAGTCAGGGGCGGACCGCCGCGTGAATGGAAAGGACACTGACGACGAGTGCTTGTTGGACGACGATGGCGCAAAGTTAACCCTGCTGTCGGCGATCTCACCTTCGCGATCTCCAATTCTGCGCCTCATGCCATGTCCGACATGCTACAGCTTGCCGGAACACTGCAAGCACTTTCTCCAGCTGATCGAGACTTCCTCCTCAAGGTATTCGGAACTGGCTACGCACGCGCATACACCCTCCCAGACGCTTGGTGACATGGCCACAACCATGGAAATCACCATACACAGGCCGTTGTCTGCTGCGAGTGAGGGCCCTTTGGATCTTTCCCGGGACTGTGGCCTCGACGTGCCCTGGCCATCCTCGACTGTGAAGTGCACCGCGCATACATGAATGGCCCGGCGAGTTTCTCTACTGAGGACCTCACGTACCAAAGTCATTTCAGTGCCATCAAACTACAGGTTCTGTCCCAGGCACGTCTCCAGCCTTGATGTACGACCACGGAGGAGTTAAGTTTGTAGCTGAATGCTTTCATGAAGGATGATACAAAGCCAGCTGAGGCACTTGCAGCAGCGCCGGCGACGGTTACAGAGGAGGAAGGTGACGTTGAGATGGCGTGATGCACTAATGTGTACTGATCAATGGCCCCATGCATGCCCCATGCGCAGGTACACCAAGAGCCTGTATGCTGCAAAGCGACGAACAATGGACGATTCCCATCTGTGGTGTCACACACGTATTTCCGCTATCTCAACGTGCGGGAACGCAAAGCAACAGACATTCTATATTGCACAGATCATACAAGCAATAGATGAGTGGATCCCGCTCCATTAAGCTTTAAGGGCGGCGGACGATACGGAACTCACCAGACGCATCAATCGTCACACGACCGCCTGTCACGTCCGCTCTGCGCTCGGGGCATCCACCGAACCCAGCCATCACCCCGCCTCTCACCCACACAGCTCCCACCTCCCAAGCCCCACACACAACATCGTTCCCTCCCTCCTTCCCCACTCCAATGCATCCTTCACCGCCTACTCGCCCACGCGCGTCCAGCGCGTATCACGGCGCAGGAACGCGAGGATCTCCGTGGGCGTCGGGCCCGGTGGCGGCATGGGAGGTTGCAGCGGTACGCTAACGTCGTCTGTGCGCTGCGGCCACTTGGACATGGACGCCTTCGCAGCGGCGCGGGCCATAATTTCGGTGATCACATGCGCGACGACGCCGGAGAGGTATGCGGGTGTGAGCGGGAAGTAGGCCTCCTCGTCAGGTGGGGGATCGCTCAGCGCTTCGTCGTCGTCATCGAAGACTAGAGTGTCGTGTGTGACGGGCCAGTCGTGCTGGCGCTGCTGCTTGCGTTGCCCTTCCAAAGGTGGTCAGAGCCATGCGTGGAGAGCGCGGAAGAGGAGAGCGGCCGGGTCGGCCCGTCCCAAAGCACGATGCTTCCCTCGTCGTAGAGCGTCCGGATGGCAAAGCGGAAGAGGCACTTCACTTTTAGCGCTTTGCTCTCCGCAGAGGAGCCTTGTAGTTGGCGAATGTGCCTGTCCTGGGTTTGGGTTTGAGTATGGGCGGCGTGCATGCGCTCCTCGCGTGCCCGCCGGCGGGACTCGGCATCCACGACGTGCCGTGCTAGGAGCGCGAGCTCGGGTACTCGTCGGAGGTACGAGAACGTGAAGTCATGGACGGTTCTTGACACGTCGTCCTCATCATCGTGATCTGTATCGTTATGTATGAGGGAGCAAATTGATGAGCGCTTCTTTGATGCTCGAGGCGTACGCTCATTCTCTGCGTAGGTTGTCTGCGAGCATGAGCCGGGCGCGATGTCTTCTCCATAGATGCCCATGTCCGCATATACTCTTCGCGTGCCCGAGCAGAGGCTGACGACTTCGTTTGCATCTTGGATAGGAGGTTGGTTGAACCACCCGCCGACCCGATCACGCCGGCGCGGTGGTTGCTGCTTGGCGGAGTAGGGGACACAGAGCGCGAGCGAGCGCGGGCACGCAGGGGAGGCGCGTGGTCCATGTAGTGCTTGACGTATATGCGGAAGGTGTTCGCGGTGAGGTCCCGTGTATGCAGACGGGATGGGTGTCTCAGGCGTGGAGGTGACTGAGGAGTAATTGTCAGCCGACACCAAGACAAGCACTTCGAGTACTTACTTGCGGCTCGCTGCCGACCACCTTGGACGAAGTAGGCTCAGGAGAGCCAACTACAGAAGGCGCATGGGAGGAGGCTGGCGTCTGAGGCGCCGCTATACCCGGCGTTGCAACCACACGGGCTTGCACTTCCTCCGCTGACTCGTCGGACGCCTTCTCCTTGCACTTGACTGAGCTCGCGGGCTTACTTGCTGGCATTACTAGCGGCCGGACGGTCGCTTTGGGGATCACGAACGGACCCATATCCGGAGCAAAGTAGGATGTTTGGTGCAGGTGAGCGACAGCGAGCCAGTGGTTGGGTTCGTCATTTGGTGAGGAGCAGCGTTCTGCGAAAGACGCGAGTAGGTCAATCGATAAGTTACACAGAAGGATGACGGGAGTAGCGAAGGTACTGAAGAGTAGGCTGCTTAGGAGAGGCGCAGAGCCAGTTCCGCCTCAATCCCTCTTATAGTCTCCAAACGTCAAAACACACCCACTTATTTCGTCGACGAGCACGAGCCTCCCCTCTGCTCTGTTCACCACCCTTCCAGTGAGGCTCACCGATGCGCCAACATATGCTACTGGTTTCGGAAGCGGAGATGGTGTCGCGGGCAAGACGTTGAACGTGGATTTCGACGTGGAGGGCGCAGGCCACTTGTAGGGAGAGCTTGAGCCAAACTGTGGACGGGCACTCATTGGCGTCTTCGGCTTCGGCTTTCTGACTGTGGCGGATGATGCTGGTAGAGGAGGGTGTTTGTAGACACAGTCGATCACCGCTGTTCCATCGTCCACTGTTATGGCATCAACGGAGACGAAGGTCGCAGGTGCATTGAATCAGGATCAGCCGAGAATCATAAGCTAGCTACTCGGTACGTCCGCGAGTATATCGTCCGCGATTCGTAGACCTGAAAGCCGACTAGCAGACCCACAAGGCGTACGGAACGACACGGTACCCGACCAAGCCAGAAGTACTCTGCATCTGGATGCACAACGTGTCAATCAGCAAATCACGTAGCATGCATGTACAAGCCACATACCTTCAGCACTGCTGTCCTGCATGTCCATCACATCTTTGGCAAAGCATGGGGCCACGGCGTCCTTGAACAATGTCCACTTCCACATTTCCGCCGCAGATGGCGCATCGGGCACTGTGGACAGAGTCTTCGGTGAGACAACCGGTTTGCCAGTCGTTTCTGAGGGAGATTTCTCCGGATTCCTGCTTGCGGTAGGTTGAGGTGTGGAATAGGCTCTGGTCGCGGCTTCGATCGCTGCGAGACGTCTCCGCTTGGAGGGGGAGAGCGGGACAGAGCTCGGGCGCGTGGTCTTTTGCGTATTGGCAGAGGATACGGTGGCAGTTTTACTCATAGGACTCAAGTACAAGATGGATGATCAAATCGGTTTAGTGGATTAGCACGATACTGGCAGGGCTCGACAGTCGATGTCATCGCTTGGGGGTTGAGTGATTGAAAGGCCTTGGAATCTGTCTTTCTGGTCCTGCGAATATCGTTCTTGTTACACTCAGAGTAGAATATCCCGATGCTCAGAGTGATCATTTCTGCCACAGTCCAGACAACTTGCCGCAGGCGCGATAACGAAGTACGTTCAAGCGCCTGTGTGGCGGCTAATGGCGGGTACATATGCCCGGGACATTTACCACGCCACAAGCGCGTCGTCTTCAGGTTCGCTGCTCAGTACGTATGCGCAGTGTGACCGCGCGCGGGCCCAGGATTCGGTCTGAATGACACTCGGTTCATGATTTTGGCTAAATCTCCCTTGTATCGAAGGAAAGTTAGTCAAGGTCTCACCATGTAAGTCACTCTTACACTGGTGAACTCCGTCTGTTATGCATCTCGTCTTCCTTTGGCCACGATTCACGAATCACTTGGACCAGACAATTTTGCACATGCGCTATCCCCAGAATCAACCGCAAATTATTCTGCAATTTCCTACCTACTCCGCCATTTCAGGACTGACAATCGCAGTGCTCTGAAAGGCAAGTTTGCAAAAGCTAGGGGATTAGATGATTGCGGAATTGCGATCGCTTACTAGAATGCACTCTTCAGGCTTCAAAATCCTTCAATCACTCCTCGCTCCGAAGATTCAATCATTCATCACTGGATTGCGAGCGCAACTTGACTATGGGGCATGTTGTGGCCTCGTTGCACGTCCCCCTTACGTGTGCTATGTTTGTCTCTTTCTCAGCTGATAATTGCCAGGATGTTTCGAGTCTCAGGATGGTCATACCCGTAATGCAGTTCAGTTGTGAGGTTGCAGTTGTTGCATCACACAGCAACGGATCAACAACACAGCTCCTTCTCATCATCTCACCTCATATGAGCCGAGCGACCTTTCCATTCCAACGTGCGTATCTCGCCCAGTTGCTGGTTTACTCATGCAGGCATGATAGAGTCATTGGTTGTGAGCCGCTATGTGTTTTGCAGACCCCATCGCAGGTGAGCTGGCTCGCACCATATGTTAATATGCAGACGATGTGATGTTATCTCATGATGGAATGTGGCATTGATAAACAGGCTGACCATCGACCATTGTGATTCGACGTCCGCTCTCTCTCCCTAGGCATGTCTCTCACCGCATCCGAAGTGGACTCATCGTGCGTCTCTTCCGATAGTCGGAATTACATTAAATTGAACGATGAAATCACAGTTTTACACAAGACTACGCTATTGTCGCCGGCGCAGGCCAGTCGTACATTTTATTTGCTTATTACTGGCTGATTGTTGATGACTTTTGCTCAAACAGCGCTCATATTCTTCGACCATGCCATAACATTCGGCCAGGAGGTCCAGCTATTCTGGGGCGAGAGATCGTTCTCTGCTTGGTTGTTTTTTGCCAATCAGATGCTTGCACTGAGCTATGCGATTATTTCCGTTTGGTCACTCGTGAACCTTGACACAGTAATGGTACGTGAATCAACATTGTCTCGTCTGGATACAACTATATCTTAAAAATATTGTAGAGGCAATTTGTTTCCTGTCATCACATTATTCGTGTCTGCTTATTCTTATGTTGTAGTTGCATGGCATACTTTCTGACGAGCAATCTGCTTATCATACTGATTGGAATAATCTCAGATGGTAGGCTGGCATGCTTTGTGACGCATAATCACAGCTCAAACATAGTCAAGTGGTTACAATACTGCGAGTAAATGCCGTATTGCGAGTAAATGCCATAACGGGTGGCAGCCGATGGCCTGTCATGCTCCTCACACTGCTTGCGGTCTTCCTCGCGGTCGCAAATGTCTACACCGGTACGCTTCCTGCTGATAAGGACATATTCTTGATTAGCTTATGTTGAATTCATGAGAAGCCTTCATCCCAGTGTCATATTCTGTGTTTTGGTCCAATGGGACAGCTATATGCATCCAGTCCAACAGTTCAAGTTCAGTGCAAGATATGGTTGATAAGTATGTATGCCGGTATCTTCAGTAAATCTGTATTTGCTTATCTGTTTTACATCAGATGTGAGTCCCAACTCGGGGATGCTTTCCTCCACACTCCTTTGACAGTTTCACTGCAGTGGACATAGTCAATACAGCCTGTGCTGCAGTTGGCGGCATCATGACGCTAGCAATTCTCTGGCACAGGCTGTATGTCCACCATAGGCTAGCCGCCATTAATATCCTGTCTACGAGGAACCCGTCACTTGCGGCACTATTGTTCAGAGACGGTACGGCTGTCAGACAATGACTATGGATTTTTGAGCTCGAATAACATTTACTTCCACTATTTTCATAGGCACAATTCAATTGACGTGAGCATGGATTCGAACTCAATTTTGCAGCATCTGAACCATGTTATTCAGAGCTATACTACTACTGAACATATTTACAACTGTAATGGTCTTCCTGGACCCTGTAAGTGCATGCTCTTTCCATCCACCCTATATCTTCTGCCGTTAGATCCTAACTACTCTATCATATATGACTATGCGCATGGTAGAATGCTGCAAATGTTGTCACTTATTTGCAATACTCGTGAAGCAATCCTCTTACATTTTCTCTTCCAATGGCACACTGACAAATTTACAGACTCACGTCCGTTCTGATCTCTCGGGTCCTCCTCAACATCCGAGCCGCAGCGCGGTCCACACGCGGAGAGCAGTCCCAAACGCCCTCCTTCGTCCGATCGCAGCGTGGGCTCGAGGCACAAGGGGACGTCGAGGACATGTCGTTCGAATTGAACATCCTCAACAGCACCGAACAAGCCCAGGACACCGATCGCGCTCATCCGCAAGACTCTATTGGACATGATGAAATTATTGCCGAACCGCGCAGCACGGCGGACAATGTTTCCACTGCCGGTGACGCTCAGGAGGACGTGAACGAGGAAGAGGGGATGGACGAAATCGAGGAAGAGATGCGGTCGAATGGGGAGAACGAGGTGTGAGGGGAGAGAACGATCCTCCAAGCTGAGCTTTCGATTAACTTGCTATTCGTAAGTGACGCATCAAGCTTCATACGCTCCGTCTCATCCCGCTGCATTCGCAGATTTCTTTCCGCACAAACTCAGTAGATGCGCGTCATGCCATAGATCGTGTTTGACATTTTTTGGTATGAACATGGGCCGTACTACATAATCGTATCTGCAAGTACTTCATCACACGTCTGCTCTGAAATGCTCTGCACCCCGTCTATTCTGGACGAGCCATCGAGTCGTTGAAGATGCAAGCCGTACGTGCCACTCTACCCATTGTTTAACAGCTACTGTTTGCTACGCGCCGCTAACGCTTCTTCTCCTACTATATGTACTCTCTAGCAAATGTGACGATGTCCTAACACCCAGCGGGCCCTCCGCCCCGCCGGCCCGCAACCACTTCAAACTATACCCACCTCCATCATCTTCAAAGACCAGGTCCCGATAACCAGGCACATTTCTTAGGAGTTTGCGCCGCCGAGGTCTCGTCGCACCAGCCTGCTCCGCTCTCCCTACCTTTTTCGCATTATACCACCGCATCCAGCCCCACCTTCTCCACTCTCACTTCGCCTAGGTACTCCATTTTTAGACCCTTCCTCAATTTCAAAACATAAATATCAAAAGACGTCCAACCCACTTGCTTACGCGCACGTGCCACTGCCACTCTACACGCAGCCGCTCCAGAGGTACACCGAATATTCCCCGCGTCGCACACTGAGCCAACACCGCATCACGCTTGTTCACCGATCTCCGAGAGAGCTCGGACCTCCCACTTGTTCATTGAAAGATTCAGTATGAATTAATGTAACGGGCGGTCTCCAAGCGGTCATTTGGCCCTCATGTGGGAGCGAGCGAGGTGAGGCGAGAAATGTCGATGTTGGCGGCCTATTAGCTCCGCCTGGGTTTGATCTATCACCTCCACTGTCTGGAGCGATTAGCAAGCAAAGCCAGGCGTCGCTCAAAACATTTCGACAATTATGACATTTCGTTGTGGTGCACGCGAATCTGCGAGGAGCCGGATTGCTTCAGCCAGTACCTTCACGCTGATAGTGGATCACGAAGCATTGTCACGGCTGTCCGCACCCTCCAGAGGTACGGACAATGTACGGTCTGATTATATTCATAACAGGTTCTCAATGTATAAAGAGGACGCCTAGGACGGAATTCTCGATCAACACACTATTCTTCGTTGCTCTGCTCCGCCTTGACTGGCATCAAAAAGGTCCAGCGCCTCAGGACTGCTCACGCTTGAAACCATCCTTTTAGTCCGAGTTCTACAAGCATCGTTCATCAGCGCCCGGTCCTCGCTGCCCCAGAATTCGCCAGCTCAACTCACCTTCGTATAAATCATCCCCCTATCATTCAGCCTACGCGGCGGCGACGGCGCCGCGACGTGCCTCGGGTCGGCCTGCGTCTCCTCCGAGCCCGTGCCCTGTGTCACACAAATCTCCGTTAGCTTGTGAAAGGACCTCGTCATATTAAATGATGCACATTGACGGCAGTCAAAACGCTCGCGGCGATGCCGCCCGTATCTCCCGAGGCACCGGGGAGCGGGACGCTCGACGGCTTGGGCTCATAATCGGGCGTGCTGCGCGTGCGGAGGTTCGAATTGCCTTTGGGCAGTTCGGGGGCTGCTCCAGGCTGCTGCTGTGCGTGGCGCAATTGCCCTACGATATCACATCAAATGAGTTTGCTAAGCGAGGGTTCTGTTAAACAGTAGGAAGCGGAGGGGAAACGCACAGCTGGGCACCTCGGTGAGGTTCTTCACCTCGTTCGGGTTCCGTTTGCCCTGAACGCGGAACTGGGCAAAGTAGAAGGCGATGAGGCCCGTCGTGACGATCGCCATTCCAGCGAACATCGTCTATGCCCGCGTGCGCATTAGCGGAGAACCTTATAGATAATTCGAGCGAGTTACCTTGAAGCTGCCTGACTGGGTCCTGACGGGCTGCGGCGCTGCGCCGGGGATTTGTGAGGGCATGGTGGTGGCTATAGGTCAAGTTGTGGTTCGGAGCTTGTGCCTGGAGAGAGATATCTGGAGAGGAGGAGGACAACGATGGCAACGAGCAGACTCGACTCAATTGAACAGCGAGCGTGGCAGTTCGGATTCGAACCGCCTCTTCGCGGGGGCCGTCGATGCCTGCCGTGCACGGACATCCCACACGCCAACACATCGCGGCCGGCTTCGCCGAGCTTTCGCGCATCCAAAAGCCGCCTTGCCTCTGAGGAGAGACCGACGACCGACGTCACCTGCCTAAAAAGTCATCTGGCCTTCCTGTTTGGGCGCCGTCGCGGCGGCTTGGGAGAGCGGGACATAGGCGGGTGACGTCATTGGCTGCCTATGGCAGGCGCGTCGTGCGGGTGTGTGATTGTGCCCGGCTCCGACGACGCTGCGCTCATTTCTGTGCTGGGTGTGTAGTGCTCGTTGCCCGCAGTCACACGAAGAACGTTTGCTTACTAAGCACACGGATGGACCAGACGCGTTCTCGCATCTTGCTTCCTTACCCGCTCGCTCTTCTCGTACATCGTCCAAATATCTGCTCAATTTCTTTGTCATGAATACCAACAGCTGGTATGGCCGACAGTCGACGTCCCGCTTATTCTGGAGGCGAATTCTATGGAACGTCTGGAATTAGCCACTGGGTCAAGTGCCCATGGCGAGGTTGGAGGAGGAGGCGAAGGGACCAAGGCTCTACATCCTGGCTTGGGACTTCAGCGGACATGATCGCGAGCGAAACGCCCGGTGCACGGCACGCGGCGCAGTCAGGGCGGACCTCCGCGTGAACGGGGAGGACACTGACGACGAGTGCTTGTTGAATGACGATGGCGCGGAGTTACCTGGTATCGACGATCTCACCTTAGCGACCTCCATACCCTGTGCGACATGCTGCAGTTTGCCGGAACACTGCAAGCGCTTTCTCCAGCTGATCGAGACTTCCTCCTCAAGATGTTCTGAACTGGCTACCCACGCGCATACGCCCTCCCAGGTGCTTGGTGACATGTCCACAATCATGGATGCCACCACAAAAAAGCCATCGTCTGCTGCTAACGAACGCTTTTCGAATCGTTTCCGGGACCGCGGCCTCCAGGTGCCCTTGGCCATCCTCAGGCTCGGTGTGGCCCGCATACACATCCCGCTCGCCTTAACCACGTTTGACCCATAAGGAGGATGTATCATGATCCCACTGCTGTTAAGACAAAAAAGTTTATTATCGCCAATAGTCAGCAAATGGACTTGTTGGACCTCCGCGGGTGCCCTCCTCCCACCAGAGCATTTCACTAAGCTTGGGAAATATGCAAATGTCTACGCGAAGATGAAGATCGGCAATGATGTGCGGCAGGACGCTTCCGTGCTCCCCTTGACCACCTCCTTGCATGGTCCGATTTCGCCACAGGTTACAAGACAATCCTTCGATTCGACTGTGAAGGGTACCGCGCATACATGAATGGCCCGGCGAGTTTCTCCCCTGATGATCCACGTACCAAAGTCGTTTCAACGCCATCAAATCACAGGTTCTGTCCGAGAAAGTCAATGCTAGTTTCCTGTTCCACCATGACTCCTCACGCCGCTTTGTCCCATATCTCCAAAGTGGTCGTGGTGACAGCCGTGCTCGCATGAATGAGGACTGTTCCCGGCCCTTCGGAAAGGCAGGCAGCCCACATCCTCCGAGCCGACTTCCTCGTCTGCGCGAGGAATGGCCATCACGCCTCTGATTGCACGCATACATCCATCCTGGGTGCCTGTCCGACCATCGAGATCGATGGATTGTGCCCAGCCCCGAAGGGTGCTGTGCACGTTTCTTCGCTGGGAGTGGCTTGGGCGGAGATCGGTGTGTTGTAAAGGGTGCGTTGACTTGATGAACTGTCCTACGTGCGGATTCAAATCGGCGCTGTGGTTTTCTCCTTCGACGTTACAGCGAACGCTACGATGACATGAACGCGATGATGGACATGATATCGATGGTCACGCCATATACTAGGCGCTACCGATGGCGAAAACGGGAAAATTTGAAAGCGGTGTCAAGCAGCGGCATCGAAATACTGACGACTCAGCGACTCAGGTTCCGCGACACTTTGCGTAGTCTGCCTTTGCAGTCGTACTCTTATTGAGAGCATCTGCATAGGACAACAAGCCGACACCGCCGATGCACGATAGCCATCCTTCGAAGTTCGCGAACACCGAGCATACATATGTGAAGTGCAATGTGGCCAATTAGTAACTGTGTTGTAGCAATCGCTCTTCACGCCTCTCTTCTAAGGTAGTGCCCTTATCACCAGACGGACAGGGGAGAAATGCTCACAATGAGGTGCAGCCGGAGTGCCCTTTCCATTCATCTGTCAATCTCCTCAAGCCCCTGCCGTTCTTCCTTCGCGAACACCTCTTGTTTTCCCGCTTGGCTAATGCGGGGCATCAGAAATTTCCGCCTTCGGACTCTAGGGAAACAGATTTTCCTCTCCGGGGTCATGTGTGCCGATAACGAGCACAGCCTAACGACCTGAAGAGGTAGTCCGCGTCAACCTCGGTAGTACTAGCCGTCCGCATTACGGCGACGTTGCGGCGAGCTCGGACAGGGTTCAACGAAGAACGTCACCGCACAGATCATTTGCAATGGATGCCAGCATAGAAATTCCCAACGTGACCTGTGGAAGATCCTCCATTGCACCAGCAACAAGGAAATTCTGTTACGGCCGTCACGTCGAGTATGCCAGTCGTACGGTACTAGAACACGCCGGCGATGATGGCGACATCAACGCCCTGCCGCAATTTTGACTGGACGCATGATACGGAGACCACAAGGCGGAGAATGGCAGGACACATGAGCGGACGTGTCTGAAGATAACTGGTAGCGGCTAACGCGCTGGAGGAACGTAACGAGCATATCAATTGCATTTCTCGTGCCGGCCTCCACAATTCGCAACCATTTCGCTTCATCGCTGCCTCTCACGCGAATAACGGGCTGATGTCGAAGATGAACCAACCCCCGCATTGCATTGGGAATATCAACCTTCGAATTCTCTGGAAATTTGAAGCGCGAGCGAGCTGGCAAGCGCGCAGAGCCACCATCATTGACACCTCCTTCCAAAGCAGGCCAAGGCGAGTGGAGGGCAACCTACGAGTGCAGGAGTGGTGCACGCTGCGCATTGAGATTCAGATCACTCCGGGTTCGCGCTCCGCGGCGTAAACAGATCGCCTAGCGCTGCGTACGCAGTTCCATCAGCACTGATGCATGATGGCCGGGCACCTGCCACGGAGAATTGTGCAGTGCGAGGGCGGCGGTCGAGTCTGGCTAGGCTGGGGAGGGGTTATGAACGTGCACTAGAGCAGCGGCGTGATGAATTTAGAGCCAGCTGGTACCTGAACGCGACACGGCGAGTGCTTTGCGTGAGCGACGGAGGGATCTTGCGTGTAGCAGTGGATCTGGTCGCCTGGACCGTGTTCCCGGTCCCTCAGGGATGCCTCTCGCCCGTTGCGACAGAGTCCGTCGCCGCGACGGATCACTTCGCTTCACTTGTACTTCCCAGCACCATCGCAGCAGCAGCAGCATTCACTGCGCCAGCGAAATCACGCGCCCGCTCCCCATCTGCATAACGACTTGGGTGGCCCGAGTGCCTGACCAAGGCCAGCGCGTAGGGCGTAGGCTATTAGCTCCTGCGGGGAATTCTGGGGGGATGAGTGCGGGAAAAGTATGGAGAATCCGTACCGTGTGCACGCATCACATGCACGTACCCGCGCTGTCGCGTCCAGCCATCCTGCCAGTCGCGTCGTGATGCGCGCGCGTATAAAGCCTCCATAGCTCCCCGCGTGTATTTTCGAGAGTGTCCTCCCAGGCGAACGCTTCTTCCGCCTTGCACACGCACACCTTCCCCTTCCCCTTCCCCTCCCCGCCTCACGCTCGCCTGAAGCACCGTCGGCATGGGCTCCGGACCTGCACTCTCGGGCGGGGGCCACATGGCCAACTACGAGCACCTATTGAACCCGAACCGGAGGTGGTACAATAACAAGCGGTATGCATGTACACACGCTGCGATCGACACTGCGAGATTAATGCGTGCCCCGTCCCACACAGGCTCATCCTGCTCCACTGCTGGCTGCTGCTCCTGTGAGTCCCGACGATCTCGCTGCATTCCCGCGCGATTAGGCATTTAGGCATATTCTGACCGAGAGTTGACTTCCTCTTCGGTTCCCAGCCTGATCACCTCCTCCGGAAATGGCTTCGACGGCAGTCTCATGAATAGCTTCCAATCGCTGAAGCAGTGGCAGCACTACTTCAATAATCCCCAGGGCAGCCGTCTCGGGCTTCTCAACGCGATCCAAGTGCGCGCGCTTCCCCTTTCACGGCGCTGATGCACGAGTTGATGTCCACAGAACATCGGCTCCCTCGCAGCGTACCCGTTCGCCCCGTATCTCTCTGACGGCCTCGGACGGAGACGGACGATATGGATCGGCGCGACGATTATGCTCATCGGCGTCGCCCTCCAGACGGCCGCGCAGAACCTCGGATTCTTCATCGGCGCGCGGTTCCTCGTCGGGCTTGGACTGACGTTTGCTAGTGCGTCTTTTATGAGTTAATTAGCTTGTTTGTTCACTGTCGTGACCTGTGCGCTAGCCAACTCGGCACCCATGCTGGTGACCGAGCTCTCCTACCCGACCTATCGCCCGCAGCTCACCTCGCTATACAACTCCCTCTGGTACTCCGGGAACATCGTGTAAGCCTCCCTTCCCCTCCTCCTTCCTACCCGGCTGAGTTCACTAACCGCCTCTTCCTTCGTGCAGTGCCTCGTGGACGACATTCGGGACAGAGTACATGCACAGCACTTGGTCATGGCGCATCCCGTCTATCATGCAGGGCATCCCCGCCGCGTTCCAGTTCTTCCTCATACTGCTTGCGCCAGAGAGCCCGCGATGGCTCGTGTCCAAGGGGCGCGAAGCGGACGCGCTGCGCGTGCTCGCCTACTACCATGCGGATGGGAACGAGCACGATCCGCTCGTGCAGTATGAGTTTGAGGAGATCAGGACGGCGATCCAGCTCGATCGCGAGTGTACGTTCTCTTTCTTTCCTATCATTGGGATTTGGCTGATTGGAATGTGGACGGCGATGGTGATGGTGCAGCCAAGAAGAATGTGGGTTGGCTGTCGCTCGTGAAGACAAAGGGAAATCGGAGGCGGATGCTCATCATCGTCGCGATCGCGTGGTTCTCGCAATGGTCCGGCAATGGGCTCGTCTCGTACTACCTTACCAAAGTCATGGAGTCCATCGGCATCACGAACACCACCATCCAATTGCTCATCACCGGGTACGCTCCTCCTTCTACCATTGCGGTCCTTACTATTTTAACTTGCGATGTGCAGTATCCTTGCAATATGGAATCTGTTCTGGGCAGTGTTTGCGTCATTCCTAGTGGAGCGCGTCGGCCGGCGGCTGCTGTTCCTCACGTCCGCGGCGGGCATGCTGTTATTCTTCATACTACAGACGATCTGCACCGCACGCTACTTTGCGAACCAGGCCCCGGCGGCGTCGCACGCGGTTATCGCGTTCGTGTTCCTGTTTTACGCCTTCTACGAGTGAGTCGCGCGTGTTTTTTCGTCTAGCCCCAAAAAGGCTGGTGAGAAATGCTGAAGTGCTGATGGAATGCGCGCGGGCAGTCTGGCGTTCACGCCGCTGATCGTCTCGTACACGGTTGAAATCCTGCCGTACTCGCAAAGGGCGAAGGGATTCAACGTGTTCAACTTCACCATCTCCGTCGCGCTCATCTTCAACCAGTACGTCAACCCCATCGCGCTCGATCGCATCAGCTGGCGGTACTACGTGCGTCCCCCCTCTCTTCCTGTAGCTGAACGCTCAACCTTTTTTTTCTTTTCCCCCCCTCTGTGTGTGCGTGCGCGCGTGCGTGTAGATCGTGTACTGCTGCTGGCTCGCGTTCGAGTTTGCGTTTTTGTGGTTCATGATCGTCGAGACCAAGGGACTCACGCTCGAGGAGACCGCGGCGCTGTTCGACGGCGAGGACCTCACGCAGCATATCGGCGCCGCGGGCCCGCCCGCGTCTGAGGTGCATACTGATGAAAAAGACTATGTCGAGAAGGTCACGGAGTAGAATGCGCGCGCACCCGATGACGCTGTACGATACTGATGACTTACTTTGTTTCGGACCTTCGTCTTCCTTTTCCCCCTTTTTGATGCCAGGTTGGGTACATTATATCTGTTGGTTTGCTTGTTATTACCCTTGATGCTAGGTTGTATCGACACGTTTGCGTCACGACTCATTGTACAGTAGTTTACGCACATACCTACGATAACCGCTTGAATATTGATGGTTCCGGTTGCATCTCCGTTTGATGTATGATCATGGAGATGAAAAAGGTTGGCTCTGAGATCACATTAATGGAGCCAGTAAACTAATTGCGCAGGCTGTCCTTCGTCGCTCATGGACGCGCGATATTGTCATCCAACGAATATTCTGGGAGTTCACATCCAAGTTAGGCCACCCAGAACCGGAGATGATAGTCTCGGTCGTACGCGAACCAGCGTACAAGTCAATAACTGGGAACTCAGGCAAACCATGCAACGACAGGCCTGAATCCGAAGTAAACCGGCCACCAAGCATGTATTCATCGACCACGGCCAATGGCAGGGCGAAGGGGACATGCAGGCGATGCAGCCACACCCAAACCATTTGGGACTTTCCACGGACATCGAGGTTCCGGATAGAAGATGCGGTCCGAGACGATGACCAACGTCCGGCTTGGACGTGGACTACGACTGCGCACCTGGCTTGCACGTAGGTCTGCGGGGACTTGGTCTGGATAACGTCCGGTGTTAAATGCCCGGGAATAATGAATCGGTTTTTAGAGTTTGTCAGGACGTCTGGCGCGGTCGAGATGGTATTGCATAGAACGTATCAATGAGGCTTGTGGGGTGAATAGTACCGCCAGTCGCCAGCGAAAGATTGAGCCGCTGGGACGGCCCGGGAATGCTTCATGGTCCCGTGTTATAGCACACCAGTCGGGTAACGTTCGCTCTGCCATACGCCTCGACAGCTAGAAGATACGCCCGTGCGAAGGCGCGTGTGTGTCGCCGTAGGTTTGTGCCTGGAGAAGCAGCGCGTCTGGAACAGAGGCGTGGTTGTTCAATCCCAGAGCGTCGGTTACGGGATAAGAGGACCAGATAGCAGTCAGTAGCAGATTCAAGAAAGGCAAGGGCCTTAGCAACATACGTGAATACCCTTCAAGGCTTCGCGCTAATTTTGGGACTTGTGAAATATCATCGTGTTCATGTAAATGCGACGAATGAATCAGATTGGAGTCCCACAAAGTAATCTACGCAACGGAGTTGCCATAACACTGCTGCCCCGTTGCGGTCAACAGGGGCGTATGAAGCATTCTTCAAAGCGATGTCAACGGACGCCAGTATCATGTATGCCGGGCTTATCGCGTATGACTGGGCGCGATCACCCTCTTTGAACCTAAAAAAAGGCACATCCTGAGCGTATCTTTGCGTGAAGACTCACTGATGGTGTGGAGAGATAGGGACGTGAGACCATACAGCGGCGCAAGAAGGTGCATTGTGCCACATGCCAGTGCCTGAAGGACTTGGAGGTCATTCTTAGTATTCGTAACTACTGTCTCGAACTTCAAGTTGATTAGCAATGATCCTATCTGACCTCAGTTATGGTTCACGATAGATCAAAATCAACGAAGACTTGTCAGGTTCGCATTTTGGCCTCGAGTAGGGATGTAAAGGGTTGGACTTAACGCTGTCCCACTCCCACAGTGGGACCCACGCCACCGCCGTGCCGTGGTTATGGTCGTGTGCACGATTTCAAGACGCACAGCAATGCCTCATCTGAAGTGGTCGCCTAACAGTCAAATTCATAATGGCAATATGATTTCAGGAACGTTGCTTGCAAAGTTGCAATAGAGCTACGCTGTTGCATTGAATTTTCTGTTGTACTGGATACGGTACGGCTGTTCTCATGATGTCGCACCTCTTCTGCTGATAAGCCTTAGAATGCTTCTCCTCATGTCCGCCGTCTCATAATAGTTATCGATTGAAGGGGATTGGAGCTAAAACCATTCTTGTGAACCTTCTATCTGCAAAACCAGCATGGTGCTCCGAGAGCTAGCTTGGGCGAGATTGCAGAATCTCAAGACGGGGGTGATAAGTGCGATGTCTGGCCATCGAGGTCAGACGACGGCCTCTCCGTGGAGTGTTCCTGCTCTTCTTCGCCATGTCTTCAGCTGCGCAACTGCCTGTGTACAATGATGCAGAGAAGAAACGCCCATCTCATGAGTCTGATGAGAATGAGCTCGTCGACGGTATCAGCAACTCCCCGAAGCTGAAGGGAGTCGAGCAACTGGAGGAGCGACTCGCCAACGATGAGGCCGACGACGACGACTACCGCGTTGAAGCAGCTTACGAAGTCGCCATTAAGGTGTGGCACCATATAGAGCTCATCGAATATCTCATGAATGGCAGGACATCCCCCAATGCAGGTGCTATCCACTAGAGATGATCCTGAGCTGCAGGCTGTAACTTTCCGGATGATTTTCCTTGGCCTTGGCTTTTCTGCATTTGGAGCGTATGTCGATTGACTATGGATCGACGAGATCTATATCGGCTAACTGACCGCAGCGTCCTAGCCCAGATATACTATTTTAAACCACAGACGTTAACGGTATCTGTGCTGCTGCTACTGGTCTTGTCGTACTGGTTCGGCAATGCCATGCACATGCTGCTGCCTTCGAAAGGTGTCTTCCGATGGATCAACCCGGGTCCCTTCAACAGTGCGTGGGTCTGTCATGTCTTCGCTACTGCAATCACTGACCGGTGATCCAGTCAAGGAGCACGTTGCGATCGTCATCATGACATCAACAGCCTCGACATCTGCTACTGCTATTCAGGTTATATCCGTGCAAGCATGTCCGTCGCATTATTCACAATGTTGAACCCCTTCTGACTTAGCGAGGCAGTGTACTACAACAATTACATGGTACGTATTCCAACTATCCTGGATGACATCTGTAATAAACCGGATCGCCCTCTTGCAGAACCCGGGAATCGCGATCTTAACTCTCATTGCTTCGCAGTTGATCGGATACGGATACGCTGGCCTCCTGCAAGACGTCCTTGTCAAGCCCACCAAATGTTTCTGGCCCAGCAATAGTGCGTGAAACCAGAAAGTCTATTACATATTCATTCGTCTTCCTCATGCCCCATGCTCAGTCTACACCTCCAACCTCTTCCAAGCACTTCATTACGACAGCCAAATGACCTCTAAGCGCGTCCGACTCTTCTGGACGGTCTTCAGCATCCTTTTCTGCTGGGAGATCGTCCCCGAATGTCTATATCTCATCCTCTCCACCGCACGTTCTCGCTGATGTCGCACTTTCAGGGATCTTCCCCGTCCTCACGGGCGTATCCATATTCTGCCTCGCAGACAACCACAGCGCGGTCATCCGTGATGTCTTCGGCGGTGCGGACAACAACGAGGGCATGGGCCTGCTCGCGCTGTGCTTCGACTGGAACTACATCGGCAGCAGCTCGATGTGGCAGCCGCTCTGGTTTCAAGTCAACTCGTACATCGGGATATGCTTCACGTATATTTTGATGTCGGCGGTGTATTGGGGCAACTTGTGGAAGGCGAAGGACTTTCCGTTCATGAGTCAGGCGATCTTCGTAGGCCGTTTCTCTCGTTCCCTAAGGCGAATGAATGTAGCGATGTTGATGGGTATACTGGGCAGTTCGAGAACGGAACGGAGTACAACCAGACTGCGCTGCTGACTGACGGCAAGTTCGACCCGGACAAGTTTGCCAAGCTCGGGGTGCGCGTCCTGGCTTCTGGCCTTGGAGCGATGCTGATAGTCAGCGCGACCACAGGCGGCGTATTTCTCGGCGACCAATGCCCTCGGGCTGATCACCGCAAACCTGTCACTCGGCGCCCTGCTCAGCCACGTTGCCATCTGGCACTACTATGACCTGAAGCCGTTCTTCACGTCGCTCAACCCGTGGAACAAGAGCGTGCACGTGGTTCACGACGTGGTGAGTATGATGCGACATTCATGTCAGGATAAAAATGTTGAATGCGGAGCAGCACTGGGAGAAGATGAAGGTGTACAAGCAAATCCCGCGCTGGTGGTACGTCATCGTCCTTCTGGGAGCATATGCAACGGCGCAAGCGAGTGAGCACACAGTTTTGCTCCGTTTCACCGTTCGTCTAAATCTGACTTTTGGCTGCGACTGCCATAGCGAATTACAGTGGAGGCTCGGGCCTGCCCTGGTGGGCACTGACAGTCCTGCTAATGATCGGCTTCATCATATGTGCGCTATACGCAACCCTTGCCGCGACGATTGGTTTCTCCAGCAACGCTGCTGGGTTCTTCGAGATGATCACCGGTACGGCCTCACCTCGTGCCACGTTCATACTTCATACTGACGCTCGATTCTCTCCGCAGCATATATGGTTCCTGGGGCTCCCGTAGCTAATATGTACGGTGCGCTGTATGGCGGGCAGCCGATCACGCAGGGCATTGCGTTTCTATCGGATCTGAAGCTGGGACAGTATGTTAAGCTTGCACCTCGCGTGACGTTCTGCATGCAGATGACTGGTAAGTAGGCATTAATAGTCAGATGGATAGTCGAGGAATACTGACTATGTCTGCACAACAGGTACTGTCATCGGGGCATTGTTGAATTGTACGGTCATGTTGACCAGCTTTCTAAGCTGCCGACTTACCTTGGTATATGCATGTAGACGTCATGATGCTATCGATCATCAATGCTCAGAGGCCCTGTGAGTTCATACATACCGTCACCTCTGGTTGCATGTCCTTACTATCATTGGTTATTGAACAGCACTTCTATCCATCTCCGGCACTCGGTGAGAGGATGTCTTGCTGCTATAGTCGCTTTCATGACCGACGATGCTATGTCAGTCTATGGTCCGGGCAGAATGCACAATCATACAACTGTGAGTACTGCATGCAGATGATAGAGGGACAGCTTGTTGACTCAGAACAAAGCTAACGCGATCGCCTGGGGCGCCCTCGCCCCACACATGTTCAGCCCACACGCGACGTACCACATGGTACCTGTCTCTTTGGTCATCGGCGTTTTCCTCCCTCTACCATTCTACGTCGCTGTCAGTATATGTTTCTATGAATGCTTCGATCGCTAATGGCTGGCATGCAGTACCGGATCTGGCCCAAGGCGGGCTTCGAGAACTTCAACACGTCGATCATCATGCTGGTCAGTCTATGTCAACGCATTCTGCCACTTTCCCATCTGAAGGCTTTTTGCAGTATTCGTGTTGGTTGGCCGTCGGGATCAACACTCAAGTAAAGTGAGCTTCTAAAGATACGAAAATCGCTGAGCGAGACTATCTGACATCCGAATTCCGACACAGCACCAGTATGGCTATCGGTATCTTCGTGCAGTGGTGGGTCCGCACACGCTATCCGCGCTGGTTCACGAAGTACAAGTAAGCTCTGTCTTTCTTTCCATCGGCAGCGTGGTCGTGACGTTGACCTCCTAGCTACATCGTTGCCGCTGCCATGGACGGTGGAACGCAAGTGATAATGTTCATTCTCAACTTCGTATGCTTGTTCATAGTCTTGATGAGAATTCGCCGTTCTGATGTGACGCTCACATGCAGGCTATCTTCGGCGCATCAGGAAATTCTCATACGTTCCCGCAGTGGTGGGGTAACGGTATGCATTCCGTGAACATTTATCTGACCCTGTGCTGAGAGGAAGAACACAGACCTCAGTCTAGCAGCCGACCGCTGCATGCCACCCCCTCCATGATTTGCGTACAAGCCTGACAATCAGAGTGCACTGACATACCGTTATACGACACGTTTCTCAACCTTTCCCCCTTCTCCGTTCCTGAGGCTTTCTTTCCTGCTGACGTTCTTCAACGGCGGCATAGAGCTTTCTTGTCGACGTGTTCTTACTCATCAAATCCTCGTTCTCCATGGCCACTATTCTTGCCTCCTTGGACTCGATTCGGGCCATTGCACACCTTCACACAGATCGTCCTTGGTCAAGGCGAGCCACCGCCAGCATCTAAGACATCACACCATTGCAATGGCTATATAATAAATTACCGATTATGTACTGGTAGCTGTATGTCCTTTGTCATTGTCAATCAAGCGATCCCAGTTGGTACCATCTACTACATCTAAAGGAGCCGTCACCACCAGGGAGAGGTCGAAAATCATGATCATGAAATGCGCCGCTGTGCAATCTCGTCTCGTATGGCTTGCACAATCGCGTCTGCGCTGATGGATAGTCTCTGGTTTGGGTCGGCGTCGAGGCCGGGGCTGATGACGGGAGGCAGGGAGTTGCCGGTGAATTTTCTACCCAAGCAATAATCTGTCTCAGAATCCATGGCGAATGCTCAGATGTGAAGTGGCAACTGACCGGTCGTTCCACCACGCCATATATCTCATCCCAAGCGAGCGTACCGCGAACTCCTGATCGGGCATGAAAATTCCCGGAGGGAAGAACTCCATAAGGAGCGGTACTGGAGCCTGGTTCTGTTCGTCCTCCGAAGGTGATAATGAAGTCGTGGGGAGGTCCACACTATGCCACGACGGAGGCGCCATGAAGATGCTGTCGGCAAGATGGAACCCATACGGGCCCAGGACAATCTATATCAGGCAAGTCAGCATTTCCGCTAACAGCACACACAAACCCGACGCCTACACTCGACCGTGCAATCGCACGCATCCTATCCGCCCATTCCCATCCATGCACCGCGACACTCCCATTGCCCTTCACAACGTGCACCTCGCCGACAACTCCCTCCCTCTCCAAGCCGCGCAACCCCGCAAGCAACGCCGCATGGTCCTCGTCACGCAACCGTGGCCCTGCGCCATTAGGCTCGTCCTGCATCGAGACGTACGTGACGATAGGCTTTGTTGGCACTGCCTTGCTCTTCGCCTTCTTGCCCCGTCCCAAATTGGAGTTCGCATTCTCAGCGGATGAATCCTCCATTCGGAGGTAGCTGAGCAGCGCAGCGCGGACAGGTGTCCACCAGTCTGGCTTTGCACGCAGGCCCACGAAGGGTGCTGCCCATGCAGGTTTGCCATCGTCGCCCTCTGCGCGCTTTCGCAGCTCATTCTCGCTTTCTTTGATGGTGTTGGTGTTGGTTGCGGACCATGGTCGCGTCCACATGTCGCGTCCTCGATCAGCGGCATGGCGGTCGACGACGACGACGCGGTCGAAGAGCCATGGCACATCCATATCGATGATGTCCTGCCAGTCCTCTTCGTACCAGACTCCGAGAGTCGGAAGTGCTGCCTTTGTGAGCAAGGGGTGCAGGCCTAGTATGGAATCCAGATCAGCTATGTCGAATGAAGCAGAAACGTTGTGCTCATTGCGTACCATTGTACGATCGCTCCCGCATCGGCGGGTGCTTTTTGGGGTCATCGCCCGGCGGTGGAAGACGTGGACTCGAAAACGTCGACACATTCTGATATATCAGCCTCAGCGGTGCAGGGACGTCGATTGTCTTCGCACTGTCCTCCTCTTCTGAGGGCAGCAGTGAGTCCGACCCTACTGAGGATGCAAATGCCGAGGAAGGAATAGCAAGTGCACTCTGTGCCCGGAACATCGAGAAGAGGGTGTACGGGTCTTGCGACGAAGAAGGGTCCATCGATAGCCATGTAGTGCCAAATAATCTGACAGAGCATTAGTGTGATTAACGAGACGTGAGTGTAGAGGCGAGATTGCATACGTACCTGCCACCAAAATCTCCAAGTCTACTTATGGCTTGCTGCCTATTCAAGACTTGCCAGTCTTCCTCCCGCGGCGGTTGTGACCGGTCTGTGGCAGAGGATCCCACTGCACCGAGAGAGGGCAGAGATGCTGGCTCCTCCGTCACAAGGAAGAGTGTCCCATTGAGCATGATAGCGTTCTCAAGGATAGTATATCCTGCAACAAAGCCCAACTATTATGAGATAACCATCAAGGGAAGGTTCATGTGAAACATACCCGGTACATGCGCCAGTGCTCTCGCCACCGGGATCTCTTCTTCCCACCTCAGTAGCTGCTCCTTCACCGTCACACCCTCGTTCAATCCGACACCTTTGTCATCCTTCCCTGTGCTCCTGCTCGCTTTCCGCCTCGTCTCGACGTTGTAGACCGCCGCAGTTCCTACGGCGATACCAGCAAGCCCGCGTTCGACGCCTGCCACCTGGTCCTCCTCCCATTCCCACTCGCCAAAGATAAGATTCTCTAGTTCATCCCGCCATTCCTTCGGCCGCCGGCCGTCTGGCTCAAATCCTGGGTCTTTCGTGCCGAGCCCTGTGGGGTGGCAGGTGAGTAAGCATCAAAGAATATTGCAGAACCAGCGATACAGATGGGGAGTGCGCATATATGCATCGGTTTCGTGCAGATAAGATATGATACGGGTCAAGGCATGGCCACAAAACGCATAATGGAGTACACCGTGAACGATAGACACACACCGATTGTCGACAAATATCCAGAGCTCAGCTTCGCTGGGTTCACCCCTATGATCTGCAGTGACGTCTCCAAGTTGTATGAGAGCACAAACACGATCAGAGAAAACAGGAGTAGCGTGAATTCGCGTCGTGTAGGCGGGTACAGCCACCCGCGATGGTAAGATGGCATGGTCGTGCTTTTCTAAGCCTCCTGAGAGGGGGATGCAAATGATAACAACAGCGGTTCAGTTTGTCAGAAGTGCAGTCTAGGGAGAGGTGGTAAAACGAGCGTGATGTGTCGCTGTTGCAGAAATGCGGGGTGATGATCTATGTGCTTGGCATCCGAGAGGAGCTGGATTTCCGCAGTATTCGACAGTGGCGAGCTCGACTGTCGCAGTTGTAATAAGTTCAAACGACGTGTCCCTCTGATATCCAGGGGGTCGTGAAGGGGAGGAAAGGGTGGAACAGGGTGCCGAGTACTGGCAATCAGTCGGTCGCGAGTAAGGAACGACTACCATTTCGGGAACAAACCGATCGCTGTTCGGCGACTGCAGTGGGCGCGGCGTTGGAGGAGAAAGGTCTCTGGCTTTTCGCAACGACTCTGCAGGCGCAGCTAACGCAGGTCGAGGACAGTTGTTGGCCGTGGGATTCAATGGAAGCGTTGCATGCATGGGGGGACAACGGTCTGAGAATATTGCGGACTTTGCATGAGATCCCTACCAGCGCTTCCAGTGGCACATCGTACCCGCAATTCAAATACCTCGTCCGTTGCACGATGAGTTTACGTGAATGCAACTCACATTACATATTACTACAGATTTTACGACGATACAATCGTGCAAGTTGTGGTAAAAGAGAGCAACGAGCTCGTCGTGGACAGTTACAGTGTGGTCCCAGTCTGGAACATGGCTGTTGCCATGAAGGCGAGACAGAAGAGCAGATAGAAGAGCCAGTCCAGTCCAAGTGGCAAGAGTTCAACCAGAAGGCCTTGCAGTCATTCCAAAGGGTCTTTCCAGGCCAATCGTCTACGATGCACTCGCTAACTCTCCCAGTTTCCTTGCGTGCTTTATTCGCGTTCTCGCCAGGCTCACTTCACAATGTGCAGATCAATGTTACATCCTGCGCGGCGTGTGAGAATTTTTGGCCAGATGAACGCAACTTCGATTGATTACCGAAAGAATAAATCTGTAAATACAGACAATGCCGTATCGTAGTATCGTACACCCAGGTCACCGCGGTCCTCGAGCACGAGGACCACGTTAGAGGTTTGACATTTCACTAGCCTCTAGCCTCAATCTTGCCGCCTCTTTTGGTTAAACCCGCGTCTGGTCTGAGCTCTTACCCTACACACACATTGACAATCAGCAACATTCGGTGACGCGATCGCGAAAGGGTAAGCTCACAAAATTGGAGCCAGACATCCGCTGGTAGGACATCGGGCTCGGCTGCTGCCTCATGCGATACTCCCCTAGCAGGCCACAAAACGTGAGCACTCGAATAGTTCACGGGGTCACGAAATAGACTGACACGTAGGGATTGACACCGGTCCCATTATCTCCCGCTTCTTGCGGAACATCCACTGTTGTGCGTACCAAAAGAGCCCGAGGCCGGCGATGACCGTTGTCACGCCGGCTACGAATGTCTGCTATCGCATTGAGCATCACCTAATCAACATGGACTCAAAGATTGACGTGCCTTTCCACTGCCGCCTGTGACATTGGCGGGGATATGGGGAGGAGGCGGTTTGCGGGCTAATTCAGAGTTCATGATGGTGTCGGCGTGGTTCGAGTTACGGGTCGTGGGTAGCTGTCAGCGAGCAGCACGCGCCATATATCTGAGCTGGAATGTAGTGGAAATTTGAGCGCGTCATCATGCATCATGAGGTAGCTTTCGTTCCGGTATTGGCCACGGGGACCAGTGTTTTTGCAATGTTACGTCAAGCGTCCCGCCCAGATCGTCACGGACGCGTACTGTCACAGTTGTGACCGCACGCGTTTGTGTTGCTCGTGACGGCGACCTGCAGCCACAAGTCGCGGCGGACCATCAAAGCATCGTAAACTGAATGAAGCTGAAGATGGCTTTTCTTTGCACGATGGTCGCCCGCCCGGGAACCGGAGACGAAATCTATATCCATATTACCTGCAGCAGTGGCCGGGATTGTCGCGACGAGATGCTTGAAGGATGAAAACATTCGGAGGGATAGGTTTGAAGCAGAAGGAGCGAAGAGGATCGGGAATGACGGTCGCCATGGATAAATGTGATTCAGCTGTAACCGGATATCCGTGTTAAGAAATGGCATTGCGACTGTAAAGCGACTGCACAACCCACCCTTCGAAAAAATCCAGGGCAGATGTCCAGGCGTATTGCACTCCAGCAACGTGTGCAAAAAAATCGTGGACTAGTACGTCTGCATAGAACGAGCTGCACAACAGCAAGACCAGACCGGTCTCCGCTAGGCTGTGCAGAAAAACGAGGCTGATGAGCCACTCGGAGTGGCACACCGAGTGGCAGCATCGCCGTGCTGGACCAAATAAAGGCACATAAAAATGGCAAACTTGTGCTCACCACGACAACTTCCTGCAACTACTTATCCCCCGCTCACTGCTGAACAGAATGGAATCTCACCTGCCCGATGATAATCGCTGCAGCCAATGGCCCGTGTTGCATGGATGGAAGATCGATGAAACGGCCTTTCGAACAATCACTCCATACAAACAAACCCGGGCCATGACACAGAGGTCCGACTCTTCATCCTCCAGTGCATCATCTCCCGAGGCTGGGCCATCGTCGTCCAACATGGCGCTGCGGTGCAGTCCCGTGCCTCAAATCCTCGGTAACTCACTTCTGGCTGGACTCTCACTCCCTTCGGACTACATTTTTGACTTTTCTCTCCCACTTGACTCCCCAGAGTACCCATCTGCACCAGCGCCCTTGCAGACTCAGGTGCAAAATTCCCCGCAGCTCGACGCTGCCCAGCCCAGACCTGCAAAGAAGCGGCGCCCGCTTCCTCTCGTCCCCGGTGGGTCTACCTCAAAAACAAGTTCGTCGCCCGGTCGTTCCAACAAAACCGAACAATTTGTTCGGCGACGTCGGAGCGAGGCGTTGGCGGCCAAGCTTGGTGCGGGGGCGACGTCTCGCGAGCGGAAGCACAGAGAGGAGAACGATGAGAATGCGCCACCGGTCGAGTCGGACGGTCAGCAGGCGGACGAAGGGGATCTGGTGAGTTCCTCACTCCTTCTCAGAGATGTATCATTGATGATCTATTTCAAAGGTTCTGTGGGACGTCTTCCGGAAGGAGGTCCAATGCAACCACAAGCCGCATTGCCGCTTCAGGGTGCAGGGATGTCCATGGACATTCGACGAGGTCAGGGACCTCAAGCGACATGAAGACGATCGGTCACACTTCGACGACCGGAAGGCGATGAAGTGCGCACCGGTCAAGCTATATCGCTGCCCTTGGCCCGGATGCGACTATGCGAGCCAGCGGGATTATTGCTTGAAGGCACACTGGAAGGCTGTTACGAGTGGTTGCGTGAAGCACTTGATCGGGGACCCGCGTTGGCCGTACGAGTCACTTGAAGATCTCCACCAGCATCTTCGTGAGCATCCTGCACACTTTCAATGTCCCAAATCCTAGGACAAGTAGCTGGCATTGGATATGTGATGGCATGCCATGCTCTTCCCTATCATCCTCGTTCTACCTTTCTGTCTGACTTCAATGAAGGAAGAGTACATGGGCCACTGCACCCCAGGGAACAGCCACAGTGTCGGAAGCATCAGCACGAGATGGTTCGATGGTGTTGGGCTCGACGCAGGAAGGCGGCGTTGCTGGTTCATCATTGTCCAAAGCGGAAAAGTCCGCGATCTTCGTAAGAACGAGGTGGGCGAAATCGGCCATGTCGATCAAAGGCTCCGTAACATTTTGAGGTATGTTCGAAGACTTGTAAACGGCGCAGCTCAAATATTTTGTAGGTGTTACCGATGACCATCGACACTTACAATTGTAATATCGGGGGAGAGAGCCGATGTTCGTCACTTGTGGAGGAACTTGGAGAAAGTCGAAGGAGGTCTGAAGCGGTCAACTTGTAGGCGAACATTGTAGACGAAGTAAGGAGATGTTGGATGCGGTGATAGCTGAGACGACGAAACTTGAGACACGGCTGTGGGACCTTTGAGGTTATATATGCCGACGGACACTCGGTCGATTGCTAATCGTAGCATCTCGCACTTCATCCGGATCTGCAAAAGAAAATACCTAGAAAAGCTATAGTTGGGGACGCCGCTTTATGATCGCTTGAGCCATCTCGCGGATTTGCCAAGGCTTCTCGGTACCCGGTCCTGCACTAATATCCACGAAACATGTTCCTGCGGATGGCCGGCAGCTGGACTTCGAGCGTGCCACTTGGACCTTCCGTAACAGCCGTCTGGGACTACGTGCCATGACGTGTTCATGGGGGATGAGTTCCGCAACGTCTTGAATGAAAGCTGCAGTCGGTATATATGGATAGTAGCCCGCCTGGCGCTCTCCGCGCCACAAGGATCGCACACAGAGGCAGCAAGCGGTAAACAGCTTGCAGAAGCTTCGCCGCCATAGCTCAGGTACATCCATACCTGCTTACTTGTGGCCTAACTTCATATCTGGTTCCCGCCCTCTCGACGATTCTGCCGACCTCTTGCGTGGGCCGGATACCCAAAACGCTTTTGCCATCTCGATCGGTCGGATCCCTTGTGTTACTGAGGTAGGGCAAATTCCAGCCACGAGGCCGATCAATGCCATCGCGAGCTCTGCGGGTAGCTCAGACGCAGCAGGAGGCCGGAGACAGGGAGTCATAGATCAAGTTCTCGCTGGTGCCCACGCTCGTGGTATCGTTCCGGCGAACGATGCCGTTGGGGCTGAGAATAGCGGAGCACGTCCCTCGAAGAGATCGCGCACGCGGTACGAGCAGGAAGACGGAGGGGCGTGGGGGTCGCGACGCGAAGAATTCGCCTGGTTCCAGTTTAACAATCTGAACGCGACCAATGATTCAGAATGAAGTGGCTTGCGCGGGTGGTAGCATGAGTCATGGACTGGACGATTGCGATGTGGTGGTGTGAGAAAGGTGGATAGAAAAGTGCTGCTAGGCGGGAGGATCCAAAGGGGTTGCTGTTGAATGTTGACGACCTGTGTACCATTTCGCTGATATGCAATCAGCCCTGTCTACTTTCGATGTTGGCTCGGACTGAGGACCATATGCAGAAGGACTGTGGGATAGACGGCGTTGAGATCTGGCACTCGTCGCGTTCGAGATTGTTGAGCGCTGAAGGCTGCGGGTGGACCCGGCATTACCCTTGCGTTCTCCTGCTAGACTAGCTCGGTCTCCTTGGGCTAGAAGTTTCATTATACCACAAGAGCCACATAGCTATAATCGACATGTGAGAGGCATTTTGCCAGTAGTCTGGTCTCAGAGTATTGTTGTCGTGATTTCTGCATGGAGAACTCGAACAATGGGAACCGTCCTTGTTCCTCAAACCTGGTGAGGACCATGGGTAACGTTCACGCTTGTCATGTTCTTATGGCGTACTAGACGAAGCACATTTAGGTGTCGTACCCACAATGTCGGGTATGTCGCATATTGCCAGCGACGCTGAACAGTGCTCGTCGTAGACTAAACTCATCGTATGAAGAGAGACCGTACGTTAATCCAGCCAATCATACGTATTGCCATAATGCATCTCTTGTATCCTTCATGCTGCAGAAATGCCTGGGGAGGATCACCGTTCACCCCTTCCATCGTACTTTGGGCTTCTCAACTTTCTAGTTAACTTGCCCACATCCCATCTCCATGTCTTGGTGTCCCTCCGCATGCGGCCCCAAGAGTAATGTTGTATCAAGCTATCTCTACTGCTAAGCCTGCCCCGCGAGTGGGAAGGCGCGAAGTTACCTTATGAGGCGGCGACCAGCCTTATCACCTATCGCCTGCCGATTGCATCAGGACCACAAGGCGAATGATGAATGGCTTGGTCCCGATACGCGTCTTCTCAGGTTATGTTCAGATTCGTTTCCATCGAGAAATCGGACAGTGGTCACGACAGACTGACGGTCTCCCGTCGTTTCCCATTGGCGTGCATGGACTATCAGGTGACGCAATACAAGCGCGGAGGAGTACGTGAAGGAAACCCTTTCGACTTCTGCCCTCGCTGACATCTGTGGTGAACGAGTTTTCAGATTCGAAGGCTCGAATGAATCTCGAATTGTGGAGTCATCATTGCCCTCGTGGCGTGTCGTGCTTGTGGTACGGTCTTCCTCGAAGCGTCGCGGAATTCTGTCCGCTCTTCACTCCATACATTGTCAACTTGAAGTGGACATCTGAAGCAGACTGTCATCCACGGTCAGGCTTGCCAAGGCACTGATTTGCCCACGTGGTATTCTCAACCTCGCTTCGAATTAGTCGGACTGTTGAATGCCCGTCTCCTGACCCCAATAGTGTCCGTAACGGTTATATGTCGAAGCTGCTCGTACCAATGGTGGAACCTTCCGATTTTCGATCGTGGATCAACTATGTTGCCTTTGAACCCTTACCGCTGCACATTAAAGAATGGCGTCGAGACCTCAGCCTTGGAGCGCATTGCTATCTGGCCAGCCTTACTGCTCCCCTTTCCCCCAATCGTCTCAGGTCTTCCTGCTATAAGGTCCCCGTTTTCTCACCGCTCACTCATAGCAATGGCAAGCACCCCGAGCAAGTCCGACGAGCATGACCAGAAGACCTTGGAATCCGTCTTTGTCGACCCTATTTTATCGGTCTCCGACGGTTTGAAAGAGCCCCAAGTGGAGCCTGAAGTATCCGACATCACAATTCCTGATGGTGGTTGGCAGGCTTGGCTTACTGTCACTGGGAGGTAGGTCAGATGTCGCTACGGCGGTCAAGGTTTGTGACTGCAGCTGACTCTCGATTACACTTCCTTAGCTTCCTCCTTATTTTCGTTACCTTTGGCTCCTCAACATCTTTCGGTGTCTTCCAAAATTACTATGCACAGCAGAATACCTCGACGTCGTCGAATATAAGCTGGATCGGCTCCGTGCAGGTATATATTCTCAATAACACGTTGAAAGGCGCGCAGCTATAACCTCTCATCTCAGCTAGCTCTCTTCTACTTTGGAGGGCTGCCGGCCGGCCGGCTGTTCGACGCGGGTTATTTTCGCCATATCCAGATTGGTGGTTCCCTCCTCTTCTGCTTCTCGTGAGTTGAAGGCTTTGAAGAACTCCCATACCGACTTATTGATCCTGCACAATTAGATTTTTCATGCTTTCATTGGCGGACACAAGCAACTACTATCAGCTGTTGCTGTCTCAAGGCGTCGGAATGGGACTGGGCGGCGGGCTGCTTCTTACTCCTGCTCTTTCTATCCCGTCACATCACTTCAATAAGAAGCTATCTCTCGCTCTCGGTATCGCACAAGTTGGTGTGTATCATGCCCGTTCAATCCTATTAGCTCCTCTGACGTTGATGAGCGCGGCAGGCTCCTCTGCAGGAGGAATCATCATGCCGATTATGCTGAATCAGCTCTTCAATGGCCGTGCTGGTTTTGCATGGGGCGTGCGTGCAACTGCATTCCTCGTACTCGGTTTGCTCGCAATCTCCTGTTGTATCATGAAGACCCGGTTGCCACCAGCGCAGCATCAATCACAGATCTCGATGAAGGCGCTCGTAACAGACACGCCGTATGCAATCTCCTTGTTCGGGTGCGCGTTATGGCTGCAATTTGATCCTCCCGCGCTAACGAACATGTAGGGTGTTCATGGTCATGTGGGGATTGTTCTTCCCCTGTGAGTTCTCTGCTTGCGGTTGGAAACGTTGAATTGATGGTCCTGTTCAGATTTTTACCTGCAGGTGTGGGTGACCGAGCATGGGCTGTCGAGCACCCTTTCCTTCTATACGGTGAGATATACCATGCGCGAGAATCATCTAGGTAATTTACGACCTTGCCCTTCAGATCCCCATCCTGAATGCCGGAACCATTTTCGGGCGTATTATTCCGAATTTCATCGCAGACTACGTGGGCGTTTTCAATATGTTTTGTCCTATGGCGCTCGTCAGCGCAGCGTTGATCTTCGCCATGTTCGGGGTGATGAGTCCCGGAGCTGTCATCGTGTTCACGATTCTGTATGGATTCTTCACGGGTTCATGTAGGTAGTCGTACTTTGCTACTTGTCTTTTGCTGACGCACACGATTCTTAGTTCTCGCCCTGCTCCCGGCCACCATGTCAGCAATGGCTAACAGCAATCGGGAAGCTGGGTGAGTACTTGAGTTGTCAACGGAGTTCTCTGGCTGGCTGAGATGCTGACGTTGCCTGTACTTGCTTCCGTAGAATCCGCATCGGTCTTTGCCTCTTCGTAGTTGCATTTGCAGTGCTGTCTGGCACACCAATCGACGGTGCATTAGTGGGCTCCGAATATGTCTGGTACAAGGCACTCCTCTTCAGTGGCGTAAGCAAACGAGCTCGCTCATCGTAATGCCATTCGCTCATCGTTTGATTTCTCACAGATCATCATGTTAGTCGGTTCGGCCCTGTTAACAATCGCAAGGCATCTATTTGCGAAGAGAAAGGGAACCGTCTGGACCTGAGAGTTCTGGGCCTTTCTACTGCTCTAACTCGATTGGGTGTCAGCATATCAAGTTTCGAATCGCCGAGTTGAGAATGTGTTTTACATGACAGTGATGAATCATGCATCGTGAATAAATACAAGCCTTGGGATCGCATGAAATGATCAAGGGAAACCATACTTCTCACCACCGATGCAAGTATGCAATGCGCTAAAGCACTAAAATGGCGGTAACTTTACCAATCTTGTGCATTATAATACGACGACCTCGGCTGAAGCTAATTGAGGCCGTGATGTCGTGAGGTTTTCGTCCTTAATGGCGTCAGAAAGCTGCTTCCTGGTCATGATGAAGTATATATGCCATCGCCTGATCGACCACGGCGGCACTGTCTTTGCGCGCCTCTATGGAAATTGTGGCCACCAGTCAGAGTTTACATAGGTCACGTGTGGCCATTTAGGCGCTGCTTGATTTATGCTTTCCTACTGGTTGCTTGATCACTTTTCTGCGAAACTATTCTGTGCTGTTCTCGCTCTCTAGCTCGAGTCTTCCTCCAACTGCGGTGAACTGCACTTTGGTCTAGCTTGTTGCTTTCTGTAGGACTTTGCAAGTCTTGTCTGTTCCCGGGCAGTGTTGGGAGTGAGATCCAGTATTGCATTTGCGCAAACGCTGCCAGTCTAAGTACTTCTGATGAAGGCCAACTTCAAGGTACTTATCGGCTCCATGACTTTCTCACAACCGCCAATGTTAACACGATAATAGTTTTCAAATCTCTGCGGGACTGTGTACAGACAGGGCAATATCGTCTTCACTCCTGATGGCAACTCCGTGCTTAGTCCTGTCGGCAATAGAGTGTCTGTCTTTGATCTTGTGAAGTGAGTCTATTAACTCTGAGATGTGTGAGAAAATGTTGATGATTCTCAGTAACAAGTCTCGCACGTTTCCATTTGAGAATCGCAAGAACATCGCGGCCATTGCGCTGAGCCCGGATTCTAATGTGTTGATCAGTGTAGACGAAGGTACGTCCTCTTTTCCTTATGTTGTCATCATGAGTATTCACCATTTTCCCAGATGGACGTGCACTGCTTGTCAACTTCCGGAGAGGCGTCGTTCTGCACCATTTCAACTTTCACAATCCTGTCAAGTCGATCAAGTTTTCTCCAGATGGGAAGTGAGTAGGCTGCATCAAGCTTCTGAATATCAGATCTTTCATTGCTGACATTCCTCAGGTACATCGCAGTAAGCCACGATTCACACGTGCAGGTCTGGCGCACGCCGAATCACCTCATCCGGGAATTCGCCCCGTTCAACCTGCACAGGACATACACTGGTCATCATGATGAGGTGCTGAGCATTAAGTGGTCCCCTGACTCTCAGTAAGTTGACCGCATTTGTTAGCCACGACTCGGACTGAAATAAGGCGCAGATGTTTCCTAACTACATCGCGGGACATGACCGCTCGTCTCTTCACACTGGACCCTGTGGAAGGTTTTCGTCCCAAGACGTTCGCCGGTCATCGAGACATCGTGATCAACGCGTACTTCTCTGCTAACGGAAAAATCGTATGTCTGGCTTATCTTTCTTTAATGGCTGGGTGCTAATCCTACAATAGATTTACACTGTAAGCCGAGACGGTGCCGTCTTCACATGGAAGGCAAAGCCTTCAGAGGAGGCTGACTCGGACGATGAGCCTCAGTTTGTCGCATCCTCATCGACGCTCGCCGACTCGATCGCACATACCCGGTGGGGTGTACACCAGCGCAACTACTTCAACCAGCCTGGAACACGCGTCGTCTGCAGCACGTTCCATCGCCCTTCGGGCTTGCTCGTAGTCGGCTTCTCCACAGGCGTCTTTGGGCTGTGGGAGATGCCCGACTTTACCAACCTGCACACGCTGAGCATCTCGCAAGAGAAGATCTCCTCCGTCGCGGTAAATACGTCCGGCGAGTGGCTTGCATTCGGTGCGGCACGCCTCGGGCAGCTGCTCGTGTGGGAGTGGCAGAGCCAGTCGTACGTGCTCAAGCAACAAGGCCACTTTTCGACCATGAACACTCTCGCGTACGCACCAGACGGTATGAACCTTGCCACTGGTGGCGAGGACGGGAAAGTGAAAGTGTGGAACAGCACGTCGGGGTTCTGCTTCGTAACGTTTTCGGAGCACTCTGCACCTGTCAGCACCGTGGAGTTCGCCAAGGCTGGGCAGGTCCTCTTCTCTGCATCGCTTGACGGAACAGTGCGCGCGGCGGACCTCATCCGGTATCGTGTCTTCCGGACGTTCACGTCGCCGACGCCAGCGCAGTTCGCGTCACTCGCCGTCGATCCTAGCGGAGAAGCAGTCGCCGCAGGCTCTCAGGACAACTTCGAGATCTGCCTATGGAGCGTGCAGACGGGAAAGCTGCTAGACGTGCTGGCCGGTCACACAGCCCCTGTATGCGCGCTTGCATTCTCGCCAACAGGGAACTTGCTCGCCAGTGGATCATGGGACCGCACCGTCCGGTTATGGAACGTGTTCGGGCGTAGCCATCTCGTCGAGCCATTCCAATTATCATCCGAGGTGCTTGCGGTGGCGTTCAGACCAGATGGAAACGAGCTTGCTGTCGCGACTCTCGACGGACAGCTGATTTTCTTCGACGTGACTCAGGGTCGGCAGACAGGAGCCATCGACGGCCGCAGAGACGCAGCGCCCGGTCGCAAGGCAGGCGACGTCACTGTTGCCGCAGGAGGCGGAGCGCACAACAGCCTGTGCTACACAGCCGATGGCCGGTGTGTGCTCGCGGGCGGGCGGAGCCCATACGTCGCGCTGTACGACGTGCGCGCGGGCGTGTTGCTGAAGCGCTTCCGGACATCGGACAACCTCAGCCTCGAGGGCACGCAGGAGATGCTGGACAGTCGGAAGGTGACGGAGGCGGGAAACCTGGACCTCATCGACCAGCGCGGGGACGATAGCGATGTTGACGAGCGGCGGCAGCGTGACGACGAGCTGCCGGGCGCGAAGCGGAACGACCTTGCGCGGAGGCGCGTGAAGGAGGAAGTGAGGACGACATGCGTGAGGTTCGCACCGACGGGCCGGGCGTGGGCGGCGGCGACCACAGAGGGACTGCTGATCTACTCCTTGGATGAAGGCGTAGGGTTCGATCCTGTGGACCTTGCAATGGACGTGACTCCGCAGTCCGTGCTGCAGCTGCTGTCGGAGCGGTCATTCCTTCCTGCGCTGATCACCGCGTTCCGTTTAAATGAACGCGCGTTGATTCATCGTGTCTTCTGTGCTGTACCGAGAGATGACATCCGGCTGGTTGTGCGGGGCCTGCCGCAGGTCTATGTGGGCCCGTTGATGCGATGTGTGGCGGAGGCGCTGGAGGCCAGTCCTCGCGTGGAGTTCGTGATGGTCTGGGTGAAAGCTGTTCTGGGAACGCATGGGCGATTTTTGAGAGACCGTGCGGGCGAGCACGCCAGCGTGCTGAGGTCACTACAGAAGGCGTTGGGTGAATTTGAGCGGCTGATTATGGGATTGTGAGTCATTCGTTGTTGCGATGCCTTGTCGGTAAATTGATGACATTGATTGCAGATGCGAAGAGAACAGTTCTACACTGGCGTTCCTTTTAGACCAGATGAAGCTGAAGCAGGCTGCAGAAACACAGAGCGGCAACGATGCTGTCATGCAGGAGGCATGACTCCCTTCTTCCGCCGCGGCAAAAAGTAACATACTGTAGTTGTGATAATCTCCATCTATGATATCCATTAGAATAGACTGTCGACACGTGAGCGGCAAGACACTATGAAGATACCATGCGATCCATCCCAACCTGAGACCTGAAGGCCTGACGCATAAGTGTGCTTCTCGCGTCACCCTGCACGCAACTATCGTGTGAATGAACGAAATGGGCGTGTAGTATGAATCTGTACACATCTATCATATAGTGACATTCAAGAACGATGTATATAAGAGAAAGCGGTGGCAACAGCACCAGCTCGAGCATAGGAAAGACATCCACCTTGGCTCGCAAATCAAGGTAATATATTAGAAGGATAGCAAACAGAAATGTTTTCGCGGCCCTTGCAGTTCATTGAACGACATCTTCGGGGTGAAGCTAGCTCCAGCGCCGACGTCCACCAGAAGACCACCGTGACCGATCGTTCGTAGTACGTGAGTTCGCTGGAGTGGCCGGCGTCCTCGGGGATTGTGAATGACGGGCACCCGAAGCTCCTGGAAAATTGTCAGGATTTCGCGGCATGTAGAAGGGGACGTCTTCACCCACCATTCGCAGCAGATCGAGCGGCTTCCATCTGGCGCCGCAGCTGCCTAGTCCTCTTCCTACCTGCTCGCGGAGGTCTCTTTCTATGAACACTTTCAGTCTGTACACCAGGCTCCGGCTCAGAATCAGAATCGGAACCCGACTCTGATTCAGGTTCTGACTCTGTTTCCGGAGCAGGCGTGTTCGAGACATCGTACACGATCTCGTAGAGATCTTCCGAATGGTCGCCGTTCGGAGCGCCTTCGTACGCTGCTGCGACGCTCAATGAGAATGAGAGTGTACTGTTGGTAAGTGCACTCACTATCACTGCCAGCGGCGGCCCTTGCAGCGCGCTCGCGGTTGCGCCGAGCGGTGACTTTCTTCCCTCCGCGTCTCCGAGGCTTGCGACGGTGTACTTCTTCCGTGTCGTCCACGCCCACGAGCAGCACACCATCGGCGTGCATAATCTTGGTTTTATTGGGGTCGCATTGGGTGAGCACAATTGATTCGTCCTCGTTGCGGTCTCCATGAATGCCAGAAGGACAGGAACCAAGATATACGAGCATATAGTCATCAGAATCGGTATGATCGGCATGCGAGGAGGTTGAAGCCGTGATGAGCAGAGATCTCGTGCCAATCAAAGTGACCGTATGAATCGTGATGATGCCGGAGTAGTTAGGCAGCGAGACATACAGCGGAGGACAATTCGAACGGAGAGCCCACAAGAGCAATGGCAAGATCACAGAGGATGGACGCATCCCGTTCAGCGCAACGAGGGCCGATTGTTTATGCCTGATTGCAGGGGTCGCAGGCAACACGGACACGCCACAAGGGACGGGAAGGACTGTCACCTTGCGCGTGCCGTCAATCACATAGAAGACCGTGGTCAACGCCGGACTCCAGAGTCTCAAAGCCATATTGAGATTTTCCACAAAAGGCAGCGTCAGAGCACCTAAAAGCTTGTGTGCATACAATCGCTCCAATCCAGCTGGGATCAACATAGATACCTGATTGATTGATTCGGGCGACAAGTGACGAAATTGGTTTGAAAGAAGACTACACCGAGGAATGCCAAGCTGAGATGCAATGAGCTGCAAATGACCGGAAACCAGAGGACCAAGACCAAGGAACGAGCTCAGCGAGACAGCAGCCGGACCGTAAAGAGCGTTGACCAGAGGAAAGTAACCGCCAACTGTGACTATGGGAGGTTTGATCGCTGCCGAGGCTATCGATTTTTCGATATTGATTCTGGTCTTGACACCGAGAGCCATCCGTACTATGAAATGAGGTGGAACTTGCTTGACGACCGAGACGAGACCCAAGAAGTAACGCAAGAATACTGTACCGCCCTTCGTAAACAGCAGTTGTTGTGATGTGAATTCCTCTTCTGGTGTAAGCTGTCTCCACTTGAGGAGCTGTTCCTCAGGTCGTCGGTAGTGAACGAACACTTCACAATCATCTGGAGGATATTGGTACATCACAGGCTTGGAGGGAGCCCGCTTAAGATGATCATGTCAGTCCAGTGCCAACAGGTGAGGCAGCCACTAACCTTGGCTGGAACCGAAACTGCCTGGTACTTGTCATATACGAGCACTCCGATGCTCAATGATACCACCCAAACGAAGACATTGACGACCAACACGATGGGGTCTACTGTAAAACCAGCCGACCTGTACGTGATCGTCACCACCGACCAACCAAAAAGGTCCGTAGGAAACATAACATGAGGAAAAAGGACGGGTGTGACAAGTGCTCTCGCAGAGTGCAGCGACGGTGTCAAGATGGTAGAGATGAACGCGTCCAGCGCGTCCAGGAACTCGGATGGCCCTCGGCCAATGTCCATGATCCTGGCTACGGCGTGAGACATGGCACAGGTTAGGTGTAAGTTACAGTGCGGATGTCAGTACGAACGAAAGAGCAGAGTCGGACGGTGAGGCTTGTGTTGAAATTGTGCGGCAGGCGTGCTGTGACCGCTGGCAGCCGTGACACCACCCATTCAACAGCGCCTGCCAAATAGGGATCCCCTCTGTCAAAGACGGCTACTGCATCTCAATTGACTGCGCCTGTGTGGCCATCATTCACCATATCGTGAGTAGGATCATTGAGTACACTTCGTAAAACAGTGTGTACATATTCACCATAGTATTATGGAAGCGTGACACATGTACACAGGGTAACCTGGGAGTCCGGACCTTCATGGGCTACTTGACGGTGGCCAGATTAACCTCAGACCCTCATCATGTCACTCGTCAAACGAGTGTATACGAGGACAGTGTCATTGCTCTTCCACCAAACTTGCAATTCGTCAGGCCCACGAACCTTCAGAATAATGTCCAATATTTCAAGACCTCTGGGCAATTGTCAGTGTCTCATCACCTGCTTAAGTTGCAAAAGTTAACTCACGTAAACTCTGGTATCGCCACAAACTCTTTCCCCGAGAACAAACGGTCGATGTCTGGCTCCAAGCCATGGGCTCTTGCAATCGCTGGGACACTATCCAAGCGAGACCTTGTACGCACTGTCCAGGCCCAGGAACCACGGGTCACACAGCTATCACCCGTGGTCTTGAACGCATACAGTTTCATCTTCTTCGGACTCCACGCCAGATAGAGACATTGCGTGGTGGTCTCGCTATAGCGCCCCAACCACAGCCCAACAAGCGCCTCCGGCGACCATTCCTCGTCGCATGGGTCTATTCCCTTCTGGACAATGGACTTCATTGGGAAAAATTGCGGCGGCCACTTCACGATGGTGCGAATGTTCAGCTTCGGCCGATGGAACTGTGTACACCTTGGCACGGAGCACCGAAGCAAGATCGAGCCAGGATTGAGCGTGCGGGTGGTTGCAGGGTATATGGAGGGCACGGGAACGTCGCTGACGGGAGCTCTACGAGGTTGACCGTCGGTGTCCGTGCAGGCTTTCAGGTGGGGCAGCTCACGCTCTGCGTCATACCATGGCGCATCGGCTATGGGGAAAAAATCCGTTTCCCCCGTTTCCTCGTCGATATCCTTGTACATATAGCTTTGATAGGAGGGCGCATGCACCTGCAAGGTGGCAGGATGAGCGTCTATGCCACCGCAAAGCACGCGCACGGATGGCGGCGTGTCCTTCGCTACATTTTTATGACGATCAAAGCATATCTTGAAGGCCCTAGTGTATTTGGGGGGAGTGGGCATCTGGTCAACGGATCGTTCCTCGGGAAACTCCCAAGCCTCGGCAACGATCCCGCCATCCTCGTGGTCATCTCCCGAGAGGAGGCGGAAGTGCATCATGGATCCCACATACTCGTGGTCGCTCGTCCATAGGCCGAGCAAGGCACCGTATGGGTACAGCAACTGCGTGAAGACCGTGTATGACGATAGGCCTGGAAATGTGGCATCATCTCGGAGCCCAAACCGGGCGGACATACGCTGCCAGATCGAGTGATCCCTGGCATGCTGGTGAAATGCCTTGCAGGTGCTGAGCTGGGAAGAGACGTCGACGGGTGATAGGTAGCTGCAGAGCTTGAAGAGCAGATCATAAGGCAAGCCGAGCATCTTGCAGTCTGGTGCTCGGACCGTGTCTGTGTCCGTTTCTGCTTGTATCTCGAGGATTGGCAACTGCTCCGGGATGGGATCTGTAGACATGGTTGCTCGTGGGAGCTGCGCGCTGTTCGGTTTTTTCCCTCTGCCTTTATGAATTGATCACTACTTGCGTGGCCGTGCCTTAATAGACGCTAGTCTGCACTGCCTGTCACAGCCACTGCATCCTATCGTGGGAGTCAACGTTGTGAACTCGGCCTATTGATGCCTGCAATCTGAAAATATTTGCTGCCTATGGAAAAACGGCTCGTGGGGAGGAGATCGAGGCTAAATCTGATAGCCAGATTGAGTGCTCGCGAGTACGTCGATTCCGAGCCATGATGGGAAGTTTTTGAAAGAAGCACAAAACAGCAGAGTTCCGTCTGTACGAATGCAGCACGCAGGTTAGATACTACCAAGAGTACTTAAAGCACACCCTGAACAAGCGCGGTCACGTTCGTTGTGGCGGTGTGCTACCCGCAGCCACAGTGGTTGTTTGCATCTATTTTCCGACAGCCTCAACCTCGCCACGTCCTCCACGTGGCCTGGCGTTTCCGCGGTACATCATGACGTTCCGCACTCTGACTCCATGCTCGTCATTTCCAGGGCAATTTTCTCCGCCTGTCACGAAAATCCGACGGAGGCTGTGTCCTGCGCCTCCACAATCCCCACCGCTACGTCATCAGGGCTACGAGTCTCCATGCAACCAGCTATATAAACCATGGCCCATCGCCAAGGTGGTACATAGTCCTCCCCTCCAGTTTATGAATTGACGACCGCTGCCACGACCACACCAAAATCAGATTCCAATCTTCCACCTTTCATCATAAGCAATCATGCCCTTGTTCAAGAGCAAGGTTAGTTTCATTATCGCTGGCATGCGCCGTTCTCTAACTTTGAACGTTCAAACTCTCAAGGAAAAGAATACGCGGGCTCAAGCGGCTGAACAGAAAGGTCGTCACGACCCCAACCAATACGAGAGCCGCGGTATCGATACCAATACCGTTGGAGGCACTACCGCGCTCGCCGGTACAGGCGGCGTTCCCTACGAGAATGACGGTACTACGCACGCAGTTGGTAGTGGTGGCCACCATACACTCGGTAGCGCATCGGGCCGTACGGGATATAACGACGTAAGCACTCGAGATGGCATTCCCTCTCTCTCTTACCGAATGTTTTCTGTTACAATTCAGACTACCGGATACGGCAATACCGAGCAGCGTATTTCCCCGACGGACAACGTTAATACCAGTAACTTGCACGGCGGTGGCGGCGTGCGCGGAGCGGAGGGCCGCGTGGAGCAGAAAGTCGGCGAGCTTATCGGAAGCCAGGCGTTGCAGGCGAAGGGCGCAGAGAAAGAACAGGAAGCGCAGGCGTTCAAGGCGCAGAGTTCCGAGCTTGCTGAGGCTGAGCGACTTGAGCGTGAGGCAGTCATGCGCAGGGAGCGTGCCGTTGCACAGGGTAAGTCGCAGATGATTGCCATTGAATCAGCGACGGTTGTACTGACTACATAATACATATTTAGGTGCACACCCAGCGAACAAGCAACTCGGTGGACCGGATGGTGTTCGGGGTAATGACCAGACCTACTGAGGGAGATATACCTCTATCTAAACATGGCTATATATCCTGTAGGATAATGTCGCTTTTTGATCAATAAGTGCAATTTTGTGGAGAGGAAAGTGATGTTGAGGGGAAGGTTGGATTATTGTGGAACGAGAATTGATGATGGTTACAACATTCGTCGATGACCATCGTGATTCGGCCATAACCACAACAGGTAGTACACACGTTAAGGGACACAACATCATAAGAAGCAGCGAGTCAGAGCCACAAGCACAGGTTCATAAGATTTGCTTGTCCCGGAAAGGACTAAATGGCACGCCGAGTGTGCAAGCCTTCGGACAAGGTGCTAGAGAAACAGAACGACTCGGTTCCTGAATGCTTGGTCAGGCTTAGTCTGAAGAGGTTCTCTAACGACTCTGTTGCGTAACAGGACCTGTGAATGCCTAAATCTATGCGGATAGTGAAGTCCTTCATCGGTGTAATGCGGATTCGCAGCAAACATAACAGCAGTGGACAACCAGCGGGCTTTGTACTAGATATACGATGAATGAGGGACTCGGAGCGAGATGTTTGTTAACGCTTGACAGTTGCTTCTACAGCGCAACGTGCATAGCCCAGATATTGCTCGCATTCCCCGCGGCGACTGCGCGTCCTGCCGCGCATGAGCAGGGCTGACGTGAACGTGCTCTAGCGTCTGGGGCGAGGGCGTCCATCCGAATCTATTCCAATGCGCAGGATGCATTGCTGCGTCCAGCCAGGCACCCTCGAATGGACTATATAAAAGGTTAGTCAAACCACTACAAAATTCCAACACCCACAAGAACGCTCTCGTATCACCCACTCAACCAATTCGCCTGATCCCTTCTTAGTTCACGATATGCACCAACACCACGTAAGTGCGCTAAGACGTGACGTTACGGACATCATCGACTCACCAATCCCTCAGGGCCCTCCTCCTCCAGGCGGTCCTGGCGGTCCCGGCGGTGGTCCCGGCGATGGCCCTGGTGGTCCCGGCGGTCCTGGTGGTCCCGGCGGTCCTGGTGGCCCTGGCGGTCCTCCTGGCCAGCTGGGTCACAATCAGCCGCATCCTGGGCCCGACCATCCTCCTCCTGGCCCTGGAGGTCAGCAAGCTCCCATGGATGGGCCCCACGGCGGACCCGGTCCTGTAAGTACAGAACGATTTCTCTGCTGCGGCGATATTGACCCTGATACCGTATATCTCCTCGTGCAGCATCATGGACAGGGATTCTGAGCGAGGTCGTCTCCACGGAGCGGTGTATCGCGTGTATAAGGGAATTGCGATTGGTATTGCAATGTAAGGCGCGCTGTAGCGGTAATTCGACAAGGTTGAATGTATACGAGTGGGAATGCGTGTTTCGGCGGCTGGAGTATTAGTCGATAGCGGTGATGGACGCGTCGTATGGCGAGGCCTCAAACGTTCGTAATTAGGTACTCGTCAACCAGCGTGAATTATGGCCCTTCAAAGCAAAACCACTGCGCGCTTGAGAGATTGTCAGGCAGTATCAGGAGCCGCGTTGATGGCTCTCCCGCAGTGTCCAGACACAAATTAATGACTCAAACTTGAGCATGCCAGAAAGAATACACATGTGTCAACAGGATGATAGTGCTGCGACAGAGGAATCACTTCAGTCATTGAAGTGAAGTTGCGACTTTGAGGGTCCTCGCCGGAGACGCGACTCGGCCAACGCGGTCACGTGAATATCACGTGCTGTGGCACGCCCTTCCAAGAAATAGTGTTTCCACTCTTGACTCTTGCGCGATGTCAGATTGAACCGTCCTTGTCGTCTTGAGCCTCAGCAGCACGGAGAACCCTGGCTCACTTCCTTATTACAGTGCGTGCATTTATTCTTCATGTTGCAATAACTTCTGTAGTGATACCATCCAACTGAGGACCGGAGGCGCGAAAACATACATTGGTGTTCTTGATTTTAAAGAGATAGTTTCCGATGCATATCCAATACAGTAATCGCGGGCTGTATTCTCGAATCTGAAAGGATTTAGCTCTGATAGCTCAGAGTTTTACTTGCTGCTCCCTCCGGGCGCCTGCAGTCATTTTTCTTGATCCCTGCACTGCCTAGGCTCGTCTTGATCGTGTCAGTCGCAGACTACAGTGATTCTCACCGGGGCCGGCCATCTTTTCGGAAAGGTTTGCAGCTGATTCTGGACTAGTTAAAGCTCTTAAGCGAAGCCGTCAGCAACATCCCCGTTTCATGCTGGACAGCTCACAACCCCACCAGATGACTTTGACAAAGTAGCAATCCTCGACGAGCTGTTCTTCTCGCGTTGTATCGATCATCTGCAACCCTGTCTTACGGATGATAGGCCGTATCAGCTTCGTTTCCCTATCTGAAGCAGATCTGGATGGTATCGCGAAGGCGTGCGATGCAGCGACCTTCGGCAAATACAACGAAGATGGGCTCGACGAAGACATATCGGAAGGCCAGAAATTGGATCCTCCCAACTCGCTCAAGTTTGATCCCACAGGCTGCTGGATGCGACCTGCTCAAAGGTGATCAGGACAAGTCCGTTACGCTCCAAGCTCTATAAGCTCAACTTGTATGGTGAATTGCCATTATTATTCAGGCGTGCGGCCGTCGCTCGTTGTACGTCATGCCCAGGATCCTTCTTCAAGGCTCACAAGGACACTTCTGGCAGTGAGTATATGTCCGGATCCCTTGTGCTCATTCTCTCGACCCCACAAATCAGAGCTGGTCTCAAGCTCACTTACCATTCCCAGTCCTGGCTGCTTGACCTGGCGCGAATGATCGATGCTGAGGGTCATTCCCAAGTAGTCTACGTTGCATTCTTCAGCGGCGTGGACCACGAGACCAAGCTCTTCGAATCTGGCTATCGGATCCCTGTGATGTATAGCCTGTATACGCAGGCAGCCGCAATGGAGGCAGGGTCACCGCCCGAGGACCTTCGATAGCGCCCGAACCGGAGATACATGGCAATGCATTCAAAGGTACTCTTTCGGATCTGGTGAACGACGAGAGCTTACTGCCATACTGTGGACTGCTGGGATTCGCCCTGCCCTGTGAATACTCATTCATGCTGGACGACAAGCTTCACAGCCAGGTAGAAATCACTTGACGGCTGAAAGGTAACGACGCAAGCATCGTGGACATCTGTGGGCAATTTGGATGTGGATGCCTCCCTCAGGTTCATCTACCAAGTTGCATCGAATTGGAGCACTGGGAGAAGATCGTGATGGAATCTCTCGACGGATCCGAGAAAGAACAGCGGTTCCTCTATGTACTACAAATCCGTGGCATGGAAAGAGAGTATGTCTATAACGCGAGGGATCATGGCTTATCGAAGGTCTGCTACTGAGGGTCGGGTTTCTGGTTTCGCATTGACCGTGTAAAGGTGCAGTTATCATGTCGGTTACTAGCATCTGGGTTCTTCAGAAATACTCTGATTGTGAGTCAAAGAGAATTGATTTTATGCCCAAGGAAGCACTCTATACAACTAGATGCATTGGTAGTAAACTACTGATTACGGAGGAATGACTGTCTTCCTCCGCGAGGACTGATTTATGAGTTAGTACACTACCCGCTGCGGCTCTTTTTTCCGATAGGACCAAGCACACAACAAGAGGCCCCTCGCCCCTCCTGCATCCTTCTAATGTCTTCTTAGAATATGTATAATGCCACCAGCCATGGAGCCGCTCCAAGAAAAAAAGAAAGAAAAACAACATTGTCGCGGCTGCGGCGCCCAAGGGTATGTCGCCTGCGTCCAATGGCGTAATTTTTGGTATTCCGTCCGAGTTTTGCAGGAATTACGTGTGAGAAAGCGAGCGAAAGCGAATGCTGCATTGCGTGCGAAATGATAAATGATCGTGAGGACTGAGCAAGGATTTGTGTTAAATGACTGGGTAAGTATGCAATTGATGCCAGTGCTGCGCTGCTGCTAACAGCGACCGGCTCTACGGTGCGAATAGGCATGAGAGGCATGTATATCTACGGATAGAGGTTCAACGCACATATGGTACATGACCTCTCCTCCTCTCTTCTACGGAATGTTCTATAGCGCCTCAGGCTTGTAGTCGATTGGACTGAGATCCGAGTGCGCCGACTCGAGGTCTTCGGGCTTGGGTCTTTCAGACCCGCCTTGATGGTATGTTGGGAGTGTGTCCTCATCCGCCACTGTGAACGTCTGCATCTGTAGCCATAGGAGAAATATGAGCCACACTCATCACGCAGGCAGGATGGGCTATAACGCACCTGCACATGCACACCAGTAGCGATGTCTTTATTTGCACGGCCATTGATCTGGCTTGCGGCGCCGTTTTGCGCCGAGCGGAAATTGACGCCGCCTGAATGTGTACTTGCAGAGCTTCAGATTAAATCAAGTACATGTCAGCATTTCGTAAGTTTTCGAGTACACAGGTGCACATACTAGACTTCTGGTCCTTGACTGGAGAACTTTGTGAGGCGACGCACGGCACGGCATGCAGCAATCTAGACGTTATTTAAAACGAATTGCAATCAGCAGAGAACGAAATCGAGAGCTATGACAACGCACAGTACTCGCGACGGCGGCCGGTACATTGAATATAACAGACATGACAGCATTGAGGTTCAAGCACATGAAGATCGTGGCGACGAGATTACCAGCAAAGCTATCGTCACAGATGATCAGCATCGCACAATAGTAGGAACGAAAATGAATACGCACGCAACAACGAAGTAAATGAGACCATCTTTGAACAGGAGCTTCACGAGCTGCGAGCTCTTCTGCCGTCCCGCTAGCTTGACCGCACTTAGAGTCATGACGAGAGCGTCAAAGGCCATAGAGTAGATAAAGGTCGCAGCGAGGATGGTGTTGTTCGTGTGTGTGATCGCACAGCCAGCGCCTGGTACCCACTCGGCTTTCAGCAGCACACCTATCGATGCTGTCAGAACACTTCCGCCGCGATAGACGAGGTCCCGGCTGACCTTGGAGGATGATCGACCAGTGTCCCAGGATGACACAGACAAGCAGGGCAGTGATGTACTTGTTCTGGGACCAGATCGCGATGCTGCCAACGTACGATCGGTACATGCGATACGTGATGCGAGATCAGTCCCGCTTACGTTCGGATCGACAGGTTGATGCTAGCAAATCCGACTGCGCCGTCACCCAGAAACTGATGGACGGATCATAAATTATTATAATGATGCGCGAAATGTCTGAAATGACGAACTTGGTTGTATGTGTACAGCGCCTGACAGTTGACTTCTCTACGATCAGAAGAGGTCATCAACGGTGGCACACGCCTCTGAGTGGACGGTGACTTACGTCTCCGTGTCCAATGCAATCAAGCTAGAGATGATATGCAATGAGCAACGGCCATTTCATACAAACGATAATGTGCTTACATGCCGATCATCGTAAAGAATAGCGAATATCGACCCAGGAAATAAAAGATCTATTGCGCGCTTATCAGTGAGGGAACACAGTCAAAGTGCGTGCGACGAACCAAGGGCCATTGGAACTTCCGCTTGCCCGTGATGAACGACCACTCAAAGTCGAACGATGTTGCAACCTCCCAGCTGCACTGCGTCTCAGTCTCGTGCTACGTGGTCACTGCAGTCCGCCATCAACATACATATAGAGCCCCGCTAGCGCGTGCATAAACTTGATGAACACCGCTATGACGAATGTCAGCGAAGGTTCTACCGCACACGAGTATGATAGCGCTCACCCGAGTCTTTGTCAAGCTCTGCCGTCGACTCCCAATCGATAGCCATGGTGTTCCGAAGCAGTCAGCGACAGAGGAAGATCAACTCAAGAGGTTAGGAATGCCTGTCTGAGGGGCCGACTCGACTGCAGATCAGCGGGGAGAAGGATCGCCAGAGAGCAGAGGCTTTATGAACTTGGCCTCTTCCGCGTCTGCATCGCTTTTAGAGCGAGCCTTGCCGAAGCCGAGAAGAAGGGCTGGCCAACCAATTGGCACCTGGAGCGCAGGGGTACCCTCTGCTTAAGCGGGTGCGAGGGTCGGTCATTGCCTATAGACTCTATGGAAGAAACATCAGAATTCGGCCCTGTCGTCAGCCATGCAACTGGGGCAATTGTGCATCCTTCCCAGTGGCAGCGTCAATCAAGGGACTAGGCCGGACATCTGACCGCTTGCGCGCTGACAACCTGGGAACTTTGGGAAGCAGCCGAGTGCAATATTCTGCGTGTTAGTGTTAGTAGCCGCCACACATATTGTGCACTAGTAGTGCCTGACTACTTACTGCGGTGCTATTGCAAACTGGAATGGCATATACCCGGGCATATTGTTTGAGCTCGGCAGAGTTCATCCACAAGCGAACAGCCGAAACGGGGGAAGGGACAAATGAAACTGAATCCGCGAATATGTCGACTTTGATGCGAACATTGCGGTTAAACGGTTCTTGCAAAGGCCTTCTTCATTTTGAACAGGGTTACATGGCCGGTTCCGCAGTGGCTGGGCCATGTCGACGGCATCCTTTAGCCCGCATCGCTACCAAAGTTAACGTGAGCGTTCCTTCAGGATAGCATCCAGACCAAAAAGAGAGAAACCACTCGTCTCCGCCGTCCGCGACTAGTCGGATCATCTGTATGTAATATTTCCCACCGTGGAGACGCCAGTTGATTCTGTCGGGTTTGTCAATATGTTTTGTCTCACATTGCATCCTCGAAATATTGCTCGTCGGTTTAGTACTGCTTAGTAGCACGGACTGTTCGTCACTAGCCCGGTGTCTGAGCCGGTGCGATTCTTCATGTCGCTCAGTGTCGCGCACTTCACGGGACAAGCTTATCTATGAACGGCGGGCTATACCTTGCAAGCTGCGTCCGTCCTCGAACGCAACACTAGTCTTTCCACCATTAGGCCACCCTGCTCCTCGCTGTCCTTTCCGCCTGGCGATTTTATCATCAAGTCATAAAAGAACTGTTCAGTGCCCGATGAGGACAGCCGAACAAGATGGTGCCACAGGAACTCGAATTACTCGTTACTGGCATTTCGATATCCTTGGTCGCGATACATCGCGAGCTGAATGCAGTCGGACTATGAACTACTCCGGACGTCGTACGTAGATGCATCAGTGCGGGGAACCTTAATAGATGCTCAATGTCCACACGGTGGCTTATAGACGCAAACGATCGCTTCGGATCATGGGGCGGTTCAATACATCTTTCAGAACTGCTAGGATCTTCATTCAGGACCGCAACTCTCAGTTCCATTCCTGCCATTCTGCTGGAATCGAACGTGGCACAAAGCAAATTTCACCCATCTCCATCTGCGAGACTCGTGCTTCCCAAATTCATCCCTGAATCGACATCGCCTACAGTGAAGTCGCCGGCATTCAGACCTCCGGTAGCAAACGTCTTAGGAAGAGGCGCGGATTATGCCGAGGGCGAAGAGCACAAGAAGATGCGCCGCGTTCTGACCACCGCATTCTCGTAAGTACCTTGTCCTTTCACCTATCGCTCCCGCTCCCGCTCCCGCGGTCCTCGACGGAAGATACTCCTCGGGAGCCACACTGGTTCTCCGGGAGCGGCGCGGCGCGTCCTGCTTCGGTTGCTTCTTCATTTAGTGCACGTGCACCATGTCCTGATATGTTCAAAAGCCCCGAGGTAAACAAAGGCATTGCTGAAGACATATTTGAATGCTCGGAGAAGGTGAGGTTGTTATATTCGAAGGCCGTGACCGCCAGCTGCAGAATCTGACCATTCTCAGCTCGAAAGCCGCCTAACGAATCGCATTCTCTCGCACGGTGGTGGTGCCACCGTCAACATCAACGAGCACAAGTTCTCGTGCACGTACGCATCGCCCTCACGTAAGTATCATGTATGCTGTATCGTAGTGAAGCTCGTTCGCCAGATTGGACATCATCGATCATCGGGCATGTCGCGTTGGGACGACTTCAAATCCGACCAGTCCGCGGAAGCGAAGAAGATTCGCGCATCCTGGGGAGAACCATGTCAATAGCGGCATCACGTTTGGCGCATTCATCGTGATGCTGATTATTCGCGCGTTCCCAGACGTCTTCGTCCTCCCGCTACCGGCGATCAAAGCCGGCGGGCGCATCCGCGGTATCACCGCGTTTACGCCCTCTTCGCGCCCCGTCGAGTGTGGCGCATTCAATGACTGCGGGCGTGACATCCTCAGCATCCTCATGACGGCTAAGAAAGAGGGGGAGTCGAAAGGTGAGGGCCTGACGACCAGCAGATTATGGACAGCGTCAAGTGCGAATTTCCGTCTGCCATGAGTCCGAGCGCCCGAGCCGCAATCTGCCCATGCACTGACGCTGGCTTGCAGATTCGTATGCTTATGGTGGTCGGTTACGGGACAACGGCGGGTCGCTGAGCTTCATGCTGCTTGAGATCGTGGGCCACCCCGAAGGCTAGCGGAGGCTGAGCGAAGAGATATGGCACAGCGACTTCGGCTGAGATGATATACAGCATTTGAATAACCTCGATGCCGTAGTAAAGGAAGGGTAAGTCGTATCTGCAGTTGGCATCTCAGTTTGCAGAGGCTCACGCAACTTCTCCAGGCTCCGCCTCCGTCCCGCATATTGCAAACCGAGCGTGTTGCCGTCAAAGACGATGTGATACCCCCCCTGAGCAAGCCCATTTCACCGCGAATGGTGAGACACCACGTCTCCGCGTTAAAGCCGGCCAGGTACGACCTTATCTCTCTTCTGTGTCAAGCTGCTCACCATGTGCTACATCTCGTTCCCGCGTCACTTCTTCAGTACTGCACATCTCTTGTGAGGCCGTGCAGCGCGACCCGAACGTATGGGGCCCGAACGCAACCGAGTTCAAGCCTAAGCGATAGATAAAACCCCAGTGTATCCCAAGCCCTTCTGAGCTCCCTCGCGGGTGAAGCGGCCTCGGATACCAACCCGGCTAGCTCTTCCACCCACTCTCGTCCGATATGTTTATTGTGTTCTGCTGACCATGAGGATGGTGAATAGCTGTATTTATATTACAAGGCTACCTTGCCTGCTCTTATCCGGTCGCTTGAGTTCAATATGAAGTGCATACGAGGATTTCTCCGACCTCCAGCGCGCAACAGATGGACAGAGTGGCCTCTTTTCCACAGTATGTCACTCTTGCGGCATAAAAGAGGGTGAATACTACAGCACAAGGCGATGGACATATTCTCTTGCCTCTTCCTCCCGCGAAGATTTCGATGACGCAGATAGGGTCCTCCAAGTATGTGATATTGCTTTGAAACTCGTGACCCGCAGATCATCATGTGGCTTTCCATGCAACGATATTCTAGTCGCGTAATTGGATTGCAGAGAGACATCGTACACCGAAGACGTGGCGCCATCTTAATCCTTCGTCGGTGATAGTACTCCTTTTGAGCAGGATGTTCTGATGACCAGGTCTAACAGTTTTGGTGAAGTTCAATGGGGCACTTGCAACGCGCTCATCTTGTTCTGAACTAAGCCTCGAACTGACGAAGGCGGAGCTTCCCCAAAAGCATCTCAGTAGCCTGGAGGCCCATTGACGGAACGGAGGAGACAAGCGCCCTCGCTCGGAGGAAGCCCGCAAGTTGGTCTCGGCGACAATTCATTTCTGCTCAACTCGATGTGGATTAAGACCACTTTGCCGCTGCTTGGTCCAGTGCGCCTGTCGATTTTCAGGCCATCAAACCCGGATACGCAGGAAGGCTACTCTCCGCTGGACCCGTGTTCGGAGCGCGCAAGTAGCTTCAAAGGTTGATTAACCCGTTGTGAATTTTCTGCTTCTGAACTTCTTTGCACTTGGACGTTGGCTCGATCCTGGACGGAAATGCACTTGCGTTATGAAAGCGTTCTACCGTCCTTACTGTTCTTTAGAGCAGCAACCTGCACCAACAACAATTCCAAGGACAAAGCAGGGCTACCGCCGCGAGCATTTCCGCCGACCTTCTCGTCAGAAATGTTCCTCCGCCACTCGGCGATCCGCCATGCTCAACGTAGAAGCTCGATCCTAGCGTGGACGCGCGTCTTCCTCATCCTGCAAGGCGGCAAATTCCTGGAGCTTGGAGCGGCGTTGACAGCGCTACGGACACAATCAGTTTTTCCAGAACGACCCGTGTTACGGGGCCGTGTACAAGACCCAGAAGATTCGCGCAGAGGCCTTGCTGCGCGCTCAAACCAGGAAAACCCGCGGCGCACATCAAAGCGTATCAGAAATTTGTACCAAGTAAGGCGAGAGCTTGTTGGACCCACAGACGCTTGATTCAATAGCCGGCCTGGCCATAAGGGACGTTGTGCGAGGATATCACGGTGAGGAGGAACTGTCGAATGCGGTATAGTTCGTAGCTGCTATCAGTGTGAATGCTGAAGAGATCTGCAAGATCCTTGGAAATCGCACTCTTGTGCTCGTGTCCCTTGTTACCCAAGCGACGATCATGACCATCTGACCTCGCCTTGGAGACTCGTGACACCAGGCTGAAGGAGGTAGCCAGAAACCTGGGTAGGGTGTCGAGGAGTTGAACGAAGGATGACGAGACTCCAAAAGCAGTTTGAGAGCCATGCTAGTCTGTGCCACGTTGCCGCGCAACAGCATGCGCTGGAAGGAGTTCTCGTTCAGCGGCTTGACATCGACCACACTTTCAATTCTGGCTATTTGCGCCCCGTGAGGGTCTCGATTCTCGAAGGGAACTGAGCAGCGCGATACCACTCGGGCATCCGCACGGCAAGCCCCAGCACTGATGCTGGTCTCGCAACCCCAAATCTCTTCTGCTGCTTCGTCTTCGCCGAGGGCTTACCCGATGGGTGCCTGTTGACTTGAGATACAGTCCAGATTCGCGCTAAGAGTAGGCTGTGCCGCGTTTTTCAGCGGCGCCATCTCCGGTGCTGAGGGCGCAAATCGCCATTACGGTATTCGGCCGATCATTCAAGACGCAGCCGCCAGGCTCCAGCAGCGATGCTTTCTATAGTATGGTCAATCAACTCTAAAAAAGTTGAATTTGCTTGCGCACCAGAAGTTTTAGGCGTGGGTATCGAGTTGATGGCGGTATCTTACCGGTGATCAGAGGGCGTCTGCGGCGGGACGTCCTGCTAGGAATGTTAACGACGGCGACCGACCCTGACTGACCTCGTTTCGAGCACATCCAGCCTGCGGTCGGGTCTCAGCAGGCGTTATTATCCCGAGCCTGGTTGACTCTATTAGGGAGAAGCCGACAAGGCAGACAACTCGATATACAGGGCACTTGCGATCTGCTGCGCATGACCTGCCTCCCTACCTCCCGTCAAATGAGCACTTCCGCAACGAGTTGCGATTTTGATGAGATTTGGCTTCGCTTGCAAGAGCACGCACACTAGCGTTGACGTCGGGAGGCGTGTTTCTCGTCTCTCGTAAAGCATTCAAAGATCTTCCCACGGTAAGTCTCCGTCCGCCGAGCTCCTTCCAGTCGGCGGAATCACGGTGGCGAGCAGACGCGAGCTGGAGTAGCAGACCTGTCGGCCGCGTGGGCGGGATCTGCACTCGCCTCACAGAGTTTCTGCACATGTCGTGGCCCACCAACTTCAGGGGACACGTCGGCAAGTGCTTGACAGCTGGACAGTTGACAGCTCTCCAGGAGATATTGGAGGTCGAGACTTTGTCTGCGGATGAACCTTGCTATCAGGTTGTCGTCGTCTTAGGAACAATGCTGAGGCTATTGAACCGGGCAGAGGAGGACAGTCCTATGTCTGTCTTGTTATCGGAGCATCTAGGTACGCATACGTCCTGCTATCGAAGGTGAGTTTAAAGGGCAGGTATCGCATCGACCTCGGAAGCGCGAACAGTATCTGAGAAGGTAAATGTCGGCCAATGGGTGGTTCTTGGCAAGAAGTATCCATCAATGGGTTGAGAGGAGAAGCAGGTGATCAATAGGACATCGCAATCTCCGGGTTCATATGAACTTTGTAAAGCATGCGAGGTCGGAACTTGATGATTTTGAAGCTAGCACGGTTTGGGCTTCTATACTGGTTCGTCGGCCGTCTGTTAACGGCGCAGGGAGCATTCCTTGGACCGGCAGTAATTCTGACCGGGAGGAGGGGGTTTTCGCAAGATGGTACATGACTTGCCGTCGAGAAGGAAACCCAACTCAGTGGTATCCGCAAAATGCACCATGCGACAAGCGATGATGGCAGTCGCGATGAAGGATATGCCATGTTAGGACATGCAACGTGAGATAGCCGCGAAAAACACCCTTCCAGGGTCTTGGGCCGCAGAATCCATAGTCAGGAACTGCACGAGAAGGGTCTGATTCCATGTGCAGTATGACCAAGGCAATCCCCGAGCCCGTTTGACTGGGAGGCATCCTGTGTCGGGCTCCCTCCTGCTCAGTCAACTTTAATACCGTGCACGGCGTCGAGCAGGATGTTCAGGACGTCGAGCGAAGCGTAAATAGGCCAAGGGCATGTCCAAAATTCGAGCGGGAATCGAGGAAGTCACGAAGACGTGATTCGCGGCTCGAATTGGTGGGTCTAGCTTGCAGAAGGAGGCTTCGTTTTCCGCGCCAACTTAAAAGGTCATGCTTCTCCCCGCGCTGTCTGCACGATGCATATATAGGTACCACCTCTCCTCCTCCTCGCCGTTCCCTTTCTCGATTTCACTGCACGAGTCACTCCGCCCGCTTTAGTGCGTGCGTCTTCATCGACTGCCTCCCATCATCGTCACCAGCACACTCTCGGACATCACCATAACCATGGTCGACTGGCAATCTGAAGCCGAGATCGCTCAAGATGGAGGTCAGTGTTTGATCTCGCGGACGCGCTTGCGGATGCCCGGAGCGGCCGCGCGTTGCGTTTGATTATCGCAGTCAAAATCAGTGAACTTACGCCCATTGAATTTGTAGTGGCGTTCGGCCGGTTTATGCATACGCTGCTCGGGCTGTACATGTGAGCGCATATATCCTAGTGTGAGCTCCTGATGGGATGCGCAGTGCTCATTGTATGCGCTGTAAACAGCTGGGAATGGGCCACATCCCTTGACTTTGACTGGGAGTTCATCTCAGGCAAGCGCAAGTTCCGATGGCCGATGGTTTGTATCCCCGCACACCAGCCGAAACGCGTAAGGTTCACATAACCTCCAGATATTCTACTTCGCCGGTCGCTATTTCCTGCTGTTCGCCCTGATAGGCATGTAGGTATCATTCCTAAGCGTCTTGAAGATCGATGCTAACAGACTCCCTACAGAGCGATCGCGTTGAACGTATCCAAGTATGTGTTCGGTTCCGTTGAACCGAACGATCGCTCACAAAACCTATTCGAACAGGCCGATTAATTGTCAAGCCTTGTATACCTATAATCAGGTGCGCATATAGTCCGTCATCTCCATTGGAACTGCTCCATTGACCACTACGCCAACTGATAGGTATTTGGCAACGGCGCGATCGGCCTCGCCAGCATCAACCTCTCCCTGCGCACGTCAGTACTGCTCTCTCTTTGTGAGACTGGGGCGCATATACTCATCCCGTTCGCGCACGCAGCATGGCCGTCTGGTCGCAGGCCTGGTACATTGTCGTCCCCCTCGTCGCCATCATTCTCGGTCACTGGTCGCTGCTGCTGCACGGTCCGCATCTAACAACAACATGCTTAATTATCGCTGATAGTTCGTCTTGTGTAGGCATTCTCATCAAGGCCGCGTGGATCCCGGGCTCGGGCTGCACGATCACCAATACGGACAACACGCTCCTCGCGGCGACATTCATTTACTCCATGTGCTTCGACTTCCTCGTGCTCATACTCACCGCGTACAAGCTAGCGTTCCCGACGCGCCGCAGGGACCAAAGCCGTATCGTGCAGCTCATCTTCGGAGATGGGCTGATCTACTTCATGATTGCGTGGGTGCCTCAAGTTGCCTGTTCTGCCCTGAGCACCAAGTGCTGACTACATGCGTAGATTCCTTGCCAACCTGCTGGCTACGGTATGTTTATTTCTAGCTGTATGTGTAGCGTTAATAATGACATCGCCCAGATCTTCATGCTGCTTGATCTCAATGCTGTCATGTCGATCATTGCGAATGTCCCCGCCGCTGTCTGCTCGACCGTGAGTGCACTGTCGTCCTTGCTCGCTCGAGCATCGAGATAACTTTGCTATCATGTAGATTGTCGCATGCCGTGTTGTGCGCAGGCTGAGCAGGTACACGTCACCGGGTGTCGAGATATTCGGGTGCGTTCATGTTGAACCTTTGTATGCTGCTTTGACTGAATGAGACTGATGCAGCTCTACGATGGCCTCCACCCTTGCATTCACTCATGGCGGTCGGAGTCGTGGTGGACCAGTGTTGTCTGTCGGAGACAAAAAGGAGGGAGTGCACGTTCAGGTCAGTACGCTGGCCTGACTATAACCTCTCGTCGACATCACGTTCTTTCGCGCGTACGCGTAATTATTGCCGCTGCTTGGGTATTCTGACATTCTACTCTCACAGATGGAGACGTTCGCTGCAGTGTCAGAGACGGTGCCCTCGGATCAGTCATTCCTACAGTACGACGCCATCGACAGGATCAAGACGGATATCGAGAGCCTGAACACCGATGCACCGCCGAGTCCCGAGGAGATGAAGCGGCCGGTGATCTAGGAATACCCTGCTACCACACGATGTCCTGTCGTGCCCACATACCCACCCGGACCTTTTGCTCTGCTTTGCTGTCGCTGTTCTTGCTCTCGCTGTCATCACGTCCTTTCCATCTCATCGTCTCTTCTTGGCATCACATGCACATGCACATGCGTGCCTGCGCGTCCGACTTCACCATCAGCCCGTCCCCATGCCCACACGCTCCAAAACGAAAATCGCTTCTAATCCGCACAATCCATACACCACCTCTCGCAGCATCGCTTCTCGTATGCTTTTGCCTTGTCGTCTTGCTACGTGTCTCGCACGCTTGCCGTTGGTCGTACGTTGACTTCTGCGGGCCGTCGGTCCCGCTGCTCCCCTTGTAACATTATGCTTCACTATGGGCTTCGGGGCCCGCAGTCGGTCGCCCACCACATTCTCTTTCTCTCGCGCTATCACAGGCGCGTCTGTGGTGATTGTTCAGTCTTTTCTTTCTGGAGGATCCAACATCCGCTTGGTGTGCTATGCTTGGAACATGGAGTCATGACTGTTCACTCTCACTCTTACCTCACATCCGCCACTTCGCTTTCACCGCGACCCTCTACATACCTTCTCATGTCGTCATGTCCTCTTCGCCACGCTGACCCGGAATCTGGCTCGCTCTATGCCGTTCTTTCTTGTGCTGCACTCGTTTATTCCAGCCATTCCCTGTACGCTGTTCTCAAGAAGTTACAGATGCAAATATTGTTGTATGTTAGTTGCAGACGCTCATCTGGCCGGGCGTTTGCTGTGCCGTTTAGAGAGAAGGAATCAATCCGCGTACAGGAAAATTATTTTGGCTGTCGTGCAACAAATGCTCGTATCCGACCACATGGTGCGTAGATGTTCAGAATAACTTGTCTCAGTGAAGATCCTTTTCTCCGTGCATACATGTGCTTTCAGCGATGAACACCTGTCAGATTCACTCCGGGCCCATGGAGTGCTTCGAGCGACCACCGTCAAGACCGTCCGGCTATCGTGCGCCATTGGTCTCGACAGGGCACCTGCGGGCGCAGTGAGAAAGCATCACGACTCGGGTTCACAGAACGTTGTCGTCATGAGAGGCGTCATCATATCGGCTTTGAGTTCCCCCTCAATGTATCAGTGCATCTTCCGCTACCGGAGCGCTGATCGTCGAAAGCCCGGATCCATTACTCTGATTCAGCTTTCGACTTTCCTCTTCCTGCGCAATTGCCTCTTACGGGCGCGTTCTGCTGTCTCAAGTTGCTCCGTGTATATGCCACAAGTTGTCTTACTCAGCCTGCTGCCCATCGTGGAGTCCTGTGAGTCTAGCGGCCCCATCTTCTGCCTCCCCTCCACGCCAACCAAGGTGCGAGCCACATTGCGGACTGAGTATATCTTCAGGGTCTGACGTCGAAGCACGGTGCGCATGCATATACCCTTGAAGCGGACGCCCAAACCGGGGTGAAGTCCACATTTAGGACGCACTTACTCCTCTCCTTCTACCCACTCAATCGGCTGAGATTTACACACCCACCTGATTGCGTTGATGCTGAATTTGAGGGCACCTTCGCAAGGAAGATGGGTGCCCAGACCTTGGGATCGGCGCAAAGGCAAGAAGACAGATTCACTGTGGACCTGTGATTATGTAATAGTGCGCGGCAGCAGGTCTTGTGTCTGGCAGACTTCGATCTTAAATTTTACGTGGTGCCTTGTAAGTACTAGTGCAAGGGCTTGTCAATGGGAAGACCGGCGATAAGATGCTCGGGCAATCCGGTGGCACCAGCGATTTGGGAAAGGGAGGTACTACAGTCGCTGTACATGCACCAATGGTGTCGTCTTCGCGTCCCTTGAGGATTCTTCTCGAGGCTCTAGGAAAGAGAAGCGACGTGTGGTGAGCTGTGGCGCGTAAACTATTGAAGATTGCTATCTCGTTTTGCATGAGGGCCGTTGACGCTCCTTTTCCTCCTGCAGCTTGATCTACGTATGCCCCGCGGAGTTAGCATTCAGGAACTTCGTAGAGCTGCATCCGACACCGTGCTTGATGGTAGAATCACCCCGCCATAACATCAAGATGATCAAACAGCACAAGCATAGCGAAAATAACACAAATGCGATTATACACAGCCATTCTAATGCATACCTCACGCATGCTCTATCTCGCAGTCGGCTGCTGCACAGCCGCCTTCTGCGACAGCCGATCCGTAAGCGTCGCATCCGCTGCGTTTGCCGCAGGAATCTCGATCTTCTGCGTTGCGTCTCGCCGCTGGGAGCGGCTGTCTCCCCGGAAGCCGATATAGTATATCGTCAACGCATCGCCGCCCACCGACTCGCTCTGCGTGCCTGCAGATCAGCACTATCCACATCGAAAGTTAATAACAGGGAGGAAAACGCACGAAGAAGAGCGACAGCGAGTGGATGCTCGCAAAAGCGGCGCTACGCAAGGGATACTCGGTGACGCCCACCTCGCCCTCTAGTAGGCTGATGTTGAGCTCGGGCGACAGCTCCTCTGCCTCGGCAAAGTCGACGATCGTCGTATGGTTCGCATATATCCGCAAGTGGCGTGGAGTAAGCTCGCCCCTCCCTACGTGAACGTCGTCGGTGTATGCGTCGCGATTTATAGGGACGTGGATTACTGACCGACTTTGAGGAGCACGGAGCGCACGCGGACGTTCTGCGCGAACGGGACGTGGATGATGATCTGCGGCAAGTTAAGTCGCCATATCTCAGAACACGCCTTCCCATGTCTTTGCGTTGAGAAGCTGAGCATCGCACGCACCTGGTCATCAACCCCACTCTCTGCCGACTTGGACGTATCATTGCGCTCGTCCCACGGCTTGATCACCGCTTGCGCGTCCTCCGGCACCGTCAGGTTCAGCCCGTGTACACTTCGCTTCGAGCAGCATAGGTTAAATCACTACTCGTATGTGGCGTGCGCCAACATGATGCGTGGGCTTACTTCATCTTGTCTATAGAGCCATAGAGGTTCGCGACGTCAGTGCCCTCGAGCTCGGCAGCCATGTTCTGTTCTGAGGACATGTTGGCACGGCTGGTGAGGATGATTCAGATGAAGTCCTTCGTTGAAACAATACAAGTTGGGCTGTGCGTTCTGAGTGACTATAGCGATTCCTTGACTTGAATGAGAGGACGTCGAGATTGCGCCATATGGTCGATAGCAGCAGACCGCTGGGGTTCGCTCAGCGCTTCCACATCGGTACGATAGACGCTCGTTCCCGACGCGGTCATGTGACCGAACTCACGAGAGCTAAACTGGACTGCAAATCCATTCAACAAATTTATTGATTGAACGTTGAACGTTGAACCCTCGAGCAAGCAGCCCTCAGTTGCTTCTTTTCCATCCTTGTTGGTGGAAGGTGTCGGCGAAAATGTTGTACAGGCTGTAGCGGTAGCAGAGACAGAAGCGAGTGTGGAGAATCAACCGGAGATGAGATTATTTTCTTTCAACACCTGTCTGCATCTACATTATGCTAGGCGAAGGCGCGTTGTGGTTCTCAGCGACTTCCTCAGCAGGCAGCAGTACCGATCTTGCTGGGCAAATGCAATTGAAATACAAAGAGAACACAGAGAGCAAACACCGTTTAAAAGATTAGGAAGTCCTCTTAATAGCTGGAACCGTTGACCTGCCATCGTCGGAGATAAGCGAGATGCAACAAAGCAAGCCATGTCGGGGACTCACTTTGTCTCTCAGCTGCGAGATGTACTGCTGGTAGCTTGGCAGCGTGTCCGAGCGGTCCTGGATGAGGCAGCTCAGAGCCCACAAGCGCAGCGGCGGCTCTCCGTCCTCCTTGACCACATATAGGTGCGGATAGTACACGCCGCGGCGCATTTCCCGCGTTTTCTGGATGATGGCATTCACGCGCTCGGAGAAATTGTTCTCTAGCACAGGCAGCGTGTACTGTGAAGGACGGTGCCGGTGAGCATTGATAGCGAGATGAGCGAGAAACTTGCCTTCCCGCCACGCAAGGTCTCGTAGCTTGGCAAATTGAACACGTCCGTGATAAGTTGAGGGACAGCATCGCGGCCAACCCACAAGAAGAGGGTCTGACCATCCTCGATGAGGAACAACCCGTGCCTCTCGAGTCTCTCTGACGTCAGCGGCAATGGAGGCGGCATGATTACGCCCTGCTCGCCAACTGTACCACACTGTATGACAGGTTCGTCAATCCTCGCTCGCTCGGCCCGTGATGCTGGCTCACCTCAGGAGGCATGTTGTGCAAGGAGTAGAAATTCGGATAGACGTATGGAATGAGCAGTTGCGACGGCAGTGACGTGAGCAACGCCTGCGCATATGCCCTGAGATCGGGCGGTATCTGAGCACTTTGTCGAATGCCAACCTAATAAAGTGCATCGTCAGGCTAACGCATTCGCCGTCCAGCCAACCAACACTCACGTTCTTCAGCAATCCCAGCACCAGCACCGGCAGCATCTTCATGTTCTCCGAGGTCGCCAGCTGCGCGCTCGCGCCCTGGCCCGCAGTCGTCATGCTCGCCTTGTACGCCTGCAGGATCTCCACCATCTTCGCAAACAGCGCGTCGCGCGCATCTTCAAGTTTGTGCGTGATCGAGCGCTCGACGGCCTTGTTCGCGAGCAGCGTCGCGATTGCAACCTGATCCGCGGACGCGAACACCTCTGAAAGGCTGTTCGTTGTTGAATATGCGGTCGTCACGACGCGAATGCGGCGCTCGCCTGTGATATCGTGCAGCAAAGTCAGACAGGTTAAAACAAAACGCGAGCGGCAATAAAGCAGCGTACCATAGCATGTGGTGTGCAGCACAGCGGTTTGGAAGACAACAAATGGTGATGTGATGTTGTCCTCGATGGTGATCTCAATTGCGTACGACTGATCTTGCGGCACCGCGGGCATGGCAAGCAGGTCCGTCGACCGCACGAAGAAGTTGCCGTGGAAGGACGACATACGTAGATCTACGCGATCTCAGTGAGCACATGCAAACTCTCGAACCCAACTGTATGCGCACTTTTCGATGCGCGCACACGCATGACAGCCTCGAGCATAATCGGCATTGCGAGCACCTCGCCAAACTCGTGTGCGAACTTGATCGCGTCCTCGGTGCGAGACGCATTGAATGCAGGGTAAAAGTACGTTTGCCCGGACGTGTAATGTGGGAGACACGCTGCCAAAAAAATCAGCATTCAGCGTGCTAAAAGCTGTCGTGTTCCGTACGTACCGAGTGTTGCAAGATCCTGGTACGAGTTACCAAAGAGGAACATGTCAACCGATACCTGCGCGCGCGAGCATTCGATCGCAAATGTCTTGTAGAAGGGGGAAGCTGCTTGCAGAAGGCCGGATTCCTATTAAAAAAAGGCTGTACTGAGAAATACAGCCATGAAACTGCAAACGGGCTTACCTTGGACGTGCCGAGAATTTTTGGATCTTCCCTGTTCTTCAGGGCACCAGCGCCTAAAGATGGCAAGCTGGAAGACAGAACCATGATTTTACCGCCGATTGGAGCCTTTTCCGCAATCGATGTCATTCGCCGAAATGACCACGACAACTAAAAGACATACCATCAGCTTGAAGCCGGCCTGCAGCGCAGGTCCGAGCGCACTGCCTATCATGTGATTGTCCTGGAACATATCGCCAAGCCTACCGAGGAGCGACTCCAGCGAGGCTCGCGCTTCCGCGAGGTTCACGAGAAGGTCGGTCGGCTTGGGTAGGAAGACATCGTCGATATCTGACACCACCAGCATCGTCGAATCAGTGATTCCCGGCTACCCATGGTGCCTAAATCAGCCCGCATCCAGTGTTGTAGACGCAAAATATACCCACCGGCATGGAGAAGAAATACAGCGACACGTCAAATGCGATGATGGCCACTTTCGTACGTGCATCCTCGTTGGGGATCCGGTCGAGGTTCTCCAACAGCGTGCGCGTCGCGGTCGCGACCATGCCCGACTGCACGGCCGAGTGACTGACGTCGATAAGGAAGACGTATACCGCGGGCTGGGGTGGGCGAACCATATATTCGGTCGGCGCGACGAATTCGACGACACCATGATTGAGTTCGGCACGAGCCCAGCGGTCCCCAGGCTGGTTCCTCACCTGGTCCCAGTCAAAGAGCTGAGGGACCTCATTCGACATATTGCACATGCAGCAACGCCAGCTGCAATGGATCAATCGCACGTCTGACACAAGTGCAAACAGAACGCTCACCGGTTGCCCCCGTCAATGAACTGCACGTACGGGTTGATGTATGTTCTGCACCGACGGCAGCGCGCGATGACGGTGTCGGTAACGAGCGGAACAGGCGGATCTCCCTCCTTGAGACTCCTGTAGGGCGTGAGGATTAGCGCCAGAGGGATCTTGGACTTGCCAAGGATAGAGTTGGACACAGGGATCGCGTTGAGTGTGCAGCGCTGATAGGACGAGTCGGCATTCGCGTAAGGAGAGGGCGAGATGCACGCATTGGCAGGAAGGCAAATCTCGGGAGGCGGGCGATGCAGGTCGGTAGGATCGGGCGGTGCGGTGAGCAGGTTGATCGTGAACAGCTGAGGTCGCTTCTGGCCTCCGTTCACGTTCATCGCGCTGAACTGGTCCGCCAGCGCGCCCACCGCCGGGGCCTGTGTTTGTCCGAATCCAGGCGCATTGACGTACTCGGGCTCCCCTGCAGGAGCAAAATAGCCTCCTTGCGCTGACTGCATCTGCTGCTGCTGTTGCTGCTGTTGTTGGAACTGGCCCTCTGCGGCGAGGCCAGGTGTAAAGAGCTGGGCGGGCTGGGGCTGCGTGGCTGCAGCACTATACGTTGTCCCGCCAGCGGAAAGCCCGTCTGTGTTGTAGTAAGCTTGTGTCTGGCCTGCAGCATATTGGCGACGCTTGGTATGATGATGCAAGTAAGATGGTGGGGGAGACATGGAGGGCGGTATATCGCCCAATTCCGGGTTAAGTTCAGGCACCTCCCACTGCGTACGGCCTGTAGCGGTCTCTAAATAGCGAGACACGGATTAACAGGATGACTGCGCGCGTGTGCAAATGAGCACACCTATGAACATATATCGCTGGTTCGTCGGATCCCTGGAACATCTCCCTTCAGTCCGATACCCTCAGCTCGCGATGATCAACCACCACACACCATTCTGAGACCCAGCCGGGCGGCAATGTCAACGATGGGGAGGACATCTATACGCGCAGGTGATTGAAGAAGAAGACGGAGTGCTTGGTCGCGGTTGTGCGTGTCTGGCGATCACGACACCACGCGACACGTCAGTGATGAATCCGCGACGTGTGCCTCTCGTTACGCGCTCGTTGTCGTTGTCGCTCGATGTACAAAATTCGGCAGAGGCTTGCCTGTGTTTGCGCGGCGAAAACGATGTCGGCAGCTGCAGAAGTGGTTTAAAGGAGAGGACAATATGGGGCGCGTCACATGCGCCCCCCAGTACGCTGAGGTGCAGTTAACGACTCTACTTTTCTATCGTAGTTCTCATTCTGTCCCGCAGATTGTAGACTCTATGCACACGCTTTCCTAGTCCAATATAATTCGGCCTTGACTCTTACAGTCGTGATGACCGCTCTAGCTAACGTCGCAGCGGCGAATTCCTCCAGCATCTCCATACGAGCCCGTTCGCCCCATCCTCCCGCATCGCCTGAGCCGTCGCAGGATGCCAAGGCCGCCAACTCAAAGGAATCCATTGAGCTTGCCGAGATTGGCCAGAATGCAGGAGCGTCCATACGAGCGGCGAGCAATACTGCAGGGTCGTCGAGCGAGACGACACCAACGACACGTATCGACCGTCGCAAGTTGAACATCCACTTCGCGGCGATGTGTTTCTCGTTGTTCCTCGCAGGCTGGAACGATGGCACGACGGGTCCACTACTGCCGCGCATACAGAAAGTATATCATGTACGTGTGAGCTCCATAAGCAAGAAAGACAATTAAGGAGTACCTATATTCAGGTCGGATTCGCTGTGGTCTCCCTCATTTTTGTTTTCAACTGTCTCGTGAGTGAGGCCGTATCAAGTGCGCTAAATATACTCAGTTCCTGTATATACCTAGGGTTTCATTACCGCCGCTGCAGCCAATGTTGCGCTAACAGATAGACTCGGATTTGGCAAGGTCTGCTCACATCTTGCGCCTTCCCTCCTCGTTGTACTAAATCTCCACATCTCACAGGTCATGGTACTAGGCTCGCTATGCCAGATGGTTGGATACGCACTTGCGTCGCCCGCCCCGCCCTTTGCGGTATTCGTGCTTGGGTATGCTATAAATGGCTTTGGTCTTGCGCTGCAGGACGCGGGTGCGAACGGCTACGTGAGCAGCTTTGAGCACGGCGCATCGACCAAGATGAGCATCATGCACGCCGTCTACGGTACGCCTCCCCTCCCTGATTTCCCGACCAATCACCAACGTCGATACCGTAGGATTCGGCGCACTGTGTTCCCCTCTTGTTGCCACCCAATTCTCTGAACGCACTCACTGGTCGTACCACTACCTCATCTCGCTTAGCATCGCTTTTCTGGCCACCGTGATCCTTATCGTCGTGCTTCGCTTCCGAGACCAGGACGGTGAGCTTCACATTTGCGCATCCACTAGTGAACCCAGAACAGCTGACTGTATGCGCCTAGAATGCCTAGCAGAGCTTGGGCAAGCCACACCCGAGAAGACTGCCAGCAATGAGGAGGGCAAGTATAAGCAAATCTTCCGCCTCCGCGCACTGCACCTCCTTGCCGTGTTCATCTTCATTTATGTCGGCGTCGAGGTGACAATTGGAGGTTTGTCGGCATCGCTGTCTATTGAGACTGTTCCTACTAGCACATGGGATCGCTTATGATTCCTGACTGTAAGGCTGGATTGTTACGTACGTTATCGATGTACGCTCGGGCGGTCCGTCGTCTGGTTACATCTCGTCCGGTTTTTTTGGAGGTACATTTTTTCCCGGTGATGACATCTCCGTTTCATCTGACAACATGTTTTCTCTAGGACTGATGCTGGGCCGTGTTGCATTGCTCTGGGTAAATAAAACGGTCAGCGTCATCTCCTTTCACTGCTTTCCGTCAATGTAGATCACTCATTCCCGCCCATCTCGCAGGTCGGCGAACGCTACGTCATCTTTCTCTACGTTCTCCTTGCTATTGGGTGCGTCTCCATTTTCCGATTTTCAGACCGCGCTGACCGTCATTTCAGGCTCGAACTCGTCGTGTGGCTCGTCCCATCTCTCATTGGTGGAGCGGTCGCTGTGTCCTTCGTCGGCCTCCTCCTCGGACCCATCTACCCGATCGTCATGAATCATTCTTCGCGGATCCTCCCACCGTGGCTGCTTACGGGTTGCATCGGATGGATTGCGGGCGTCGGGCAAGCAGGTTCTGCCTTCCTACCATTTATAACGGGATTGCTTGCAAGCAAAGAGGGTATAAAATCGTTGCAGCCACTGTGAGTCGGTTTATCACGGGGTTAGCAGGCATGAAGCAGTTATTGACTATTGTCCGCAGGTTGGTCTCAATGATGGGCTTCATGGTCATTCTTTGGGCTGTCGTGCCGAATCACGCAAGACGAGTGGACTAGTCGCACAATAAATTTTACCATATTTCTGCACGATGGTGCATAGATTTCATTTTACATTGCTCCATTGTGCATAGGTTCTTAGACTGGACGCACTTTCCAATGAGACGGGCGATATTCACGAATTGCACCAGTGATGTCGCTCACCGAGACTCCTATGAATGGGAGGCACTGTAAACCACGGGGACGTTGCACTGCCCTCCGCTGTACAGTGAAACTAAGCCAATAGTAATTCCTGCACATCATAGCCGTAATGATACCAATTTCCTCCCCCGTTCTCGCTCGATCTCGTCTTGCGGCCTCAGCCCTATGCCTTTGTCCATTCTGCGACCCTTTCCACCGAACCCATTGCCCATCCCCAACGGCAGATACCCAGGCATAAGCAGCTTCTGCATGGCCCTGACCACTTGTAGCGGATTGCGGCTCCCCCACACCTTCGCGCTGATGTCCTTGATCCCCGCCGCCTTCAGAATGTGGTAAATATTCGGGTTGCATTGCAGGCCGAAGCCGACCGGACGTGGTCGAAGAATGACCTTGGTCGACGCGAACTTGACCTCCATCTCCGTCCACACGGTACGCTCCTCGAAGCGCTCAACGTAGTCCATGTTGCGCACAGCCGAGACGAGCGCGGTCTGTGTCGCGCGCGAGCCCTCGCTCGCCTTGCCCTCGCCGATACCGACGAGGCCGTCCTCGTTCCCGACGACCATGACGACATGCTGCTGAGGTATCCTGCCCTTGCCCGTCTGCTGCACGACGCGCCGCCGCAGGACGGCGTAGCGGTACAGACGATTGATCTCGCCCGGCGAAAGGTGGAGAAGCGCTAGCGGGCTGTCGGTACGCGGTGGGCCCGGCTGCTTCTCAGCGAGGTTAAGGTCCTCTCCTCGCTCTTTTGCGGCCTGCTCGCGCGCTGCGACGAACATGGAGGGGTTGTTCCGAATGACGACTTTATTCTCGAATCGCGAGTATTTGCTAGGAGGGAACGTCTCAGATTCGTGCAGGTCCATGAGGATATCTGGCTCCATAAGGTTGGGCCCGCCTGCGTTGATCTCCTTGACTGAGGCCAAGTCGAGATTCTGCAAATACTCTCTGATTATAGCATCTTGGTCCCGTTTTGAGGGGCCAGCGTCGGAAGAGTTATGACGAGCAGATATCCATCTGCATGCTAGAGAGTGTGCGATAGGAGGCCGCGCAGGAGCGGAGACGAGTCGGGACGCGGAGACGAGACGTCCGGCAAGGTTGCTCATCGTCGGACACGGCGAGCTCGGCGGGTGGCCAAATGCTGCCAGAGCTGTGACCAACATTGATTGCATGTGACAGATGTGACTTCACCGTGACACCGACACCGAGCTGAGAAAATATTGAATTGAGAATGCGTGAAATGCGACTCGGATACATGATGTGTTGAACCCTTGCGAGAACGATGCGGGGGCGCAAAGTCAAAAAAAGAAAAAGATGGTACATTATTGATGGAATAATCTCTATCACTTCACGGACGCTTCTTCCTAGCCGACTTCGTCCCTCCTGCAACGGTCTTACGTGAAGACCGCGACTTAGCCGCAGGCTTGACGGGAGATTCCGGTTCGACCGCAGGCGTGGATGATGATATCCTGCTCGACCTTCTCAGGTTTGAAGGCGTCGCAGTCGCTACTTCCGGAGTGCCGCCACGCGAGCCAGAAGGTCGCGCGCGCCCTCGACGGGCGGACGGTGTGGTCGGTGGGAGCGGGGGGAGGAAATCATGTCCTTCATCCTCGTCCTCGTCCATCAGACCCCCTGGTATCCTCTGCTCGTCCTCACGGACCTCTGGCTCCTGCACGCCTGCGCCGCGTGGTTGCTGCATAGGCGAAGGTGACGGAATTCGCGGAGTTAGGCCGAGAGGCGACGCCTGACGCGGCGGCGTGGACTGCACGGGCTCAGGGCCGGCCTGCAGCTCGGGCTCAGATTCCCCCTCGCCGTCGCTATGAGTGAACGAGCCAGGAAACTCAGGCGACTTTTCCTTGTGGAGGCGCGGCGACTTCCTTGATTCCCATCCGCTACGCGAGTCAACGAAGGAGAAGCTGAATTGCGCCGTGACCTGGGGCGTCTGCGGTGCAGGCTTGGGCTCTGGAGTCTTGAATCGTGAAGCGTCCGCGTGGCCGTTCGCCAAGGGAGCCTCCGTCTCCTGCATCTCGACGTCGGGCTGTGGCATGCGAGGTTCGTATAGGTCTTCCATGGGCACCTCCTCGGGCTCGAAAGCAGCCCTGGCCCTGGGAACAGCCCCAGCCTCCGGGGTGCGCTCGCCTTCGGAAGACTGCTCAACCTCGGGTGTTGCTTCCACTTCGGGGGACGACTCCATCACCTCAGCCGCGGCCGGAGTCCGGGGTCCGTCCTCGCCAAACGCCCGCTTCACGCCAGCTGTGGGGAACGTCGGGAAGAAGGCATTCGAGTACTGGTTCGCGCTGCCGGCCGCCTGATAGAGTTCCTCGGTCTCGGATGCGATGGGAGCTTCGCGGACAATGTATGGGACATTGCGGGAGGGAGACAGGATGGAAGAGGGCCCAGCAACTGGGGCAATGGCTCCTGAGCGTGTACGAGGTGCATTTGTGCCACCGAGGACAGCGGCCGCTCGCGCAGAGGGTCTGCTCGCGCTTCCCGGCACTGCGTGCATCGGCCGCACAGGAGATATGCTCGTCTGTCCGTACATGCCCGAAGACGCGGTCACAGGAGCAGATATGGACTCGCCAGTCGGATGCAATGGTACACGACGCGGTCCAGCCGAAATTGAGAATCGCGGCGTCTCCCGCTCTTCGTGCGGGATGATGGGCAGAGGTCCGCCGAAACGCAGTGCGCCCGAGGGTTCAGTGACGGTAAAGAACGCAGGCTCTCTGTGGAGGGGGGCCGAGGGAGGTGGCGCGACTGAGCGTGACGCGCCCGCGCTCTCCCACGACATACTCAACTCAGAATCATTTGCGATCCGCTCCTTCCAAGATGTCGTCAGTACAGGCCCGCTCATGCCCGTCCCTTTGCCCAATGCGAGCTGCTCAAGCTCGATCTCCAGCAGCTGTCGCTCTGAAGCTGGCAGCGCAGCCATGATCTCGTCCATTATCTTCCGGCGTTCTGCAACGGCAATTTTGTTCGCTTCGCTCGGGTAAAGTGCGGAGTGCGAGGAAAGCTGACGGTCAAGCTTGACTGCAGCCGCAAATTCGCCTGCTTGCACGAGCCGCAGCACCACTAGATCCTGGATGGCGGGAATGGAGGCGAGAGGGAGGTCGGAGGGCGGCTCGGTCGCGTAGCTGTGCAGTATATCTTGCTCAAGTTTTTCGAGAGGAAATTCGGCGAGCTGTTTGAGCGGCTCCACGCCTGGTATTGCTACACAGAATCAATAAAGGTCACCGGTACCGATGTAGATTATGAAACATGTACTTACGCGCAAGACACCAACCCAGAATCTTCTTGATTAACCTTTCGCGCGTCCCGCCCTTTACTGGAGGGTATGTCTGCTGATATTCCCATGCTTCCACAAGACTTGAGTCTGCCAAAGCCATTGTATACGCGTCGATGTCTCCTGGTTTGCTGAGCCGCGGCTTCGCAGTTCGTACATATTTTCGGATGAGCGGACTGGGGTCGGATGCCAGAGACAACGCCTGGATGATCTCCGACGCATAATGTCTCTCTAACCGCGCATCGGCTAATATCGATACGGCTTTTTCATAGTCCTGGAATGTAACGGCAGTCAGAACAGGCTGACGTGGGGATGCTGTACGTACAGCAAGTTGTTCGCCAAAATCCAGATGCCAATACGCATCCGACAAAATAGCAAAGTGAGGTGGTATACACCTTGCCATGGCAAATTTCTTTTCGCGGCCATCCTGGTGCCACTTGAGGAGAAAATAGATGATGCTGTCCCTCTTAACCGCGTCATACGACGTCTCAGCTATCGCGTCGAGAAGTCGTTGAAGAGAGGCGGCATCAGTGGGCGGATATACTTCTTCCGGCTCGTCAATACCTCCGGAGCGAAGCACAATATCGAAGAGAAGTTGGCCGCCCATTTCCACACGCCTGCTTTTGACCTTGTCGGGGATCGGTGCACGCCATGGGAACGCCTCAGGCGTAATGTTGAATTCATTTATAATTGCGGGTGGACCTTGCACCTCGAATCCATCCTGACATTTCGTTGAGCTTGAACTTAGAATAATGTCCAGCAGGTGCACGTACAACTTCCATCGCCGTAGCCGACTCCTGCGACTGCGGTGGATCCATGCTGTCGTGTCGCAGAAGATTTCTGTGTTCCTGTAGAGCCCGCGTCCGGCGTAGGGGTTCGATTTCAGTATGCGAGCACGGTTGAGGATGGAGGACTAAGTCGCCACCAGAACGTGGCCTTAAGCTTGCACAAGAGCCGCACGATGATCAACAAGACCGTGGCGTGGGTTTCAGTCATGTGACTGACGCGCCAGTGCACGCGTCGCGCGAAACGCGTCTCGACGCGTCTCAACACATTCGTCAATGCTCGGTTTGTGCGGTGGCACACAGTCTGCGTTGAACTGCTATCTGGTCGTGAACTGTGGATAAAGTATGTAGCGCTCCATACTTTCTACCCGACACTGCCTGGTTCACCTCCATTGCAAGCATTCCTTGAACACAAAGTATTTCTTCCATCGGCTTCTGGAAGGGTGGCTGAGATTTGGCCAGGCAATGGCCTATACTCGCATCACAGGTGCATAGAATTGGGAAAACCAACAGGGAGACTAGAGAAATATCAAGTCCTGCCTGCAACTGGGGGAATCTGTGAAGGACTTCTTCTCATTTCAGTGAAGGACAGATCTTATCGCTTTTTAGCTACTTCTCATCTCATTCAGCCGAACGTGGTAAAGCAGAAACATACCGTTTTCTCACACTTTTTACAGGGCAGAACTCTTCTCCATTTTCCCTACCGGTCTTCTCACGGCGGAAAAATCATTCTGCAGCTGTGCATGAAAGGTGCTCAATGTTCTAGCTAGGGTTGGCGTTCGTCGACTTCCTTCACGCAACTGTTCATCAGGTTGCCTCGAGCCGATGGCAATGTCCGGTGTCTGTATATTTTCCTCTAAACGGTTGTGACGAGTAGTCTTTCCAATAGTTTTCAACAATTGTGACGATTTCTATGAGGCCTGACACGGTTTAGCGCTAACAGAGTTCTGCGAAGCGTACACGGCTCTACCGAGATAAAGATACAGAAAATACCATTGCAAGTTAGCCCCGAGTCAAGAAATAATGCAGTAATGCGACGTGTCAGTGTACTGTCGTGCGTTTGCACGTAAATGCTGTCGGGACGTGAATGCAATAATGATACTATGCAAGCAGTCCTAGGCCAAGGCAAAGTTATGGGAGGACAGCGGATATGAGCTTGCTTGGCGAAAACCACGCCCGCGCAGAGCGAAGCCGTTTCCGTCGCTGCGCACATTGATTGTCCACGAGTTTCATCTCCGTTTTCTCCGCAGCCAGAGGGGGCAAACACAAGTAAGGCTGAGGGGATGGCGAGCTCGACGTCGAGTGCGAGAATGCCCAACTCGTCCCCAGCATGGCCGGCGCCGACTCTGTCGCGCGGTCGCGATGCAGCGGCGAGCGGAACGGCGACGAAGAGCGCTTTGGGAACGCAAGTCGTATCGGGTTCAGAAAGCTGGAGGTCCGCACCTTCCTATCTCGCGGGCACGACGACAGAGGCGAATGAATGGGTACCGGAGAAGGTGAAGCACGCGGTGCGTCAGCGGTCGATGTGCCCGAGCTGTCCTCCGTGCGCGTCGCAGACGCACGATCGGGATATAAAACGGAGAACACTGTCCAGGCAGATTCTCTACATGGGGAACGAACGGGAGTGGAGGACAAGTCGAGAAAGGAATACGATGAATCGGATTGCTGTTCCTGCGTGAGATTTGGAGCACGGGGAAACAGCTCCCAGCCGTGCTGTGGGCGCTCGACAGCAGTTGAGCTCCCGGAGGTCGAGGCAACGACGATGCAGTCCGGCCGAGTCATGCTCATGGGTGTATCGACTTCGATGGTGGGATACGTGTGCACAGAATTGACTTCCACGTTCACGCTGTCTCGACCGGTGACCGGGGTGGCGACCATTCCCACATCCTCGGCGTCAGTGAAGAGTAGGGGCGTCTTCTCGGGAACCCTATCAGCGAGATAGGGAGAATACATGCCGTACGCCTCAATCTGGGACTCGAGTGCAGTGTGCATCGACGTCGACCTAGCGGAGATCATCATCAGGCTATCGTCGTAGCAGCGCGCCTTGCATGAATTCGTATTGAGGTTGAGCTTCAACGTAGGGCGCTTGGCTGGGGCTTCCGGCTGCCTCCAAGCACTGTCGAGACCCGGCGTGGCAGGCAAAGAAGGAATGGACGGCGAAGAAGAAACGAGGGAGTAAGTAGAGGGATTGCTAGGAGTAGCCACGGAGTCGAACAATTTGGTCGTCGCGAAGAGTGGCGAAGCTGGTGATGGAGACATGGACCGGCTATACGATTCACGTTCCTCGTATGACTCCGAATCGTTCCAGGAAGAATCTTCTGTCTCCGCGTTAGAAGCGAAGACCATCTCTGACTCTGAACCGCTCCAGGTCGACACAAAGCCCTCGTCTTCTGCCGGCACTTCCTGTGCTTCGAGCTCCGCCTCCTCCACAGACTCGCTGTCAGAGTCGAGATTCACACCTGCTTCCCATGGACAACGCGCCATGCTGTCCTCAAAGAAGACGTCAGGCGAATAAAAGTTGTCGATCGACTGAATAGCAGAGTGCATCTCGCACAGGGTGATGCGGTCTCTCCAGTCAACGCAAAGGACCCGAGTAAGCAGCTCATTCACCTCCTGCGAGATCGGCAGGACCGTCGGTAGGAAGTGCAGTGGGTCTCTGAGGTACGCCTGGAAGGTACAGTCGTCCGCCGCAGCGGATTTCCAGGGATTCCGACCAGTGATGAGATTGAGAAGGATGATACCGAGCGACCAGACGTCGTTAGAACGCGGTGAGTAGTGGCCTGACGGTGCAAAAGCTCCGCCCTGGCATTCTGGTGAACAGAAACATCAGCCTAAGCGCAAAGCTGAAACAAAAGTGCGCTTACCTGGACTCATGTGGTAGACGCTACCAGTTCGGAACTCCGTGCTTTTTTCTTCAGTGGTGGCCAGACCGAAGTCTGTGATGGCCAGACGCATGCCACCGTCAAAGCAGAGGACGTTCTCCGGCTTCAAGTCGCGGTGATAAATATGTGCTTCATGGCAATAATCTACTGCGTCAAGCAGCTGAAGGAAGACGTCTTTTATCAGCGCGTTGTTGCCCAGATATCGTCGGTGATGGAGAATCTGCGAGAACAGGTCGCCATCCTCACAGTAATCCATGACGAGGAAGGTATATGGGCCCTCCTCGATCACCCGGTGGAGTGTGACGACGTTGGGGTGGACAGAGACGAAACGGTGCAGGGTGATCTCGCGCAGATGCAATGAACGCTGACGGGTCGAGTTGCGTTTCGACGAGTGCGGTAGGCACTTGACGGCGTAAGATGTGGGTTCCGGAAAAAGGGTATCAACTGCACGGTAGACGACGCCGTAGCCACCATAGCCGAGAATCTCAACAAGCTCCAGGCTTTCGTTGTCGATGAGAGTGCCGAGGGGTGGGGGAGAAGGAGAACCAGCGGCGTCAGTGGCGACCATGGTGGCCAATTGTTTACAAGGCGCAAGAAGGGAGAAGTGAAGCGGACACAAACGCCAATGCAGAGGAGGCACCCGACGAAGAGGGCAGATGGCTCCGACCAGCGAGTATTTCAGTTAGCGAGAACGTGATAAACGGGTGGCATGAGCGTGTTTACCATGCGGCGGAACGACTACACAAAGGCGTCTTCACGCAAAGGCCCGTAGTAATGGTTCCGAGAGGCTGTGAAGATCGGGAAGATTCCGGGCACACCCCCGCAAGGCAAAATGTGAAGGAGTAGTGCTTGATGCAACAGGACGCCGTCGCGTTTATGAGCTATTCCGGTGAGATACGGTGCCACAGCATTACTGCAGACGATCCTGCTCTCAGGCTCATCCTACTACAAGGCGCCCATGATAACAGAGCCCGACCTCTGCTGTTCTATGCAATATCAAATGAGGAGGAACTGCAGTGCTGCTCTCTCCACAGACATCCAGATTTGGCTCGAGGGGTAAAAACAGGGCACGTGGATCGCGTGAGATCTGGATAACGTTGATGTCGACCTGCAAGCGGGTGAGTAGGTCCCGCGATGGTCCAGGTCTGGAAATCAGGATGGACCCCAGAGTAGTGCATATTGATCATGAGCGGACACTGGTTGATCCGTTCTGGGCATGCTCTAGAACGCAGAGGAGGAGCTCACGACGAATGATCCTCAGCCCCCGGTTCCGCTGGATCAGAAAGTCAGTGGAATCGCGAGCGAGTTCTTCTAGTCAAGAACATCCCTCTGCAAATTATCAGTGATCCTGATATGCTTTCCGATCACACCCCGACTGCTTATGCAGTCCTGCCCGTAATGTATAACCGCCGCCAGCCGGTGCCAACTCACGAGCCAATGAGAGGAATAACATGCAGCCAGCGTACCACCAGTAGCGCTGCCTAGCGAGACAACGTCACATCTTGGCGGCTGAGTCTCGGACCGATATTGGTATGGCGGGCGCGGCGCTACACTTGAAAGCCAGCGGTTCGCTGCGAGAAAGCGCTATGCGTGGCATGTAGTTTCATGGAGCTTGACACAACCTCGATGATAGCTGCCTGGATGCCGACAATATCATCTTTCAGTTTCAAAGATAAAACGACGGAATTACTATTGTCGCAGCAGCCGTTGCGCGTTGACAGCTAGGAGTACTTGCTTGCAGGAGAGGTGTCCACATCATCGGCTGCAGGTCATGACGCTGCGCGCCTGCAACTCCCCTGAAACGCGTCCGATCTGCCACACATCTTTGTGGCAGTCAATAGCAGCAGGGGATCGTACATCCGATTGTGCATGCGCTCCGATGGTCGCAATTGGCAATCGAGGCAAGATTTGATAGCAGTATGCGTCACCTTGACGGCATCGAAAGGGCGCTGTTGAAGATTGTCTCGTCAAGATAATCGCGTTGCCAGTGTTCCATGGCATGCACTCGCGTACAGAGCATCAGTGACAATCTCGAATCAAGCAGTTGTGAACGTACCTGGATTGCTTCCATCAGCAATTGACGAAGCGCGCATCATTATGTGAAGGATGAACACCCTACAATGCAGGAGCCAACGCATTTCCCTTGAGGCGAGCTAAACAATCACGTCAAGGACATGTCATGGCGCTACCCAGTGGCTGAAACGTGACCAAAGGTAGTAATGACGCATAATCTTGCTGTACGAGGAACCATCAGGCGTTCTGATTAAGACACGCACCCTCAATTGGCCCAGACCGGTTCGTAGCTTCGAAATAGAAGCAGCTTGAGGCCACGACGATCAGACCTTCTCCCTGCATGCACCAGGAGACACATCAGAGCAGGACGACATTGCACAGCCTGCCCATTGTTTGAATACCATAACTGTGGTATGAAAGAGCGTGAATTACATGATGTGGCCTACGGTGATGAGATTCGATGTCCTTTGCGCGGACGCGTTTGGGTTTGCGTGACACGGATTTGTGAGCGAGATAGCAGGTGTCCTATTATGGATGCAGCTTTCTCGAATTTAGTGAATCAGACGGTGTAGCGAACAGGATTCACGTTCCCTCGCTTCTTGTCTTCGTCCACGGCTCGTTCACACACTCGTGAAGTAGATCAACAAAATTCACGAAAAGAAGCTCGAGTGGGATACCTTACCCGGAGGTGCTCACGTGAGATCCTACATGAGCGCTGAGGACATTTGTTCAGGAATTGCCACGTCAACGAGGGTGCCAAGTTCATGAGATGGCCGTCAGTATAAGTGCTTTCCGCACGAACACCGGGCAAGTTGGCTTCTCAGCACAATCTCAAACATGCACTTGCCTTCCCTCTCACAGCAGCGTTCAGCCGGAGATTTGATTCCTGCGGTTCTCCGCAGAGTAATGAAGCTCTCGCCACTCCGGCGGCAATGGGCACAAGTGGCGAAAACACTGCCACTAGAAGGTCAAGTCCCGGACATGAGATACTGATTTCGGGAGCATGTCGGTTTCCTGAATTTAGTCCTGCGTAGATAAGAAGGATCACCATTCATCAGGTGAACCACAAGGTCACCTGGACCCAGACTAGAATCTATAGGACTAACATGCTGATGAAGATGTTCAGATGGGATGCATTCCTCCATGCAACGTGAAGGACGCACCGTACTCAGCTCTGAGAAGCAAGGACGAAAGGTGCCAGCTGATCAGCCTGGTTCACCTCGCTAAGGCTTGTTGCTGGCGGCACTGTATCTTTTTAGGAGAACGCCAGTACACACTCGGAGTGCCTCGATTTCCTGCGCCATGGGATCTGCGCATCCCGCCCAACGAACCCTGCACTGTTCATCTAGCAAGTACACATAAGCCACATGCCGATTTGTCATGCCGATATCTTCTCGAAGGTAACTGAATGCAGTGAAATAACGACGCATGAGTAAGTTGAAAGTATATGACAAAGCAGATAGTGAAACTTAGATACGAGGGGCACTTACTCCATCCTTTGGCTGCTTATAATATATGTCTCCCAATACCTTTCGGGGATGGTTTTGCGGATGCCAGAAATGAACATAGAGACCAAGAGAGACTTCAAGAGGTTCTCCTGTAGGTTGACTTGAACGAACCGAAAAGACGGGTGGTTGGCGAACTGATCGAGCGTCGGCTTCACGAAGTTGGCAGTTTGCAGCTGTTGACGGTTGTCAAGATCGGTCAACACCGAGGCAAATCCAGCGGTGTCGACGAACCTCGGATATTCTGCTCGAGAGGATGGCAACCACGGATACTTTCCCCACGCAGAGACTCGTAGTATGTGCATCCGCTTTCGATTTCAGGTCGCTGCCAGCGACGTCGGGAAAATACAACGCTTTCTACAGTCTTTCTGTAAGTATCACATGGTATACCAGAAGGGTATAGCGAATGTGCACTCACATCTTCCCGGATCATAACCTTCGGTGCTATCCATGTCTTGCCGCCGTGTCTGCGCGTTGCATTTAGATCCGTGAAGTAGCCTCTTGTAGCTTCTTTAACACTGTACAGACAAAATGTTATAGTGCAACACGTTGGAAAGGAACGCTATGCACACAGATATTTTCTTTTCTCCAGCCTCTTCTCGTGATCCAGGATTTCATCTCGGATATCGGCCCAGGTCTTGCTTTGCGAGGTCGGGCGATCGCGCACGCCCAGTGGGCGTTGAAGTAGGGGTACGGGAGACTCTTCTTGCTTAGTTATTGAGACCTGTTCTGCCCCCTCCTTCTGCTTGCCCTTCTCGTTGGCACTCTTCTCCGAGTCAATCCCTAATGAAACATTCTCGGCAACACCCGGTGTTCCCTCCCCTGGAGAGCGTCGCGATGCGGAGGAGATCAGCCCCCTGTGATGGACGCATCTCCGAATTGCATGCAACTGGAGAATTCGGGCAAGCTTGAAAGAGAGAGCAGTAGACGAGAGACGATGCATGAAAGTGAACACGCGCCCGTGACCGATTCGGAGCGCGCATGTCGGGCTCTCTTGCGCCGAGATCGCATCAAGGGAACTTGAACCTCAAACGACAATTTGAACAGCTGTTGGCTGCACGAATGTCGTACGGCGAGGAATGACAGTAACTTCAACGGCGAGAAATGGTCAGAAATGAGCATAATCTTGGCATAATCGTATCAGTCATGTTGAGTTCTATCGAGATAAAATGCCATGGTCGACAACTAGAGCTCTAGAGAGGTGGCTCGTATTACTATGCTTGATTCACGCGTTCAATGGATTTGTCGAATACTATCTGGCGTCCAATACGACAGAATGTGGTGCGTGCACCGATCGTTCTTACTACGATGCTAATTTTCAGCACTTCCATGATACTGAACAGCTTTCTCATTCCCAATAGACGGAGCTGTCTAACAGCCGGAATCCGAGGTTCAGACCTTATACAGGCGAAAAGCTTGTCCGAAAGATAGATATTCATGGAACTGCAATACTGTCTTTACTTCCTGTCGCAGCGCTCAGGATGAGTTTTGGGCATCCATTGTTGAAGAAGCTCGAGATTTGAATTTTGAACCAAGAAGATAGGGAGCAGACCAATGGCATTATTTCGACCCCATGCCCATCTAAGCTCGCGGCGCGAACGACGTGGGTGCAATGTAATTCGTGGAACTCTAGGTCATATCGACGTGAACACCTCAGGCTACCAAAACGGCTCATCTCTGGTCGCGATCAGAGCATCGCGGTGGCAGGAGATCATCTGCATATTCTTTCGGAATGTGTAAGATCTATTGCCAGAACTGCCCGGTATATCTTACCTCATGAACCTCCCGAGTATAGGATGGACATCCATGTTTTGTACGCTCAACTCGACATCGGACGCATACTACCGTATTGGATAGCGAAGCGACTGTCTTCTTCTACGAAGGTTGAATTATGAACCTACCATATCGGACACCCGGTGATCTCGCGGACCGCGCGGCACATGAACGGTAGTTATTTCGCTCTTGTAAATCGCATTCTTTCGCTCACGTGGTGTACGTAACGCTTACGGTCGTTTATGATTGCTTTAACGAGAGAAACTACAGTTGCCGTACAATCGTGGAACGGTGGACTCTGCCTGCTGGTCCGCACTCGTGGCATCTGGCCACACCACATCGATGCGATACTGAATCCTTTTCCAGCCAGCATAGTGATGACTATTGCCGAATTCATGTGCTACAGCATGTTCAATATGTTGTGCGTGCTGCTCACATATGTATTACTCGTATAACATACAGTTATTCTTCAAGCTGACTCGCGAGCCAAATTGTGACGCTGATCTGGTCTTTTCACACGACGCAGAGGGGGACTCGCAGGCTCTGCGCTCACGACACGGCGATAACAGACCAACCACTCTTGCATGGAAGGTAGTGTACGGGATCATGGCCCATGTTTGCGAGACCTTCGCAGCCATTCTGAACAACAGTGAATTTACTCGCTTCCCGCGGGCGCGTGAGAGGTGTGCCTTTGTATCCGCAAGCTAGTGCATTGCTCCATGCCTCACATTCATCATCACTGTGTCAGCAACGTTTGCATCCGATGCATTCTCCACGGCATTGTGCGGTACCTTGATCACCGCTGCTACCAAGAAGAGATACGGAACGGTATTGAGAACCACCTCACCCATTCCTGGCTGCGCGGAAGACGAAAGGTCCCGGCGCCCTTGCCTCGACCTTCTTCTGCGCCGTGGTGTGGATCATAACTTAGCTGGGAATCAATGTACCTGGAAATGTGGTATGGCTACATCGTGCCTGCTGATCTTCGCCGTTGCTCACCTGTTATCGACCATAGCCTGCGGTGGCCTTGACGTTACCGCGCGTAGGCCCAAGTACATCAACCTGCGATGTGCAGGCTACATAATCCTCTTGTGTCGATCGTCGTCAACCCCCGGCGACTGCTCAGCTCATCAAGCATCTTCCTGAAGTGCTAAGCACTTATGCCGTCTTCTTTGATCCAACGGCCGGCTTCGTGAGTGTTATTATGCCTGGTTCGGAAAAAGGGTCCACACTGATGAACGCACAGATGGGCAGCCAACGGTACGTATTCCAGAGGTGCCACGTCAGGATAGCGGATGCATACATCGGAGATAAACGTTCGACTTACTAGTACACCTGGGAAGTCAACTGGCCTGCGTTCACGGTGTTTTTTTGCGAAGCTGTGCGTTGCATTACGGGCTTCATTGGCGCAGTCTCACCGCATAGCGTCAGCACGACGGCTCAGCGGTTGTCTGATCTCAAGTGAGTGCTCAGGTCCTGTATTGCGTTCCTCATGAATTGGCTTCTTCACTGGATGTTCACCGTGCCTCATCAGGTGGCTTTCCGTGGAAAGCATGGATAACACACACTTGGATAGGTTGGAGACCTTCATCCGGGATGCTCCATTACTGGACGAGTCTGTTGAGCGGAAGGTTGTTGCAGAAAAGAAAAACAGAATTAATGAGTCTTTATCGCAGACAGATCCAAATTCTCGAATTTGTCTATACATATTGTTTGTCAAGACAATCTAAAAGTCGTACGCTAGACGACATGCCGCATGCGGACGCCTGAGACCCGAAGCTGAAGTGTCATGACTCATGAAGCTGAAGCTTTGAAGTTGCAGATTAAAAAGGGAACGGCGTGATTCGCGTGAATTCAATATTCAGTACTTAGAGAGAAGTCACGTTGTATGATCACAGCTGTACGATGCGGACACCATGCAAATTTCAGCGTTTTGAATTCTTGACAGATCGTCACATTCGCAAAAATTTCCGGCCTCGGTGGCGACGTACATACCAGTCACAGCTTTTGGACAACAGAGACAAACAAGGACTCATATTGTGGCCCACCGAGACCTTGTGCTATGCCACAGCTTGCAATTGTGCTCAGATTTCCTTGCCACAGATTATAATCAATTCCCGTCCTCAAGGAGTAGACTCAAGTGTCAAGACAGACTATATTCGCTCTCTGGCAGATGACTGGGATATTAGATCTGCCTTACGACCTGCTCTACAAGCTCTGTGACTATCTGTCTGCTGTCGATATTGCCTCGCTCTTGAGCGCCAACAAATTCCTCCACAAACATTCTCGGGATGAATCCATTTGGCGGCGGCTCTCAGCGCGATGTGGGCTTCGAGATACCACCTATTTCTCTGATCCATCGTTTTACACTGCATATACACAGCTGCTCCACCGGTATGGGCCTCTGATTGGCCTGTGGGCAAGTGATCTTCCGTTCATGGGATGCATCGTGGAGTTCCGCATCTTTCCTGGCGACGAGCGCGAAGAGGGCGGGATTATCGGCGAGATGTGGGAGTTCCCGAAGAGACCGTCTGACGACGACATGCCATCGCCTCCGGTATATATGCGGGTATTCAAAATCAGCATGAAATGCTATAATGAAGCCGACTCCTCCGACGTGCAAGCGTGCCTATGTATACAATGCACACATGGTCATGACGCCGACCTTCGGATGTACCCTCCAACTTACCAAAATTACTTTCTCCACGACGATGGCGAGGTGTACGCTCATCCGGACTTTCCAAGCAGTGGGGCAGATTGGTATGACGCTGAACGCGGGCTTCCACTCCTCCCAGAATCGGCTGTTTCATGTACTGATCAGTACCAAGGCATCCGGATGTTAAGCCTGCCCGCACAAATCGTTCTGTTCACGTCACCCACAGAATCCCGCAAGCCAGGCTCCATCACTATGGAATGCACCACATCTGATTGGCTATGCATGCAGAGGCCACCTAGACACCCACCCGTGCCGTTCGACATATATACGCCTACCGTGCCTCGATACTTTCCACTGAAGTATCTCGTGCAGAAAGGTGTCCACCCGAATGACGACAGTTGGTCTATGGGAACGCTTTCCGGACTCTGGCTGGGGTACTACAGCGAACATACGACACAATGTCTGTTCCTATCGTGGCATGAAGAGCTCAAAGAACTTCATGCGTGCAAGATCACCGGAGGCAGGTGCGTTCCGCGTGGGGCACGGACATGGACGGTGCAATCTGCTTTGCCGGACGACCCTGTACGTGCAGAAACTCTCGGCATGGATCCAAGGATCCATCGGATATTTCCTGGCACGGGTGTGGTGGGGGATTTAGGATTCCCGTGAGTGATCCCCATTCTACAGGGGACCGTATACGATTAAGTGACCGTCGTTGTCCAGAGTACCAATCGACGTTAACATTCTAGTCGGAATATTGGGACCAGATGAGATCCAGATATGGTGGGAATGGGTGGATGATGGACTCGCGATCCGAAAGTACACTCGCTATACGGGACGACACAACTTTGAAAGCTCCCTCCATTCGTCGTGAAAGCCATGTACGTGATAAATTGTGGAGCGCAATACAGTCGCAATACGATAGTCCATGGATCACATGGCGCTGTTCTTTCAGCTTTGTAGGAAGTTGTGGATACCCAGCAAAGCGCAAGAAGAAGCATCAAAGACGGCTCCAAACAGCGAGAACCGTTCCAATCTTCGGAGTGTGACCAGCACAATGGCCTGTGATCGGGGGGTGATCCAAGGTCTGAAGAGACTGACAGAACATGTCACTGCAAGACGCCCGTCTGCGCATGGCATCGTGCCATCTCTCTCGTCTTCAGCATCCTCAAGCATGTGCGGTGGCCAGTGGCGAAGACGGATGCAGCAAAAGTGTATTGACTAATTAGGACATGCTCGGCCCGAATATGGAAGGTGCAGTTGAACGATCGTAGCCACATATTCTGGCGGAGTCTCAGACTGTCAAACGACCCCAATTCCAACATAAAAGCCCGCCCGTGCTGCCTCTTCCGCTCATCCCATCTCTCGTCCACACCACCAACATCGTCGCACAGACTGACCACTCGCGCCATGTCTTACCCTTTACCCCGTGCCTTGGTAATGGAAGGAGTACCCTGGAAGGTCCTCTATGCGCTGGACGCATCCTTCTCCTTCGTCTCGGCCTTACTGTCCGCGGCGAGCTCCTTCGTCGTGTCACTCCTTTGTCCTCATACCCTGCTCTCCATCCCGTCCCCTGGCTTTGTAGATGTCAAACTGCTCCACAAAGGCTCGCCGGTCTTCAGGAGCTGCTTCGATCTCATCATCATTTTCGACCTACTGGTTTGGCTGGAGGTGATCTTTGTCGCCCTGTTGGTATACCGGTCGTTCTTTTCTTCGGTCAAGGTCAGTTGATTCATTGTCTCGCGGAGGCTTTTGATTGACTCGTCGTCTTTTGCCCAAGCGCCCCACTGCTGCAGCCTCTAGGGTACATGCCGAGCCCGATTATCGTTCAGCTTCGACAAGCGCATCTGTTCGATTTCGGATTAGCATCGACGAGCTGCCTGGTGCTGCACAGCCCGTGTATAGTTCTGCCTCGACAACTGTTCGATTCCAGATCAGCATCGACAAGCTACCTGGCGCTGCACAGCCTGCGCATCGTTCAGCTTCGACAACTGTTCGATTCCAGATTAGCATCGACGAGCTAGCTGATGCTGCACAGCCCGTGCATCGTTCAGCTTCGACAACTGTTCGAGTTCAGATTATCATCGACGAGCTGCCTGGTGCTGCACAGTCCGTGGTCCGGCATTGCCCTGACTGTCGTCCCATCTCCGACGACGCAGGTGTCCCGCCTGCCGCCCAACGTGGTCTAGTTTCCGAAGACGAGACTGTTCCGTCACCAGCCCCGACAAAGCCCTCATTAACGGTTGGCAACATCGAGCAAGATGAGCGCGAATACGTCAAGAAGCTGGTCATGAACGGTGACACGGCATCCTCGCATGTACCGTCGGGTTCCCTTTCGATCGTCAGGACCGCTTTAGCTCCAGATGTACCGGAGCCATACCTAACGAAGACCAAGGTCAACACCGAACAGTTCCTACGTTCGGCGGCTGAAGGTGTCGTGCTAACCGTCGGCGGCTACAGTGCACTGGTCAGTGCCTTGTACCCTTCATCACCTTCGCCTCTACTCTGTCTCCTCGCCACCGCCATCCGCGTTCCGATGACCACGCGCGCCCCCTTCATAGAGACCCAGCTGGGCATACCCCGTAGCCTACCCGACATCGGATACTTCAGGTGCTTGTCACTGTCATCGTGGCCCTCGCTGATGTCCGCAATGCGAGGTGGATCATCGTCCACGCGCACACTGATGGATGCTCCGAAGTCGGGTGCCGTTGTCGTTCATAACACGGCAGCCTACCGCCAGCGCTGGGTCTCGACGGCAACATACATTGGCGTCATCATTGGTCAACGTGTTGTCTTGCTTCCTCTCCTCGCTCTCAGTCTTCCTGATGCTGCCCCCTTCCGCCACCTGTCCCCTGCATCGCGTCATGTCATCTCCCTGCTGGTGCCCAGTGGATCGGCGAGATTGTGTGCACGCGCTCTCATAGGTGCGCCGGAATTGTCGACGATAACCGCCCGCTGCAAGGCATTGGTGCTCTGGGTTCCGTTAAATATCACCGTCGTCATCGTCTGCAGTCAGCGCGAGGCATTTTCCCATTCCATCCCCCTTGCTCTCCTCACTCCTACCCCTTTCCGAAACCTCTGTGTGTTGTCATATTACAGGGCGTTCTTACTAAGGCTTGCCATCCGACGCGAGAGATCGCCTGTGCGCGCGGTCATATGTGCACCGGAACCCACTGCCGGCAGGAACCATAGCCAATCGTTGGTTCTGTGGACTCCGTCGTTCTCAACCGTCATCGTTGTTCTCCATGGCAAGCCCAAGCATGCTTCTGTGTCGATCCCCCGTAGCCTTGTCTATCCTGGTCATTTCCACCATCTCTCCCTCGTCTCATGGTATAGGGCATTCCAGCGAGTTCCGTTGCGGTGCCGAGCAAGACCGAAAGCTCCCTCACGCACATTGGCGCTGCAGTTGTGGTACCCAACTGTTGTCAAAGTGCTCTTTTGTTCTGCTCGTTCACTGACACCATCCAATCCGGCCCGCTCGCTCTTCATGTCGTCCATCGTCCCCTGTGCTGCCCGTCGCGCCTCGTTAACATGCTTGACGCCAGCGCTAGCATCCTCGTCGACCGATGATGGGCTGTCTGCCCTTGTCGCGGTCAATGATATGTGTCCTTCTTCGGCAACCGTGCCCCGGCTCCTCTGGGCACTCTGTTCTGGTTCTCCTCTCCCGTACATCTCCCTGTTCCCTCCTCCCCATGTCTGCACCATCGCGGCCTTCTCGCTCACTGTCAATGGTGTGAGCGGCCTGCTCATCACGGCCACGTTCTTCCCCCACGCCAACTCCTCCTACCCCTCCGACTGTGTCGTTGTCTACATGGATCCTTGCCGTCACGACGGTCTTCCACTTTATTGTGGAGACCGCAATGCGCTGACGCTACAGACGCTCGCGCGCTGCGACCCCGATGAAGTCATCATCGTCGCTTACGACAACGCCATCGCCTCCGACACAGTCGATATGAACATTGAAGAACCTCACCACCGCAAGCCCCGCAGACGGGGAGGGAAGAGGGTCACCGCTCGACGCAATCGCGAGCGGGATGCCCGGGCAGCTGCACTGGCTGCTGAAGCTTCAGGGAACAATATCGAGGGTGAGTGTCCTTTCTTCTGCGATGGCATGCGACAGCTGCTGATTGGTCCCGCAGAGAACGAGAGCACCTTAGCCAAAGACCATTACGACGACAAGGATGCATCGGACGACATTCGGAGCGCGCCCGCTCTACAACTACCACCACCACAGCGAGAATCTGAGTCAGACTCTGAACCAGAACCTGGCGAAGACGAAGGGACAGGCCGTAGAAGAAGACCACCAAGAGCGGGGAGGAAGAGGACGAGACAGCTGCGACGCCAGGCTGCAGAGCGAGCTGCAGCATCGGATGCAAACAGTGAGCACATTCATTATCTTTTGACGGGCAGGTTTCTGATTCACTTGCGCAGGGTCGTTATCCTCCGCAGTTAAGGCGGAAGGGCCTTCGCGGACGCCAACCAGGATCCACAATCCACCCGTGCCAAGGTCACAAGCTTCCTCCTGTCCAGGACAGATTGGAGGCATGACACAGGCAACGAATGGTATGTCAAATTTGTGCCGTGCATTCAACGACGAGGGTCTGACACGCACCAAGGGGCATCGTCATCGAGAACACCGGCAGCAGGGTCATCACGTTCGCGCAGTCACACATTACACACACCAAGGATACATAATTCCTCACCGGCGGGTCCGTCCGTTCCTTCCCCGAGCTCAGGAAGTGCGGGCAGTCAGCCAAGTCGTTCCTCCAACGATCGCAGCAGGAGGTGGCAACGATCGCGTCATTCGGGCACCTAGTCCCGGAGGCGCTTCAGGAGGGGTAGTGCGGAGTGACACAGAAATATTCACGGACATCTCTTCCTATCTTTTTATATCTATTATAACTCTTTTTTGTGGACGGGTCAAGGCGGACACGACTGGCCACCGTGTTCATTGAGACCTGTCCTTCGGCGGACGCAACTGGCCATTGCGTTCGTCGATTTTCTCCTTTTTTTGTCCTCTCGTCTCGTACTGTACGGTCTCGTAGATTTGTGTGTCTCGGTCTCTCGTCTCTCGCGTCGGTCTAGGATACGATGTCTCGGTCTCCCGTCTTCTTGTATCAGTCTTGGATATCTGTCTCGGTTTCTCATCTTCATGGATCGGCTTCGGATGTCTGTTTCCTCTCGTCTTGGATTTGTATGTTTCGGTCATGTATTGGATTCAGTACAATTCTATATCTTGAAAATATGATCTCGCCTTGTGAGGCATGCAAGTTGGTCTCTCTGCGGAGCCATTTATATGCGCACCGCGGTATAAGGAAATAGCATTTTCCAAGCTTTCTGCAAAGTTGTTCACTTTGGACGGGAAAGACTGAATTCGATTCTAATGCTTTTTGCGCAATAGAATGGATAGTTAACCCATTCAAGTTACGCCATCGTTCAGCTGACCGTGATCGTCAAGAGTCCGACTTCGAGCACCCGTCGTCCTTCAAGTCAGTCTATCTTACCATCGCTCTCCAAGCTTGCATAGTACGAGCACATCTTCCGCCTTTCTATGGTATCTCTCTGATAGACTTGAGCTCGACGATCAGCCGACGACGCCTGAGATGGTTTCCGATCTGCCTTACGATATCCTCCATTACGTCTGCAACTACCTCTCTGCAGTCGACGTGTCTTCTCTTCTCAGCTCTTGCAGATTCCTACATCGCTACTCTCGAGACGCTTCAATCTGGAAGCTTCTATCAGCCCGCTATGGGCTGCGCGATATCACTTATTTTGGTGGTGTATCCTTCTACACCGCATACACGCAGCTGCTTCATCCCTACGGACCCCTTATTGGGCTATGGGCGAGCGATTATCCCTACAAGGGGGGAGTGATTGAATTCCGCTTTTCATCCGGCGATGAGCAGGAGCAGGGCGGCATCGTCGGCGATCTGTGGGACTTTGCCGAGGAGTCATCAACAAATGGCTCTCTGTCCCTCCCAAAGTATACGCGTTTTCTGAAGGTCGGTTTCGATGGTGTTCATGCGAGTGGAGATGTTCCAGCAACAGCCCACGTATCCTGCAGCAACGCTCTAGTGGCCCACCTGCACGAAAGCAGCGTCAAGGTGCTTCCGCCATCTAACTACGGATGGTCCTTCCATAACCGTGCTCGTTCATCTGCATCGGAGCAGCCCTCTTTCCCTGACCTACTTCGCCGCGAACCGTGGTATGACGCCGAGCGCGGTCTGCCCCGGTTGCGACCATCCCCTCTAACCCATCATGACCCAAGAGACCTGTGGCGCCGCCAGATCGTGAGGGACTTTGAAATCATCTATTCCGCTCGCTCCGACCACGAGGTGCCCAGCGCCATATCCATCGAGTGCACAGAGCCACTCTGCACGCAGCCTTGGCATCCTCACCTCCCATTCGTGAATCTCACGCCTGCCGTGCCGCCGCGCTACTACCCGCTAAAGCAGCACATCCAGCAAAGCGTGGATCCGGACGATGACCGCTGGTCTCCCGAAACGCTCGAAGGGCTCTGGCTCGGCTCCTACGACGTGCACGGCACGGAGCTGCTGTACCTCTCGTGGTGCGCCGATGAGAATCTGCTCTGCGCCCACAAGGTCACCGGCGACCCGCACGTACCTCGCGGCGCCCGTACCTGGGCCGCATTAGTCCCATCCAACTCTGTGAGCTCGCCTTTGAATGCGCAGGATTTCGGTATGAGGGACGATATACGTCGCGTGTTCAGGGGCTCTGGTACGATTGCGGATCATGGTTTCCCGTGCGTATCTTACACCATCCTAATTGATGCTCCAGATTTGATGAGTGTTTGGCGCTCGTGTAGGCGGGAGATACACATCGATGTGGCCGTGGGGGTGGCAGGGCCGGACGAGCTGCATATTTGGTGGCAGATCGGCGGCGGCCTTATGAGATGCGTCCGATATACGGGACGCAAGATGAGCTTATAGGTAAGGTTCTCGCGTATCACCGGCTCTTTGCAGTATTTTAGAGACTGACTCTACTAAGATACCCAGGTGCCGGTTTGTATGCTTGTTCATTGCTTATTATTGGATTTGAAGCTCTCAGAACGAATATTCAGTTCTCGGAGAGAGGTACTTTGAATGCGTCTTGGTTCGCCTTCTGTATGCAGCGAGTTAAATGTTGCTCCGGTTTTGCATGTCAGTGCAAGCCTTCTTCCCAGAGGCACAATTGCGCACCACCAACTAGCAATCACGGCCATTCGCACGGATGCAGTCCACCATATCATCCTATTTCTTTCGTTTTATTCGGTACGTTACATGCGTCGGTGGCTACAGCCAAAGGGTAAGGAGAACGAAATGCAAACTACCGTAGTCCAGTCATCATAAAAGCGAATTATTCTATCCTGTCCATATCAGAAGCCGTGCAAAAGTCCGAGATGTAACGACACAACAAAGTTTGCAAATGCTCATAGGTCATAATTCACAGTCTAGTCCGCGTGTGGTTGCTTACTCGGTTGTGACCGACTTCGCCCTGCATCATCATACACAGGTCAGTCTTCGCCTGCAATAGTCACAGAACAGCACTCACAAGTTCCTCGGGAAGTCAACGTCAAAGCCGTTCCTCACCGCCAAGTGGTAACTGAGCAACTGCATCGGGACGATGTTGAGGATGCCCTGGAGGCAGTCCACCGTCCTCGGCACCCGTATCGTCTTGACGTCCTTGGAAATGTCCCCATCATCATCGTTGCACACCACGATTGGCTGCGCCTTGCGCGCCGTGATCTGTGCGAACGCGTTCTGCACCTTTGGATACAACGAGTCCTGCGTCATGACGATGATCACGGGCATGTTCTCGTCGATCAGTGCGAGAGGGCCGTGCTTGAGCTCGCCCGCGAGAATGCCCTCCGAGTGCATGTACGAAATTTCCTTGATTTTGAGTGCGCCTTCGAGGCAGGTGGCATATCTGCAATGACATTAAAGCATTTGAGATAAAAAAGCGGGCCATGTGACTCACTGGTATCCACGACCCATCAGAAGTAGACTACGCTGGTTGGCCAGCACACCAGTCGCGAGCTCCTGCAGGCTTTTGTCGTCTTCGAGCACTTTGCGGATCTGCGCAGGAAGCGCGTGTAAACCCTCGATGATCTGGTTCCTCCGCTCCGTCAGCGAGATCCTGTCCTCCGAGAGCTGGAGTGCTATCATCAGGAGAGCAATGTATTGTGACGTGTACGCCTAACAAGAGCAGAGATGCGTCAGCTCTGAGCCATTCAAACAGAAGGAACAGACTGACTTTCGTCGATGCAACACCGATTTCCGGCCCAGCATTGATATGGACACCGCAGTGGGTCTCACGCGAGATTGTCGATCCGACAACGTTGACGACACCGACGCACAGTGCACCGCGCTCCAAGCAGTACCTCAACGCCAGAATCGTGTCCGCTGTCTCGCCACTCTGGCTGACGAACACGCATACATCATCCCTGAAGATGGGCGTCTTCCTATCCAGGAAATCCGACGCCAGCTCAACGCTGACCGGGATCTCAGTCAGCTCCTCGAAAATGGCCCTCGTTGCAATGCACGAGTGGTAACTCGTCCCACAGGCACAGAATACGATGCGACGGCCGCGTCTGATGATCGGAAGATACTGCCGCAAGCCGCCGAGCGTGATCTGATTTTTGTCAAAGTTGACACGTCCACGCATGGTGTTGACGACCGACTCGGGCTGCTCGTAGATCTCCTTCTGCATGAAGTGGTCAAACTTGCCCTTCATGATCTCAGCAATCTCGATCTCGAGTGTCTCGATCGTGCGGTGCGACGCGGTCGGCGGCGCACCGTCCTTGGAGCGCAGGCGGTGGATATGCAGCTCACCCTCGGAAATGTGTGCGATGTCGTCATCCTCGAGATACAGTACCCGCTTCGTGTGTTCAACGATGGCGGAGGCATCCGAGGCGACGAAGAACTCGATGGGCTGCGGCATGCCGTCCTCTGACATGAAAGCGCGGGATTGTGAGCGTAGCAGGTTGGGGCCGTTGGCAGAGGGAGGGACAAGCAGGCCGCCAGACGTGGGCGATGCAACTAGGAAGGACATCTTAGTACCACAATTCCGAGGATCGACGAGACTACCTACGCGCATCCCGCGTCTCCTCAGGACCAGACATCTCAACGTCGACGAAGTCGACCTTGAGCTTCTTCTCCGTCTTCACGCCGATCAGGAGCGGCGATCCCCGACGAGCGGTGACGATCTCGTTCGGGTAGTGCGAGGACTTGAACACGAACGCAAACGAGCCCTCGAGCTCACTCAACACCGTCTTGATCAGCTCCGTGAATGACATGCGCTTGTCCGGCTGCGAGTCGTAAATGTACTTCGTGAGGATCGCCACTGCCTCCGTGTCCGTCTCGGTTTCGAATTTGTAACCGCGCTTCTGCAGCACCAAGCGGAGTGCATGCGCGTTCGTCACGATACCGTTGTGCACGACCGTGAACTCGGCCTTGGGGTCCGACCGGATGGGGTGACAATTCACCACGGACGGCGGGCCATGCGTCGCCCACCGGGTGTGCGCGATCGAGACCTGCGAGAGGAACGTCTTGGACGTGTCCATGTTTGACTCGGCAATCTTCTTGCGAAGGCCGGCGACCTTGCCTACTTCCTTGAAGAAAAGCATCTCGCCGCGCTTGTCGCCGTCAATACCAATACCGGCTGAGTCATATCCTCGGTACTCTTGCCGAGCCAGGCCATTGCACAGAATTTCACAAATAGTCTTCCGGTCCTGCAGTCGCGAGCAGAGTCAGAACCATGCTGGCACAAAAAGGGAGCATAACGTCCGGAGAGAAGAGAACGTTACGGAACCCGACATATACGTCAGCTCTAAATTGGCGGAGGTGCGCTGAGGCTCGCACAGTCGATCAAGACGTGCACCGCGCCCATCAAGACCGGGCGCGACGCGCGAAGACACGCCACCGAGCTAACCGCAACATCGTTCGCCTCATCGCGACGCTGCAAACGGGCGGCGTTCTAGACCTCTCGGAGCATAGACTGCAAAGACACCCTCAAATGCAGCCTGCCCCTCCAGTCTGTACTGAAAATCGGTGATCGGAGTCACGTCCGAGCGCGATGGTTGTGAGGGTCGAACGCGTTACACGTGTAACAGTATTCGGACGTTTCGTGTATCATCCCAAAGGAATGCAGCATCGACGTCGCACCGCATATAATCCCTCCAGTATCCCCCCTCGCGCATACATAGAAGAAATAGTGAAGATGACACGAACCTTCTCCTGTAGGTAGCTGCAATACGCGAAGATTCCACACATGATTATAGGGCGACCTGGCGGGCACAGCGTCGTCAGTCTACATCGTGACACTCTCGAGCACACCAGTACATACTCACTTGAGAATAAGGACTGGACTGGACAGGAAGGAGGGAAGGAGAGACGAGCAGACGTGGAAGTACAAGCGAGGGTTATATATCCCGACGCCGTCACTTCCGCGCGGTTGCAAGCGCGGGTCGCGCAAACACCTCCAAACACTCTCCATCAGGCCATCGACCGTGTTTTATCACATTCACCGCTTTTGTCCGTCACACCCCGCCCCGAGACGACTTAGCACCAGCGCGGGCAATGCAGACGAGCAGAACGTCTGTTTCGCCCTGGGGGCGCTGCGCGACGCACAGCATTCGCCATGGCCGGCAACACCGTGTCCATCTCTTCGGTCGGCGCTGATCACCATGGAACGAACAAGAAGAGCCTCAAGAATTACAAAGAACCTGGGCGCGCCACTCGGCAATCTTCAGTCTCATCCCTGCTCCCAATTCACAAATTCCGCACAGGTGAAACGACTTCGCGGAAGGCACGGATGTTCATATAGCTGCCCAGACCAGGGTATTTTGCGGACGCGCGGCTCTACCATTAGGACAGCACATGCGACGTGGCGGGCGGAGGGACTCCGTATAGGACCGTATTCGCACAGCGGCCTTTGGTGTCCTATTCGGGCGATGCTGCTTGTATTGACTCGGACGTGGCCTCTTCTGGTTGGGAGCCTGCTGGAACCTACTAGTGGCCCATACTGCTTCAGCCTCAGCCTGTAATGTGCACCGCCGACACACGTGAAGATCGCTGTCATCATTGTAACTTCGCTGTCAGTGTTATTCATGTTGAACTTCTGTCATAGAGTCGATGGAAGATGCTCGAACGATCAATGCATCAAGTGCGTCACTGTGTCAGCGGGTCGTCGTTGTAGTCATATTCGAGGTGCATTTCGCCCAAACAACTCGGTCGTAGAACGCGCTGCCTGGACGACCACTATAGTCCGGAATGCGCCTGTTAACTGCTGTGTACAGCCAAATGATGCGAAAGGTTACTTTCTATGGGACATCTTGGGTATCAATGTCCCACAATTCGAGAAGAAACCACGCCACAGCACGGAGCATCGCCCACGATGAAGGGACGCTTCAAACTTATTGCGCACATCAGTTTCTGCCGCTCGCGATGAGCTCTCGTCAGTCCTGTCATTTCTAACCTCCTTGTGGTCTGATCCACTATCAGTCCAGGGTCTTATCAGCATCTTCTTGGCAACGTGATGGGTCGCAGACCGATATTTACGAGATCCTTCGCACCACTGCCTGTTTGCCCGTCGAGCCTGCTCCATCCCGCCCGCCTTCGGGAAGCCCTTCACACCGAACTCTTCACGCCGGGCTCCTTAGACGTCATCGTCTCGCCGGCAGCTGCATCGTTGTGACGACATGAGCGAGAGGATGTTTCACCTGACGTCAGAATCGACTTACGGTTGAAGCTCGCCCGTATATGATAGTGGCTCTTCGCCTCGAGCGATGCGGCGTTCTCGTTTATACAGTGTCAACGAACGTGTATCAGGCATGCTCTGTTCTCGGTAAACAACACACAACTGCTCGCATTGAATGTTGCGGGTAGGTTGTAAACAGTGGCCTGTCATAGCATTCAGGTCACCATTGTGATCTGTACTCTCGAAGACGCATGTTGCTGAAGCTCTCGTATGAAATCCTCGAGTGTGAACGCTCCGAATCAATAGATCGTCGTTGATGAAGTAAAACACGAGCAATACTATCCTCCCTATGGTGTCCTCGACCCCATCACGGGAAAGATGGTATCCTCCAGGATGACTTCAAGTTGACATCACACACGTCAGGCCGAGCGAGGACATCGTCGTCACATTTCACAGGTCAAGCAGCACATGCCTCGAAAATTAAAACAATCCGTCCACAGAGTCTACCCAATAGCATTGTCTGGGAGGGCAATGGCCAGCAATACGTACGGGCAAGGCGCGGCTGCGATCTAACGCTTGACCGGCTGCGGACTAATACCTTATTTTACGTGTATTCGGTGTCAACCGACCTAGAGCAACGTGTTTGTGGAGATATGAAGACTTGACCAGGACTGTTAAAGCTTGGGCTTGAGCTTGAGCAGCCGCGGTCAAGGCCGTCACGCAATCACGGGACCGCGTCGCGGCTTTCCCGCCGAGCATCAAAGTTCAAGATGCGCATCTGCCCATGCCATATGGCATGCATCCTGTTCAGAATACTCGACTTCAACCGGTGTCGCATCCGCTACATCTTGCGGCACAGCCTGCATAGATTTATTTTTCCACGGGAAACCTGATGCAAAAATGGTGAAAATATCTTATGTCTGGATATGGAAATAGTATGGAAACTGGGCGGAGAGTATTATCAATTGTTTTACCGAAACGTATCAGCAATAGTGAAACTATTTCCCAAAGGCAGATATTTCAGTCCAAAAATATGTGATACCGATATGTTTTGGTGAAGCAATTGTAACATAATTCAATTGTTTCCACCTGATTTCCAAACTATTTCCATATCCAGGCTTAAGATATTTTCACCATTTTTTCATCAGGTTTCCCGTGGAAAAATAAATCTGTGCAGGCTGTGCGGGCGCAGTCCTCGTGCGCGGCCCGCTCCCTGGCCATATTCGACACCACATTGCAAAAGCAAATCTTAGGTCATAGCATCAACACTTTACGAATGGGGTATCGGGGTATATAACGTTCGAAAAGGTTTACGAAATATCAACATATATGCCTGTGCGAGTATCGTGTATGGCGCACATACGAGGTAGATATAGCATTCCCAAATCCTAAAATCCGTGATGGGGAGAACACCATTCCTGATCAAGCATCGTGTATCGCGCGTAGAAGTGATGCGTAGAACGTTCGAAGTTGTGAATGAAAAAATTGTCTGTCGAAATATCGCTAGCCTCTTGCCAAAATCATACGATGACTGAAATTATAATGAAGCCGAATACGCTTTAGATGTGCGGGAGCGACCGCTGAAGTTTCAAAATCGGTTCAATGCTCCCCTTCGTGATTTGTTTTGCGACGACAAGGAGGATCTGATTGATGGTGACGCCATATTGAGGGCCGACACGCCACTGAGCATCAGTGTCGTTGGTTCCATAGTTATGATCCTGATTGGCCTAACGGACTGTCATATTGAAGATATTCAAGTCTATAAGTCACTATCGTACTCACCTCGATGAACTCGTTCATGAGCCTCGCTATCTTGCAGGCCAGTTGTTCGGCGGTTGTACCCCTGGAGATGTCAAATTGCTTGAAAAAAGGCCGGTAACGAGGCCCTGCCCGTGGGATAGGCCACTGTACGTGCGGCGTGCGCATTGAAAACAGCATTTCCTGTTTAGTGTTAACGACGTACTGTGAAACGCAACGCCAGCTTATGACTGCCGTTCGACAGGCCAGGGAAGAGAGGGTCTGTGGGTAGTCCCGGTGGTATATTGCCGGACAGACATGAGCCAAGATTGACGTATCCGACACCATTCGGGGAGAAGTAAACGAAGCGCTCCTGGAAAATGGGTCTCCTTGGCGGGGGTCGATACCGGATAAGAGGAATAGGCACGATGGTTGAAGAGCCATAATGAACAGAAGGTTGTCCCGCTGGAGGAATCAACCCGAATGGAATCAGACCCGGACTGGTAGGTGCTATCGCGCTATTGATAAACATCTGAAAGCAACCTCGGCGAGTTCATCCTGAGCGGACATTATGACACAAACTCACCATCGGCATCGAAGCTGCCTGCGCTGCACACGGTATCATGCCAAGGTTTTGGTCGTTGAAGAGGGTATGGGTATCACGGCTCGTGATATGTATGTTGCTATGCTCCTCAGCATGAGCGTTCTGGTGGCTCGACAGAACCTATTAAATCAATGATTATGAGCAGGCTCATAGTATGATACGTCGGTCTGCTTCATGAGGACGACCTACGGTAGGCGGAAGCACTTGGCGTTGCGGAGCCCATGAGGGACCTGAGGATTGGTTGTCGCTCGCTGGAATATGAGAGCCCGTGCTCTGTGGATTATGCCGCAATCCGCGTTAGAGAAACATAACTACTCAAGGTCGGCGTGTACTGACAGAGTTTGACTCTGAGTGCGCAGTTCGAGAGGAGAGGGCGTGACTCTCTCTCATAGGACAATCAGGACCATCGCAGCCTTGACAGAAGCATTTGTTGGACATCGCGGTCTGGAGCGCAAAGAATTTAGTCAGCTAATGCGGAAGAGAGGGAGAGGAAGAGAGAAAATGAAGCACCCAAAACAATATCGCGGACTTAAAAATATATCGCATCCGCAGTCGTGCCAGTGAGAGAGCATCGCGTGTCTGCTGGTATATCCATTGCTATGCGAGAATCGAGGGTGAATTCTCAAAGCGGAGACGGAAGGCCGTCCTTTGTAGGGAGATCGGGACTGAAGTCGAACTGGTAGGCCTGTCAACTTGAGCATAGGCGGGGCAACGGATCTCGAATCCATTGCAACTCTGCTGCGCAACTACGAGGATATCTTATACTAGAAAATGACAACGATGGATAGTATTTCTCTTCGTATAGCTTTTGCTTACCGACGTTATGCGCATTGGGAGTCCGAGACTAGACGATTATTTGCTCGAATAATGGTTATGGGCCTGGTACAACTAGATATTGAGCTCTCGCTATTGCACATCAAAGTCGCAGGCATACGTGCCGTTTATCACATTTATAAAGCTGAAACCGAATCGATCCAACGAACAGGAGGTGGCAATGAAATGCTCGTAATTGCAAGGAGGAAAACAGCCTCAAGCCAGAGACAGCTACGTACAGCCGTACTTGAAACATCTTCCGGTCCATTAGGCTGGCCCAGTCGCAATAACCCGTGCTGCGAGAATAATCCGGGAAGGAGGGTTCATCGAGTGCACCGGCGGTGCGCAATTACAAACTAATAAGCGTTTCAGCAGTGCTTTACAACCAAATGTTAGAGGCAATACAGCGGGACATCGTCATACGGTAAACCTCTCCGTTCTGCATCCAATCCTCGCGCGGCGAGCACGAGATGGACGGTATTATCGACCCGGTGAACACACCTCGATCGTAGGATGCGGTCCAACATTACTGCATTTCAGCCCGTCACAGGCGGTTCTTCGCTCTTCCATTCCTACAACATCCTTGACAAGGGCGCTGTCCTAGTACCTTCTCGTGCAGGAGACTATTCCCACAGAAGTCAGAACGCTGTGTACGGCGGCTAGATCATAAAGCAGGGGCGGATGAGATGGGAAGGTATCGGTTCATATGAATACTGTGGCAACCCAGCAACGACTAAAATGTCCGAGGATTTGCTTAGACATATGCATAGTGTAGCGAGGATTATCTGTCTGCCGAGGCCAGCAAATTAGAATTAGAATTCTGAAGACCACGTTGTGATGGAAGCCGAGCACATGGCAGCGTGCAGCACACAGCCACACTTCATTTACTTCATGAGAGTAGGGAGCGGCGTTCAGGAACATGAACCTGTCGCTCCTTTGAGCTTCCATGCCCGGGTCCTATTGCTTTCAACATTTAAACCTGCGCATGTAGACAAGAGCATATGCCTGCACGTTTAAAAGGCTTTTGCGCATGTTACGTCGCACAGTATGTGATAATACAATCAGATTCAACTGTATCGGAGGCTGTGAGCGTCTTTCTGGCCTGGGAGCCGAAGAGGACTCCGTGCGCTAAAATGTAAAATTTTCACGTCGACGATAGGACACTTATAGCCGGTATATGCACGACAATGGCGCACCTTCATCAGGGAGATTCACATGTTGAGCAGCCAGCTGAGGATCTGCCACGCCTTGTCATCGCAGCTCTCCTGCATGATACATGTTTTGTCCCGCGGACTCCAGTCAGATATACCACGTACCCTCCGTCATTGTCACGATGCAGACATTACGAAAGATGTCTATGCTGATCGAAATCTCCGTCTTCCGCACCGCATACATGGAATGTCCGGGAATGGTCTTTAGCAGCCTCGATGGGATCTTCTGGCCGACCGCGCCAGATATACGAGATGGCACTGTACGGCACCTGCGGAGACCGATGGATTCGTGAATGCAAACACGTTTTTCGTTCGCGAATGGAGCGCAATCGAGCTGTTGGAAGCGTTGACGTGTGGCGATGAGACCTGCGCCGAAAACCTTGCCGCCTAGGAAATCCACTGTGAAGTCGCAGATGAGGCTATTGCAGGTCTTCTCTGCTCGTCCATCGCAAGTAATGTCCGCGGCAAGACAATTATAGAGAGTTAAGCCTCGTTGTCCGAGGTGTGACCATGCCAGGGATGGTATTGCCAAACGGAACAGGCGTTCGTAAAGATGCACGCAACACTGCTCTGGGCATTGTAGCAAGATAGATCTGGGAGGTATATTCGACCGTAGCTCGCCACACATATTCGGGAGGTGTAACGTTCCGACGTCCACTTCGGACTGGCTGGAGTCATTTGAATGAAAATGGCAAAGCAAGGAAGCTTGCACCCTAAGATGGAAAACGACGGATCTAGCACGAAGCCGTCTATTGGAAGAAGTACCAGCCGTACTGAGATAAAACGATCACCTGGAGAATAGCGATGTGCCATAATGAACTGCAGTCAACAGCGTTTCAAACCCGGTTTACTCTCATTTGTGCGGCAGCATGGGGATCCGTTGGTTGATGATGCGTCATACGCTCCCTGTGTCGATGATAACTTGCCCAGAGCCCCGGCGCGCTCGGTCAAGTAATCGCATACACACGGTGTAAAACGACAATCCTTTCAAGCAGTACGAAACGGTCTGACGGGCTGTCACATCTAGAGAATAATTAACGTAGAGCTGTACAAGTGCTGAGCAGGGTGATTACATCGACGGCGGAGTAGGTAGTGGCAGAATCAGAAGAAGATGTCACGGGACTACTAGTCACTACTAGTTCAGGCGTTAGTTTTAACTTTTCAGCGCTCAGCCTTCAGCTTCAACCGACACGATACATCGCTGGCACTGCGATATCTCACGTTCACAGTCTCATGTGGTTGGACGGGCACGCAACAGTAGTCTTAAGCTTGTTTCGCAATTGCTGAAAGTGTGGTACGGACTACATCACAATTCAATCCGAGACGCTGGTGGCCGCCTTCATCACTTTGCCATGCAAAGATTGAGGGTATCGTATTTGGCACCGATAAGCACGGTGCAGTAGTCCTCTGACCCCCTTGAACCAACTCCACAGAACAATGGTGATACTTTTGTTTACCACTGAGCTGGCTTCCTGGAGACTCTAGGGCCTGAGGTCAAAAACCTTGCTCTGTGAGATATCTTTCAAACACTGACCCTCCTTTAGCGCAGCTAATTATACTTACGCTTGTTGGCGAGGCACATAAGCCGCTGTTACGCTCTGTAAGATGTCATGTGAACATACCGAAATTTCGAGCGCAAATGTTTGACTACTATGACACACATAACTAGCTAATGGACATCACAAAGAGGATCAGGACCTCCTATGGACACATCGTCCATGCCGCATGCCTCCTCAAAAAGACCGTTACGGGCATTGTAAGTGTTGTATTCGCACCAAGCGATGCGATGAAACCTCTCTGGTGCATGCTCCTTTACTAATATTGCCCGTCCTGCCCACGGATCCAAAAATCGGGCGAATGACGCCATAGTGGGCTGCTTCAATTCTCCCAAGTTGACCATCAACACCCTGGAATTCTCAGCAGGAATGAAGTCATCATGGCGGTTAGTCTCAGAGAGACTCATCTCATTGTAGTCGTGAATCTTGCAACTATAGGTCCCTCTGTTCGTGCTCAACGTGCGCAAGTGCGGCTGGTTTGCGTCAGGTCCCGCCGTCAGGGACAACACGCGAAGAGTCTGAGCCCGGATGGTAGTGTATCCTCCGTCATCCATGGAGACCACCAGCGGTAAGTCGCAAAGCCATTGCATTCCTTCAAAGCTGTTGTAGAACGTGCTAACTTCTCGTATACCGGAAATTGTCGACAGCGTCGCTTTTCCTGAGACTGTGGTTATCGGAAACGCTGGGAAGCTGCTGAGCTGCCTACAAGGGGGAAGCAGCAGACCTGCGCCTAGCCAATCGATAGTGTTGCCTGTACGAGCTAGCTCTCTGCCAAGAGCTACGGTCGCGCCTAAGCGATCGTCCTTGCGAAATACGCGCGTGTCCAGCGTCACGCCGAACAAGCCCATGATACTGAACACCATGTCGACCGGACGGCTTGACGTACGCATCAGCGCACTCCGCCAGATTGCCTGTCTCTTCATTTTCGCGTCTTCCTCGGATGCGATGGCGACTACAAGAGTGAATAGTGCGCCACCGGAGCCAAAAATATCAATGATTGGCTTGAATTTGGTTTCGCCGCAATCTCCCATGACACGGATCGTTGGAGGATTGATAGCGGACTGCAGCAGTTCGAGTAACGGCGATGTCGCAGACTGGCCGGAGACCACTATGAGTGGGTCAAAGAAGCTTCCTGTGGTTTCTCGTCCGCGTGAGCTGCTGATTAAATGCCATTTGTATAGGACGAGCGATCGAGGCGGTGCAAGGCATTCTTGCAGGGTCCAACCACGATGGATATAATCCGTCTCCTCCTCCAAGCCGATCATCCGGCGCAACCCTCCCGGGAGGATGAGGCATACATGACAGTCGCGGTAAATGGAGTGCATGCGCGCGATCTGCCACGTCTTGTCGTCTCGGCTCTCCTGCATGATACACAGCCTGTCCAACCAAATGTACGAGAGGCCTTCCCTGATCGCCGCGAGACAAATGTGATGGAGGACATCTAGACTGATCGGGTCTCCATCCTCTGCGCCATGTACATGGAAGATTCGGTCCTGATCTCGGGCGGCTTCGTCGGGATCCATCGGCCGGCCGCGCCATGTGTAGGAAATGACGCTATATGCTATCGTAGAGAGGTCGGTGAATTCATGAATGCAGACACGTTTGTCATTTGTGAATCGAGAGCAGTGGAGCAGTCTGAAGTGTTGGGGAGTATACAATGCGCTTGTGTCGAGGACTTTGCCACCTAAAGATTGTAGTGCGAAATCGCATATGACTCTGCCACGGCTTTGTTCGAAGTATGGATTGCCGTGCGATATATTTTCGGGAATGAATGTCTCCCACTGGCAGCGCTGTTCGGTGGACTCCACCGTAGTAATGTCGAAGTTTGAGAGGAGTGGAATTGTGTTGCGTAGGGGCTCGTTGGCCATGGTACTGTGAGGGAGTCGAGAGGAGCCTGCCCTTAGAACACGTTTCGTGCTGTTATAAAATGAAAAGCATCTTCAGTGGTAAGATCATCGGAACATCGATAGTGGCTGATAGTGATTCAGAGTCATGTAAGACCATAGCATTCACTCAATTCCCGAGATAGTCACCGATCTGGTGAAATCAGTATCTCCGTTGTGGTCCGAGTACACACGAAGTATGCTGTGCTCCGACATACATATCAATACAGCGCCTATGACACTCGTTCCGAACAGAATCTGGCATTCATGACGGGGAATGTAGCCGAAGTAGACTTCCTTTTTCTCCGGTGGTCGTCTGATATCACGCGGCTTCTTCCACAACCGGCTTACGTTAATAAGACTGCGGTTCATGAACATGTACCCCCGGTGAGTCGCACGACTCAGAGCTTTCCCGCTCAGATTGCATTGACCATCTCCGCATCCAAATCCAGATCCTGAGCAAAGTGTACGCTCAAAGCTCTTCAAAGATTGCAACAGCTCATGTTAGCCTTCCAGATTCAATCGCACTACGCGGTTTCTCAGGACTTCTTGCGTCTCTACTAAGTGCTTACGTGTCAGGCACGACTTTGCCTTACCCCCCGCGGTGTCATGATGTGATTCCTGCGTCTTTAGAATGGTGTACAAAATCCGCGTCCGTATCATCGACACGACGCCTGTGAAGTTCTCTGTTGTGGAGAAGAGCGTATGGTACCATGTCGGCGGGACGTGGTCCGAGTGCGATGGAATCCACACCATTACTATGAATGGCATCGGCTCTTCCGGAGCACTTCGCTTCTCGAATGCACATAACGAGTCATTCATCGTGGTGGCAGGCTTGATGGGACCGGGTGAACAGCATTGGTCTGCTATAGTGACCGATCTCGGCGTTGATCATACGGCGCTGTGGATCCATCCCGGCTTCTATGGAGAAGTCAAGCACCCTTGGACGAGCGAGAAGGAGGAAACCAAGAGAAGCGAGAAGGGCACGCAAGTCACCACCAGACTTGTGGCCCAGGCGGGAAACGAGTACTTCCTGCATGTCATTATTTATGCATCAGATTCAGACGTACCTCGACCAAACGTCGTTATGAAAATTTGTTTTTGATGGCATATTGTAGACAATGCTTGTCTCCTGATGATTTCACGTGGGAGGTTCAAACAGTGGGATGACCTGAAACATTGTCATGTCTAGCGCAACATTTGTTTTGACGGCTGAAAAGCTGAAAAGCCCGGCTGACAACGAGTTTGCATGAGTGAATGAGTTGATTCCGACGACCGACCACCTGCACAACCCGCGGACAGATTCGACGAGTAGTATTGACAAGAACCGATAATTCGTAATCATACTGCCCAGCAAGGGTATTATTTGCGGCTATTGCAGAGGAGCAAAGCAATATTCATGAACACACTAGGTTAGTTAAAGCGGTTTGCGGTGCATGATATCAGCGAACTCCTGCGAGGGTCGTCTTGAAGGATGCAGACAAGCCGCAGTTCGTTTGAAGATTCGAGACCACGAGTGAACTATCATACTAGGTGACGGCTGGCTGCTGCCGGAAATTATGCGGGCCGCAGGCTACGTCCACCACAGCTCTAAGGAACAAGACAAGTCACAAAGCTAACAGTTTTTGTGAAATCTGACGCTCTCAGGCCACAGGTTTGTCCGTGTTGTTCATACTACGGCGCCACGGCGAGATGATAAACATAAGTCGAAGTACTATGGTATTATCACATTTGCACAGCTGGCATCACCTGCTCGATGTGTCGCTTTTGAAGCTACCAACCGTCCTGCAACATACAATCTACATATCCTGCCGGCAAAGAATACGTGCGTACAAAGTCAAACATTCGTATCTATCTACGTCAAGGACTCACTGCTTCTCTTCTTTTCCTCAGTAACAATCTCCCGCTCAACCGACTCGTCCAATGACTCAACATCCCGGATGAACGATTCCAGCCCATCCAAATGCTTGGGCGCCCCTGCCTTCTCCATGCTTTCTATAAAGGCAACCTGACGGGGCACGGGGAATACTCGATGAAGGAGACAATTCATGAGGAAGGCAATGCAAAATCCGAGGACGTAATTCAGGTCGTATAACCGTGCAGCTGTCTTGCTGACTGTATGCGGAGAAACTGCGCCTATGAAACCAGTGATGCACGGTGCAACGCCACTGAAGAACGCGACGAATGCACGCCAATTGATCCCCCAGGTATACCAGTAGATCGAGCGGCTATCGCCGATGTACACGTCCGAAATCTTGAAATATCGTCGTTGAATGACGTAGTATTGGCTCACCATCTACATATCCTTTAGCAAACATCCGAAAGTAAGCGGAGTTCATAGTACTCACAAGGCCCGTCATTGGACTCAGGAAGACCGAATAGGCACTCAATACTTCAAGGAAGATGCTGGATGAGCTTAATAGTTGCCATGGATTGACAGCTATGGACACCAAAAGGATTAGGTATGCACCACGTCGGAGGTTGATGTACTTGGGCCAAAGCGCGGCAACGTCGACTCCACCAGCGAGCTACAGTGGGACAGCAGCTGTTAGTGACCGAATACGCCGACAAATGTAGACATACCAGGTTTCCAGGGACGTTGATACCCATTTGTGTAATAATCCATGCAAAAGCGCAGAAGAAGGTAGACGCGCGAGCGCCAGAGCTTCCGGCTTTCTGCGCAGCCAGCAACAGGTCAGGCGGATTCCACAAGGCCTCCCCGTATCGCTCTGTGGTTGCAGCGGTGATGAAGATGCCACACAATGCTGTACAGAACGCTGTGACAGGGAACGATACTAGAATCGCATATCAGCCTAAGTAAGCGATGAACACGGGAGCTACATACTGGCTTGCGCTGCAATGGCGCGTCTCTCAGGCGTCTTCGCAAAGCGCGTGAAGTCGTTGTCGTTCAAGATGCCAGCAGCAATTCCACCAATCTGGGCCATGATCCCGTACACCATCGTCCACGCGAGGGTAGCGGTGTCCATCGCGACATCCGTCGTCAGTGCAGAGCCCGCAAGGCCCCCTTTCATCGTTGAGAGCGACCAGATGAGCATCACAATCTGGTTCACTAAGACCACAACGGCACAGAATTTAAAGAATAATTGCAGCTTGTGTGGGTGTACGTATGTGAGCGGCACACAGAGAAGGTTGAACAAGATGTAGCACATGAACTCCGCGCCAGTCATGCCTACGCTCGAGGGGAAGGGGTTTGGAATCGCATCGATGTGATGTGGCCAGATAGCGCGAAGACAGACGAGGACACAAAGCCCGCCGTTCCACGCTTGCACAGCGACTAGACAAGGGTTCGTCATTTTATAGAACCTGATAGAGAACAGTACGCACACCAGACGACTGAAAGCAGAATGCGGTTCACGAGCGCAAAGTAACTGCCATTCATGCCCCACGCGATTCGCGAAATCGCCGGGTATCCGATATGGTAGTACGCGCCAGAAGTCGAGTTGAGCGTACAGAACATGGATGACAATCTACGCGCAAGGTATTAGCGAGGGAAGCCAGAGAGACAGAGTCGCAACGGATCGTACAGGTTCCCAAATATGATGCAGATAATTGCCTGCCACCACTTCAATCCATCAGCAACTAAGGATGAACCAGTCTGGTAACCCGAGATATTCATATTGACGAGAATCCAAAGCTCGATGAACTGCCTTGGGCCCCAAGTCCTTCGCGCAGGCTCGACGGGCATGAGGTCGTGATTATGCCATCGATCGGCTGCTCTTTCTCCTTGATTGGGTACTTCGAGCTTCTTCAACAGCCGCCTCCGAATACTCATCCTGACCGTCGCGACACAAGAGAGAGAAAACGCAGGGTGGTCAAGAGGCACAGCTGGATGCTTTATCCATGCTTCCTGTGGATGCCTTGTACATATATGGTTTGAGGCCTTTGAATTCTGATATCTTAGCAGCTCCGCCTGCCTAGAGCGAAGAGGCTTCTGAGTATCGTGCAATTGCTGATAAGCGAATGGAAATAAGAACAACCTGTCGACGCACCATGCCGCCGGACGTTCAATCATCAGATGCCCTGTACACTTATCGCAATATGATTACGCTACAGCACACGAGGTGTTCCTGCAATTCGAACTTAGTACAGCCGCCACAAAGAGACATGTGTGTCCTGCGATATGCTTATACGTTCCCCTCCGAATCTCTGGATTGTCGTGAAGCACAGCATGCAGCAAGTCAGTGTCACACGACAAGGCGCAAGAGACATTTCCATGAATCAATGTAAGCTGCTGCACGCTTTCCTTGTCTACTCGACTACCGGAGCGCAATTGATGCAGCGTAGAAGGCCCGATGGCCAAGATCCTAGCAAATTGCCCCATACGGTCTGAAAAGGCTGCTGCCGGGCCGAAGTGCAAATGGGTTTGATTGCATAGGGATTCATCAGGAATGCCGCTTTGTCCAGCGGTAATATGAATAGCAAAAGGATTACAGCAAAAGCCATAGAACTACACGAGAGGAGCAGGCATCAGACCTCCCGACTTGAGAGAAGGGCCACATACCAACAGAATGATTATGCAGATCGTCATACATCAGTAGCGATCTCTGCGGTCCCTGTCTCTGCGCCGATCTTCGGATGCATACCTATCTACCGAGCGGTCCCCGCGCCTCTCTTTATCGCTATCATGGTTGCGGTCTCTATCTCTGCGCGAAGACTCGTAATCAGGACGATCTCCCTTCCGTCTGTCTCTTTCTCTGTCCGTATCAGGAACTTTGTTCTTGTCCCTCTCGTAGTCTGCGTCCCGCCGGCTGCGCTCGGGATCCCGCCATCGCTCCGGCGACGGCGACCTTGAATGTCGCCTCGAGCTCCCGCGTTCGGGTGAGGGTGACCGCCTCCTGGATGAAATATCCTTCGTACTCGAGCGTTCCCTGCTCCGCTCCCTTGGCCTATCCTCCTCGCCATCTCCTGGCCGCCGCTCCTTTTCCTTTTTGATGACCGGCACATAACGGCGCTCCGGTCTGCCCTTCCCGCCCTTCTTGCCCTTGACGAGCAAGCTACCGTCATCGAAGACTTCCTTTTCCTTTGCACCGATGCCAAGGAGCGCGGGACGGGCTTGAGGGAGGTATGGCTCGATAGGGCCTTTCTGCTTCCGGCTCGCCGCCGTTCCTTCCTTCCACCCCATTCCTCGCAGAAGGGCTGCGCCAAACTGCGATACGGGCACACGCTCGTAATCTTCGAGTGTCGCAGGGTCGGGAAGCTCGGCGACATCCTGCTTGTAGGCATCATCCTCGCTGACTGCTGCTGGAATCACCTCAATGTGCGGACCTTCTAGATTCGGGTTATCTGAGTTAGCGTTGGCGAGAATAACTCGGAGGGCTTTCTCGTCGTCGGTTTCTTCGTCCTTTTTGACCACCTCCATTGCGGTCTCCACGGTCGTTGATTCCTCCATTTTGACCTCTGTCGAATCAATCGTCATGTCTTCCTCCACTTTCATGCGCTTGTGCACCTGCAAGCCAACCAGGTGGGGACCCGAATTGATCATGTCTCGAGTCCCCAAACCACCAACGCTGCCATCTGCGCCGGTTTGCGCCGCAGCGCTGGGAGGCACATACAGCTGCTTCCTCTTTCGTGCAAGCTCCCGCCAGTCTTTGTTCTTCAAGGCTGGAATAACTAACGGGCCCTGCGGTTCCTTCTTCTTTTCATGTAAGCTAGATTAAGGATACTATTGTGAGTTGAGAACCCGGCCTTCGAAAAAGGTGAGAAGACACACCGCTGCACCCCAAACTGATCAAAGCCCGTCACGAGCTCATCCTCAGTCTCCTCGTCTTCGTCCGAGCTTTCGCGTTCTGTGTGTGTCCTTGAGTTAGGCTTCGGAGAGGAAGTTGCGCTCCTTGCGAGGGGGCTGCCGGGCGCACTTCCGCTGCCACCGGCAAGATGTCGGGGCAGTGCGGGTACCTTGAAGCTTGCTTCAGAGCCAGAGTCTCCACCAGAGGAAGCCCGAGAGACAGGCGTCGGACGGCGAATGGTGAAAGAAACTTTGCTCGGTTCTGCCGACGACATGAACGTTGTCGAAGAGGTGGTGCTGCTCTGTCGTAAACCGCAATCTCGCCTTCCCTCTAGAGGCCACGTGCGCAAATTCATACAAATATAATAACCCACATAGATTATTATATATGTAGGTGCCCTTGTCTTTTGGTGATACCCAGATCCTGTCTCTGTGCACGCTGAGTGGCATAAATAGGTGCAAGGACATATCAATAAGCTTATTGCCACTGGATTGTTGTTTTCCACATTTTCCAAAATTCTGATGAAGGGCCACTATCATGGTTTACCCGGGTCTCCTATTCTGTGATCGTGTCTTCGCTTCTGCCTCCACCACACCGACAACCTCGCGGAGGAGCTGTCATCTCAGTGGTTAGGATGCTTTTTGATGTGAATAGCGACAATGTCAAAGCGTATGTGTGAGTTTGCGCTAGTATGTTTGTTACTCATACAGTCCCTGACAGTCAGGACTATCAGGATGAACGACGCGGAAGTGGCGGAAAGCAGTCTGATCCCGCACGTCTTACCAATGGAGATAATCTGTGAAGTCAGTCGTCTCCATTCCGCTCGAAAGCTGTTCTATTCAGATCGCTCATGGTGCGATTGTTTGTAGGGTATGATCAAATGTGATTCTCAACAAGGAATGGCACTGAACCGCAATAACCAGCCTTTCTCCTTGCCGCCGTACGGAATCCTGGGACTGCAGCAAAGCTCAGCCTTGTTTGCCAGTCTGCACATTTTTGGATGCTTCCTGCACTATATTCGACTGTGACACTCACATCCTCAGACCAGATTGTGCCCTTTGCGCGGTCACTCAGGGCTTCCACCATACAGGTCGAGGAAGGCAGCGCCGAACGCTCTCTCGGCTCATACGTACACCACCTCTGGTTTGGGCCTGTAAGCTCAGCCGCCGAGCACGACCTCTTTTACGCCTCTACTGCGTGGCCAGTCACGCTCTTGCATCAGATTCTATCGCTTTCCCAGAATCTCCGTGCTCTCGCCTTTGTCAATGTCGCACAGCACCTTCTCTTTAGATTCGAGGAGGTAATTCCGTCCACAGTGGAGTCCATTTACCTCGGGCCGGTGCATGGGCGCCTGGACATATCGAAATTACGATGTTATCGGAATCTGCGACATCTGACGAGCATGGACACGTATATGAATGACTGGGAAATCCAGGAGATCGTTACATCGCCTCATCTGCGCGTATTTCGCCGCTTTTTCAGCACCTCGGCCAAGATTGCTTTTGCGTTCGACCAGCTGCCAGTTATGAAGAGGGTGAAGACGTTGGAGCGCTTGGAGATTATCAATTGCGACGAGACCGCTGGATCCGCCGCGCAGACACTGGGTCTGTGTGCGGCGGCGTACTACGAGTTCGCAGACGCGCGGATCCTGCTGACTGGGAAGTCCAATATCAGGAAAGGGCGAATGGATATCATGGCCACTTTATATGACGATTGGACTCAATCGCTCGGCGTATGTTCCCTAGATGGGACGTCCACAGACGTCAATGCTGTGAGTGTATTCCAATAACGAAGGCTGTAATAGAACTGACCAATGCGCAGGTGTCTCGGGTAATGGAACCGCTGTGAGTGATGGTGATGTTGATGATGGAATTGAAGGCATGTCTATCGAGTCGAATGCTCTTGCTTATGTCCTCGAGCATCTATCTGTACATAAACATTCGAATTTATGAACTACTGCAAGAACGTTATACTGTGTTCATGAATTCCAAGTCGAGACCAATCCTGCGACGTGGCCGCCCGACGCCACAGCGCGACTTCTGCTTTGCTATCATCTACGTTTGCCTTTGTGCTCGCCCGTGCAAGCTTGCGGCCCTTCGAATAGTTCAGAACATACTACTGGCTTGTTCATGCTGAACGCATGGGCTCACTCTGTTTGACGTGAACCGAAGCCTCGGACGGTCTCAGCTACCCTCTACTATCGCGATCATGTCGCCGTCACACTCTCGCTCGCACTCCGTGGATACAGAAATGCATGAACTAAACGCTGAGGCCGACTACTTGGAGGAGAAGATGCACATCGTGCCCACAGGCGTGAACGGTGTGGATGCGAAACTACTGGGGCACAACAACGATCCAGATGCGCAGGCCATGGTAATCCAGTCCCTGCGCTCGCAGATCCAGGATCTCTTCTCGCAGGTATCCCAGCTTAACAACAAGCTCGTGAACTCCTACGATCGTATGTCCGACCTGGAGGATGAGTTGCACGTCACCACTTCGAACTTGCGCACGTCCACACTCAAGGTCACCGAACTCGAGCTCGAGCGATCGCAGCATATATCCGCACTGAACACGGGGCTGCTCGTCGAGAAGGACCACGTCACATCGGAGCTCAACCGGTTAATGGAGAAGGCTACCGAGGAGGCCGCACAGCGTGGGCAGGCGGAGACGGCGCGTGAGCAGATCGAGAAGGACCTCGACGACCTGAGCGCAAGTCTGTTTAACCAGGCAAACAGCATGGTCGCCGAGGCACGGATGGCGCGCGCACGTAGCGAGCGCAAGGCGGAAGAGACGGAGCGCGCGTTGAAAGAGGCAGAAGAGGTGGTTGGGTTGCTGCAAGGGCAGATGCAGGCCCTGCAACTGGAGAAGGAGCGCGCGGACAGGCGGGTGGAGGATATGCGGGTGACGATGGGCAAGGGCAAGTGGGTGGACAGGGGACACTCCCCCGAGTGGGCTGCCAGGCCACGCCTGCTGTGCTCACATATGCCCTACCAAGAGTATATCGCATTCATCTCCCACTTACGGTCCATTCGTCCTTCCAGCCAGCATCCGCCGGCCATGTCGACACTGCTGCCTCTTCCATTTCTCACAAGGCTCGTTACGGAGGATTCGTGCGTAACTTGGTGATTGTATATCTTCAGGACACTGAGATTGTTGCACAGAGATCCTACTGTCCGTTTGGACCTTGCGCCATCACTGAACTGGCTTACGCGTAGATCAGTCATCTCGGCGATTCACAGTGGTCAATTAACGGTCGAGCCTATGCACACGGCCGCCCTCCTTGAAGAGATCTCACCCTCAATACCTGGAAGTACTCAGCATACCCAGATCTCGTGCGCTCTGTGCGGCACATCTATTCTCTCTTCATCAGGTCGCGCTTCACCTACTATAACTACGCTTGCACCCTCCGCCGCTCAGGGCAGATCCACTGTGAACAACTCCTGGTCATCGTCTCTGTTCAAGAACTCACTGGTGCAAACAATGTCTTCCAGTCCTGGTGTCCTATCACAACCATCCAGTCAGCAGCAAGCATCGTTCATTCTGTCAGAGCCACCTACCCAGATCTACATCTTCCGCATTGACACAACATCATCCGGTCTTCCAGTGTCACTGCCCCTCTCCTCTCAGCAGAATTCTGCCCAACATCGGCCGACGATCTACCCACTCTGCACCACCAAGTGGTGCCTTCACAGGCTCCGTACGACATGCTCGATGTGGGCCTTTATCCGCACGGGTGTCGTGGAGAAGATCTGGGAAGAGACTCCATACGTTCCGCCATCGCATCACTCCCCCAAGACCAGCCTTACTGGTTCTGAGAAGCAAGATTCCTCGAGTGGTGGAGCAGATGCAGATAAGAAGCCACCGGTCCCGCCACGGCGGGCACGCACGGCCATCGGTGCATTTTGGGGTTCGGTGCAGCGAACGCTGAGCAGCAGTAGGGAGGCTGAGAGCCAGCCGTCTACTCCGAAGGAGAACGAGAAGCCCTTGCCAAACTCGCCAACAAAGAAGGACTTCCAGCCACCTCCCGTGCATCCTTCACGATCTGCTCTCGCTCCTGACAGCCCTCCCTCTGTCCCTCCGCCACTTCCAAAGCGCAACCGAGGGCGAGACATGAAGTCAAGGACGCTCTCTGTGTCCGAGCCGATCGTCGGAGAGGGAGCAGTGGACGAGCCTGCTCTCTCGCATGCAGACTCGGCCGAACAGTTTGCCACTCCCGCTGAGGACGTCACGTCCATGCTTCCGGAGCGCACGGAGTCGCCCGCTGCTATTCCTTTACCACCCTCTGGCCCTTCGACTCCTGAACCTCAGCTGCCGGCGGTGCAAGTGGATGCTGCTCCGGAAGCGGAGGCACCGACCAATAATGCATCGGAAATCCCTCCAGTACCTGCAAATAAATCGTCCAATGTACAAGGTGACGCCACCCATGGCGTCTCGCCTGTGCCACCTCCGCTCCCTCGTCGCGCTGCTGCCCGCCCACGCCCAGTATCCATGGTAGTACCTCCGCCTGTGGACACAACTCCTGTGGCGCCTACTGAGACGAAGATCGAGCCGGAGAAACACGGTAGTTCTGCTGTTGTGGGTGAGGAGGAGAATGCTAAGGAGAATGCTTCTTCAACTGAAGGAGATGCGCCTGCCCCTCATCCGCCGGAGGAAGTACAGCCTGCTATAGAGACTGCGGCATCTGCGGTAGCGGAAGAGTCGCAGGTTCAGGAGCAATCAATGGCAGCAGAACCTACCGAGAAGGAGCAGGAGCAAGCCGCCAAGGAGATCATAGAGGGCGACCCAGCGCTCCCTGAAGCCACTCAAGCCCCGCAGGAACAGTCTGATGCTAATACAGCTCACGCCACCGCCGCCGATCCATCTGAGGAGAATGCGGAGAAAGACATCGATGCTGAGGAAGCAAAGTCTTCTTCTCACGAAGGATCTGTTGACGAAGAGCAAGGAGCCAAGCCTACTCAGCCAAAGGTCCCATCTGAAGAAAACGTCGCTGACATCTCCCACGAGAACACGGAAGAGACACCCTTTTCTCCGGTGGCATCGTCAACGAATGGTGTCGTCGATGGCGTGGAAGGTCACAAAGGTCACGGCAAGGTGGAGACTGTCCCGGATATCGTCTCTGAAGATGTGTCGATTAGTTCAAGAGATGCGGAGGATGCTGCGCTGTATGTCGGCGATGGAACCTGGGAGGAACGGACGTGGAAGGAGCTTGTCAGGCTGCGGGAAGAGATGCTCTGGGCACGGATTGGAGGGATGCGGTGAAGGCTGGCCCCTTGCCAGGCGCGAATGGACGATACACGGACAATTATACATGATTATCAAGCTACTACACGTGAATCATATGCTGCTAATGTACGGGTGATATCTCGGTCTTGGAACAATCAAACTTGTCGGGATTTGGTCACTACTACGGTGGTACAAATGGCGAGTCCGTGAGTGACACGGGCCAGAATCGGCTACCATCCGCACGTAACAAATTATACAACGTCCTTAAAGCCTAGCTCCGAGGTATGCATCGGGGTCTCAGACTTGTTGACCAAGTATTATCCTCGCCATCTCCAGGAGGCCACACTTGCTGGGTTCTGTCCACTGTTGCGTTATACTGATTGCAGACATTCATACCACAGCCATTGATGCATGGAGGATGCACTGGGATAGCGGAATGCTGGGTATGATGGCACTGATAGCAGTTCGCATAGTACTGTGCACCCTGACTAGATCCGAAAGCCGTGGAGTTAGTGGTTGTGGTGGTTCGGGAAGAACACTCTTTAGTTGCTGTCTTGATGAGTGTTTCAACATCATGCCACACAGACCGTTGTGCCCAAAGACCACGTACTGAACCAACACCAATCGACAAATCATTGTCGCGGAGCGGCTCTGCAAGTTCTCTTCGTATCGAGTACCCTTTTGTTGCGTGCTCTTGCTTCGGTGTTCAAACTTCTAGGAGGGTCATATTCGAGAGTCGTGAAGGCTCAATATTCAACTTGCGCAGCTTGTCACTCTTTATTGGATTGTTGTCTTCGACTGCCTGTATTTGCGGATATTCGCAAACATCCCCAGTAGGACCTGAGTTTTTGGAGCATTCCTGAATCCGCCACAAGCAGACGGAGACCCCCAGGCTGTGATTGTTTAATTGGGAGGAGGGATGTCGATGAGCGCTTGAGCACTTTCATATTTTATACAAGCATGCTGAGTCAGCGGACAACTGCGCGCCAATTTGATCGGGCTTGCGGCAGAGTCTTGACGTCATACATGAAGGCATTAATTCCCATTGGAAATGCTCTGCGAATGTGTTCTCACAGCCTGCATAGATTTATTTTTCTACGGGAAACCTGATGTAAAAATGGTGAAAATATCTTATGTCTGGATATGGAAATAGTTTGGAAATTGGGTGGAGACAATTAAATTATGTTACGATTGTTTTACCGAAACGTATCAGCAATAGTGAAACTATTTCCCAAAGGAAGATATTTCAGTCCAAAAATATGTGATACTGATATGTTTCGGTGAAGCAATTGTAACATAATTCAATTGTCTCCACCCGATTTCCAAACTATTTCCATATCCAGACTTCAGATATTTTCACCATTTTCCCATCAGGTTTCCCGTGGAAAAATAAATCTGTGCAGGCTGTGTCTAGAGTGTGGCCTTTGCAGGTATGCCCAAATCAAGCAACTCTGCAATTATTAAATTTTAGTAGCATTAAATAACATAAATGAACGGTTGCCAAAGTTTTTCATGCATGTCACCGTCGGCTAGCGCTAGTGCTGCGCTCCCGCCGGCTCTCATAAGATGGATCCTCCTACTGTGTTCGCCCATTTCGCTCCCTTATCCTCCTACACGTACATACCATGGCTGAAAAGCAGATACCACCCGCGTATGGGCTTGCGACATCTCCCGAAGGCCATAGTTTGCGGGAACGAGCATCGTTTGAGTCTAGTCAGTCGCTCGCAGATCCTGTCGATGGAGAGCTGCCGGCCGCCAGTCACCCTACAGTCGCGTTGATTATACCCTTTCCTGCGTTGTTGTGTGCACCGGTGAAGAAGGATGTCAAGATCCCGCCGTTCGTGATGTATGCTCCTCTTGCTGCGCCGTTAAAGCCTCCAGCCGAGGGCGAGAAGGAAAGCAAGATAAACAAGGCGATACGCAAGTGGCAGAAGGAGGAGAAGCAGGCTCGTGAGAAGGGAACGGGATTCAAGGCGAGTGATAATATCGCTGCACCGAATGCATTTGATGAGAACTTGCATAGGCCAAGGCTGTCGGGGTGAGTATATTGCCTCAATCAGCCAGATATCCGCTGAGAATGTGCTAGCTGATCTCGAAAGGGATGAGTGCCACAAAGAATAGTCGGATAGAATTCCTCGTCCGCACGCCAAATAAGAAGAAACTGAAAGAGGTAGCAGCCCATCTGAACTCGCACTCATACCCATACTGACGCCGCCACAGCTCCGCTTCGTTTACCCTTCATCCTGGGCCGCAACAGATGTACAGAAGCAGTTTACGGACCTTGTCAAATCAGCAAAGAAGGGAGCCATTATGAACGGCGTCATCTCCACCTGTCTCGCGCCCGTTGCGCTCGCGTTCGACACCTTGACGTTCATTCCGGGAGTTCGTCTCTTGCTTACTTCACACACTGCTGGGTTTTGACATGTATGAGCAGCCATTCGAGATCACCGCGGTATGGTCCGCCTCCTCCTGGAAAGGCGCCGCTCGTGCCACCGGAATTGCCAATCGAATCACCTCCGACCAGCTGCCCATCTCGTTCTCTCCGAACAACTCGCTCGAAGCGCTCAAGTTCCGCTTGCACGAGCTCTGCTGGAGGAAGGTGAAGGCAGGGACTGTTGCATCGCCTGCATGGCCCGGAGGCGCGTTAGGCAACGTGAAGCGCGGGCCAGAGCTGGCATCGATCGTGCTGGCTGTGTTGAGGGAATATGGTGAAGACATGGATGATGTTGAGACGGATTTGAGAACGATTTCGGAGGATCTGGAGAGATGTTTGAAGAAGGCAGTGAAAGAATGGGCGAAGGCTGTCAACAAAGCAATGGACTCTTAGGTTTTTCGTAACGGGTGGAGTTATGGCGATTTTTTGGATTCATATTTCAGCATGTTGCGATGTACTCAAGAGTCTGTACTGACCTCAAGTTAGATGTATTGAAGAAACTATGGAATTCTTGACATTCGGCGAGAGATACGAGCAACTGTTGCGCAGCCAAAGCCAACATTATAGACACACCTCCATCGTGAGCACGAGTAAAAACAGCTCACGCCTCGGAAAACAATTCAGAGACTCAGTTCTGTATACGTCTTGTCCCATCGAGCAAAGAGTCTGTCCGATTGGCACATCGTCGGACGTCCACATCGTCTGTTCTATGTGGGAGCCGCATATATGCACCAGCATTTTATTAGACTTCAATGTAAGACTAATACCTCCTGAAACGTGTTGATTTTGTCAAGAGGGTCGTAGAAGCCGAAGGTCTACCTTCGCCGGCCAAGACAACGGCACGTAGCCGAAGTGGGAAGATAACGGGCGTCAAAGCTATTGGCCTCGGAATCAAACAAGGCCAAATACGTCCAACTGCTAGACGCTTGTTTGAATTCATCCGACTCGCGCCCTGATCAGTCTCTGGCGGCGCACAAGAACCGTCTGTGTTGACTTTCCCGGCCAGCCCGCTGCGCGGCCAGGAATTCGGGAGTCGCCCGCTCTCTAGAAGATGGCTCCACGGGGCCAAACCGATGGCCCGTCCCATTGTAGCCGCACCCTATTATATACACGCGCGCTACTACTCTCCCACGCCGGTGGCACAGGTCGCACCGGGGCCTCTCGCATCTGTGCTCCGCACCCAGATTCCAACACCATCTCATAGCGGACCACAGTGTCAAAGTGCTTGAATATGCTACGAATCAACTGGAATATGTACATGGAGCGTGATCGCGGATGGCCTAAATGGTGAGTTGCCTCATTCAGATCTTTCAGAGAGCCTGTGCAGTGTGGTCTGATCGGATGCTGAGACGGTCCTGTCATTGAGAACAATGGATCGTACAACTAGTGGTGGAGATTCTAAATATTGACACAGCGCACCTTAGAAAGCTATCGAGGAAACTCAATGACTGGCTCGTATTCCTATCTCCTCGACTATCGTCGAAAGCATGCACAGAAGACTGCAACTTGCAATTGTATATCATGCGCGAAATTTCGCCATACAGAATATCGTGCCCTTGTGCAATCTGAGATCCTTGCGTCCTGGCCGGAATTGATCCATCCACCGAATGCTCCCTACCTTCGTGTACATGCGGGGAAATAAGGTGAGATACAGAGTTGAGGACATAGTTCTCGTCTTTGCAGTATGCACCCAAGTCATTGTACGAGGAAATCCCGCAATCTTCGTCATCATTGTCATCGACCGCTCTTCGTGCAGTCCCTGCTCTTGCATCGAGCTCTCTCAATCTTATCATGAAGATATCGTTTTTCAGGGCATCCTCTTGGTATGTAACATCATTTTTCCCTCGTTCACCCTGCGCAACATAACATGCTCGCAGGCGACGCGGTGTCACAGACCAACATTTTGGAGGATCAACAGTGAGTGTTATCATTGTTGCTGTGGATTCGTTCGAATCATCTCATGATTCGGTTTTCACGATAAGCTCGAGAAACCACTAGAGATCCGTGAATCAATCTACGACTGGTCGATCAAATGTGGTCGCACATTCTTGCGCCTGTGTTATACGAAGATTGTGGTGATCGCCAAGTGCCCTCCGAGACTGCACAAGAACTTCTATCGAACATCTGAAAATAGCCTCCCGCAGGGGCTGTGACTGATGCGGGGCACAAGACGCCCACATGACGGCGACGCGTTCTCCCCGGGCCGCGTCTCGACGCTGCAATTGACACGGTTCGCATCGGCTAGACAAATGCACCATTGTTCACACTGCTCGATCCAATCACGCGCGGCCCGCTCGAAGAGCGTCTGCTCCGTTTACGGCATTTCCGTCAGGGAGCGTCCCGTGCCGGAAGCCTTGCTCAGGGCATAAATGAGTGCGACTTGGCCGGTGGTGATGAGCTGCTTCGCTTTGCGTCCTCTGCGCTCGGGCTGCCACTCGCTAGAACACTTTCGCCATGCGCCCTCCTATGCTCTTTGCGTTCTCTCTCGCTGCGTTTGCCTTGGCGTGGGATAAAGTTTGTGTGGTCGAGCCGCTTGGTGGAGGACGCGATGATGGGCCTAGTATTAATGATGCGTTCTCTGAGTGCTCAAGCAACGCCGCAGTCATCCTGTATAGTTACTATAGCGTAAACACGCTCCTCAAGACTGAAGGGCTAAAGAATGTCGATATTGTTCTTAGCGGGACAGGTCGGTCTGTGGCTTCCGGAAATTCAAAAGCATATTTCACATAGCCATTTTCTAGTGCAATACACGCCGAACATCGCGTATTGGTCTCCGAATAGTCTGTACATGACATACCAGAACGCGTTCGTAACTTCACTCATAGTCGTTTGTTGATCATGGTGTTGACGCATCGCGCGATCGTAGAACAACGTTCTGGTTCCTCTCCGGAGACAACATTCACCTCTATGGTGGTGGAACCATTGATGGGAATGGCCAAGTCTGGTGGGACGAGTACGCAATTAGCGGGGTATGTAATCGCGCTTGCCGCCGTGCATGTTTCTGTTCAATGCCATAATGGTGTATTATGTAGGACTCTGGCACGGCTGGTGGCTCCTCCACAACTTTCGCACGTCCCGTGCCGTTGACTGTGGGCAATGCCTCTAATGTGGTCATCGAGAATATCACAGAAATTAGTTCGCCGTTCTGGGTGCGTACTGAGTATGCTGCATTTTGTGCTATCGTGGCTCATTGCCGTTTCATTGTAGAACAACGTAAGAGGTTGTGTCGTGGATGCAGCGTGTCGTTCTGACTTAGAACACAGATCGTGTACCAGAGTACGAACGTTACTTACAGGCATATCAAGTAAGGCTTTTCCCATCACCTATGTGGCTCGATATCAATGACGCTTATGTCCGTTCAGTATCAGCTCTGTGTCGTATTCCAGCGCTGCGGCTGTAAACTCAGGTGCGCAATGATCTCGAGTTCTCTACAACTGCCTCGAACCGTGTTGGGTCGGCCGGCTCAGATGGATGGGACATCTATCGTTCGTCCTATGTGACTATAACGGACTCCACGGTAAACAATGACGACGACTGCGTTTGTGAGTGATCGACATTGATAACCCACGCCACTCGCATACGAGACTGACTCTGCTTTGGTGCTCATCTCAGCTTTCAAACCGAACTCTACCAATATCGTCGTCAGTAATATGTGGTGCAACGGTTCGCATGGTATCTCTGTTGGTAGTCTCGGGCAGGTACGCACGACTTCGATCTGTTCTGCTTCATCTGTCCAACTCAAAACTTATTGCATTTAGTATGCTGGCGAAACCGACATTGTCGAAAACGTATACGTCTCAAATATAACGATGCGCAACGCGCAGAATGGCGCGCGTATCAAGGTGTTCGGCGGAAACCCCAGTCCTAGTATGTGGTTGTTCTCCACCTGTTCAGGGTAGTGGTCCTCATGAATGATGCGGAATTAGCGAGCACGGCAGGCGGAGGCACTGGATATGTAAAGAACATCACCTTCGAGAACTTTTACGTATACAATGTAGACAACCCGATTTTGATCGATCAGGTTCGAAGTCCTTTCTGGTCCGCGACTCGGAATGACTGACATACAGACTTTAAATAGTGCTACGACACCAGCGCGAGTATGTGTGAGGAGTACCCGAGCAACCTAACTATCTCAGACATTCACTGTTCGTCACACTTTCACTTCCATATCGATCGAGCATGCTCATTATCCCGTAGATATCAACGTGACTGGTACGTCGTCCGGGGAGGAGGGAAACGTGGTCGTCGATTTAGACTGCTCGGACGAGTGTGAAGATATTACTGCGACGGGCACGCACCTAAGCGCGCCAAATGGCACAGCAACTTATATCTGCGTCAATATCGCAAGCGTCAGTGAGGTATGGCGGATAACATGTTTGGTATGCGATCAACGTCTGACGGACTCTCGTTAATATGCAGCTCGACTTCAACTGTAGTTCAACTTGATTGGTCATTTGATCGTCGGCTGCTTTGATGCTCTTGAATGAACATGGACGACGTATCAGGGACGATGGCAACATATGTCTAGCCTTCAAAATATAATTCATAGTGTACAGTGTGTGCATCATGCTCGTCTTCCCTACAGAATATAGCTCTATCCACCGAAATAGACACTGCTCGGTGCTCGTTAATTCACCTGCCAGATTCGCTCCAACCAACCGTCAAGCTATCATACAATACATGCAGTGGGTTTATGCCGAATGCTGTGATCATCATATGGCTCAAACGTGCTGTTCACCGTGCTCAGCTCATGTTCATTGACAATGATGTCATCAAGTGTCCGGCAGTCGTCGTCCGAGTCTGTGGTCTGTTTCAGCTTCAGTAAAATATGCACGAAGCGTCCCAACATACCTGTATCTTTTGCGAAGATGATGTTCCCAGAGGTACACCAGGCCGCCTGTTGGTCGTCATACAGTTCGCCGGTCTCACGCAGATCGAGGAGGAGCCGGGAGAGGATAATGGACGTCAGGCTAGCGTACAGCCTGATTGAATGACGTTCAAACATCGAACGGGTCTTGCCACACTCACACCGGAGTCCACATAAGGGTGATCCAAAAAAACTACCAGCAGCATGTCAGAAAAAGATTTATGCTGACTTGCTGATCACGCAGATGGACGTACATCACTGATTCGGCCAGTTCCTATTCCCACTATGTTCACCAGCAGGAGTAAACTGTGACTGGTTCATAGATCGCTCATAGTCTCGATTAAGTGAGACTGACCCAAAGTATATGGTAGCTATGACCCGTCAATTCATGGTATCACTCCAGTGACGAGCAAGAACTTACTATCAGCCCATAACACCATGGTCAAGCTCGCGCGAATGGTCTTCTCGCCTTGGGCATCTTTGACCTGCTTAATCTTGATCCAAGTCAAGCCCAATATCAAGCCATCCGCAACCACGGATGACGCTCTAGCGCCCATCATCCCTGTATGCAATGTCACCATCATGCTGCAGTGCATGAGAGCATAGCTTACATCTGTAAATTCCTGCGGAATAAATGACAGACAGGCATGCAGAGTTTCGTGTACGTACGCGTTCATGTGCGAGCCATCGCTCCCTCCGCAGAACTGAAGGGATGTAGTGAGATTCCGATAAATCGATGTCTGAAGATGTATCAGACAGTACTGCGTGATCATAGTAAAGTTGTAAATAAGTGGTGACTCGTAGTTCTCTCCACATTGGGGACATACTGTAGTGATCGCGGGGTTGATCAATCCCAGAATGAAGATTATAATAGATGGTACAACACGTTTATCATATATGGCGTATATGCGTATCGCGGAAAATACTGAGAACCATCCGAGTCAGCGAAAGACATGCAATGAATGAAAGACCACTTGCATGCAGCACTACACATCACAAGCAAGTTCAAGACCACTTGAACTCTGGTGACGATTGCGCAACTGGCGTCACTGGAGAAGTTACATCGAATAAGTGTCACATCCGGTTCAAACGCTCTTCCTTACCTCTGAGATGAGCATTAGCGACTGTGATAAGCTGGAATGACTTCGCTAGGCTTGCCTTGATTGCATCCCCTCGCCAGCCGGGAGGCAGTGCCCAGTTCAAGATTATTGGTATGGTAGTGAGGAGTTGGGAATATCGACAGACGAAGAAAAGTGCATCGACCGGCCGAAGCTTCTTTCTCCAAACGTACTGAATTTCCCGATCCAAGGTCAGGAAATAGTCGTAAAAGAGAACCGCTAGCGAATGATGTAAGAGACTGCGATGTCAGGTGACGAGATATGGCTGTTGCGTACCGATGCCGGCGAAATAGAACGAGCTCTCGATGAGGCTGCCGTGCGCAAGTTTAATTACGACTGTCAATACAGGAGAGGGGAGGGACGAACTCACGCTCTGGACGCGAGGAAGTGAACGGTATCAGACGTCGCCATATAGACTTCGGGGCGGGGCCTGTTATCTGGGGGTCAGACTGAGCATTCAGGTACCAAATGATGTCTATCGGTCTTTTTATTTATGAGGACAGCATGGAACTCCGGATCATACGAAAGCCGCGGTATGGTGGCCGCCATTCCCGTTAAACTGCCCGTTTGACAGTTCTTGATGAACTTCGTCGAATAAGCTAGCCGTATGTGTATCGTGAGTCACAGCCTTGACGCCCAAACCGCCTTGTTGAACGCCATGCTGACCAATGATACTCCGGGAGTGTCACGACGTCGGAGGAATGTAATGAAGTATCTTGACGCGGGAGCGCCAGATTGCGGCTTATCAGGTGCTGCAGAGTGTGTTAATCGGTGCTTACCGTGGGTTTGAAGTTTGATTGTGTCCGTCAGGCATGTGACGATCAAACTAGCGGCGAGCACCTGGCCTGGAGGACCACACACGCCTGACAAGCATGTCATGCATATGCGGGTTTCACAAGCATTGCGACATGTAGTGCAGTGCGGCATGATAATTACTCATGGGGGTCGTGTCTGCGGCTATATCTGTCAGAAATGAAACCACTGTATCGTTGAACACGCAAGCGCCAAGGAACACACCTGTTGATTGACGTCCGAGGAGGCGGCGCTCGTGCAATAGTTCAACGATGGAACAACTCATCAGATGGGTGCGTATGATAACTCCCATCCAAACATCAAGGCTCACATCCGTGTTCGATTGTTTGATTTAGACAACAGCATTGCCTCAAGAACATCATACCGACGTTTTCCGCATATGGCGAGCGTTCAGCACCGTCACCAGGCGAATAATCCTTCATCAATTATTGTAGGCAATGCATTGCGACGGTTTGTGGGAAAACTGTCTTCGATCTTGGTACGATCTATGAGTGAACAGCTTCAGGAAGTTGTCGCGCACGAGCTGCTGCACTATAGTCGATGAATATATTAGACTCGTTCGTCTTGATATCTGAACAGATGTCAGCACACATTTAAGCGGTTCCCACAGGCAGGTGTGCACAATCACGCCAAGTCTTGTGGCAATTCGGAGGCTACATAGCGTCGCCGTGCGTCACGTTTCTTCGGACCTATCCTTCCCGTCCGTATTCCTGAATCCTGGCAGACCTAAGTAGGCTTGTTATGGTTGTCCTGCTGGCATCCTCCGTATCCGCCCGGTCTGTAAAGCACAATAATTCTCTAAAGATGTAGTGGTTTATCTGGCTGATTGATCGTAGAGGCACGCTAACCGGTTACCATTGCAACGCTGCCAGTGGTTGACCGGCGGTTGCACTGAATAATATTCCTGAGGACCGGAGCGGGAATCTGCGTGATTCAGGAACAACGCGGTGCCTGCCGCCGCTGTTCGGAGTTCAAGCGGACCGCAATAAGAAAGCCTTTGTGCGAAGGCTGATGAATGTTTCCCCTGCGCGACATGGAATGCGCACAGAATCAGCTTCGCACTCGCTCGTCTGTACACTCATCAAAGTCATCAAGGGTAGCCACAAGGTTTCTGGATCGTTCAAGTTGAACCTAAGCTCGTCAACAATGAAGGCGCTCGTCAATTGCTGCCGCACGTGCCGACATGTCGAGCCCAGAAAACATCGGAGAGCAGATCCCCGTTTTCGCATCCACGTCGCACCTTGTTCTCGACGGTCATCGTGCTCATTGTCCACCCCGTAGTCTTGCCCAACTTTGTTCAGGCGCGCACTAATCCCACCCTCGTCCTTCCTTTGCCTCGTTCGCTGCCCCTAGGCCACCTCATCCTCAACGTCCACGTCTCTCAAAGCACGAGCACTTACCGCCGTCTTTCTGCGACTTGCACGACACAGCCATGTCCAACACAGATCAGGAAAAAGCCATCGCCAGCTCGAGCGAAAAAGATGACCAGGTGCTCGAAGTGAATGACGGCGAGAAGGTTTCGGATCAGCCCCTGCCTACACCTGTCACCGCCACTGTTAACCCCCGTCCATCGAACAAGCCGAAGCTCTCTGCGGCTACCATCATCCCCATCTGGATTGTCCTCAGCTCTTCTGTGATCATATACAATAATTATGTGTATAACACGCTGCAATTCCGATTCCCCGTGTTCATGGTGACATGGCATCTTACGTTTGCGGTGAGCATCCCAATTGTACCGTTCGCGGCATGGTGGGGTTTTGTATCATAGCAGGACGTTTCAACGGTGCCTTCAAGTGTTCTCCTGTCCATGGAGGCTCTGTAGATATCGATGTTCGTTGCATAGTTCGACTGGCTATGCACGTTTGATTCCAGTAGCGATATTCTTAGGTGTTAACGATGATATTGGTGTCCCGTCGCGATGAAATCTAAAGATGCTGATACTCTGTCACTCAGGCGATCGGAACTAGGGTGCTCCAACGCACCACCCATCTCCTGGATGGGTTGAGGGACGTGAACATCACGAAGGACGTTTTCATCCGTTCGATCCTGCCGATTGGCCTCCTGTTCAGCGCGTCGCTCATTCTCAGCAACACCGCGTATCTCTATCTGAGCGTTGCCTACATCCAGATGCTAAAGGTAGGACACATCGCAGTTTGACTGCCGCCGGTCCGCTCATGACATGAGTCTCGTAGGCGTTCGTTCCGGTGGCGATTCTCCTCATCTCGTGGACGTTTAGGATTCAGGAGCCGAGCAAGAAGCTCGCAATGATCGTCATGATGATCTCTTGTGGTGTCGCGCTTGCCTCGCATGGCGAGCTGCACTTCAACCTCATCGGTTTCCTTACGCAGGCTGCTGCGGTTGTGGTATGTTGTTCGTTCCTACGCGACCATGGAGTGCCCTTCCACTGATCTTCATCGCACCATGCAGTTCGAAGCTTCCCGGCTGGTCATGATCCAGATTCTCCTGCACGGGCTAAAGATGGATCCGCTCGTCTCGCTCCACTACTATGCACCCGTTTGTGCGGTCATCAATCTTGCCGTGCTTCCATTCACCGAGGGGCTCGAGCCGTTCCGCGAGGTTATGCGCGTTGGGTGCGTGATGTGATCCCGTTGTCGACTCCCTTCGTCGTCTCACCGTTCTTACCTGCAGCCCGTTGATCATGGTGAGCAATGCGGCGGTGGCGTTCCTACTCAACATCGCAGCGGTGTTCCTCGTCGGTGCAGGCAGCGGCCTCGTGCTCACGCTCGCGGGCGTGTTCAAGGACATACTGCTTATCAGTGGTTCTGTGCTTGCCTTCGGCACGCCGATCACGCCGCTCCAGGTCGTCGGTGCGTATTACGTCCTATTCCGCTGTTGCTGTTGTATTCTGATCACGTCTGCAGGCTATTCGATCGCCCTGGGCGGTCTCGTCCTGTACAAGACCTCCGGCTCCAAGTAGGGACAGACACTTGCATCGGACATTACGCCTCCCATATCTATCGTACAATTGGTTTATATCATACATACAAGTCGGGCCGTGCCTCGCTGTTGCTGGGTGCTGGTCGCTGTACATACACATCACTAACGTGGACGTCGCGTTGCTGGCCACCCTCGCCTCCTTTGTTCTTGTGTCCCACACATGTAGACTCGATCGGTGTCTTGGGATGTAGTTTCTGCTGATAGAGATCATGACCGAGTAATATAGAAGTGGTGGGCGTTATGTGGGTCTGACGGTTCTCGGGTTGTCAGGTTAGGTATGTTCGTCGATATGTCAGACTATGCTTCGAAACAGCCCGGGTGACGGCTGTTATTGTACACGGTTCGGTAGTCACATCTGGGGCTGTCGTTCCCCGTCGGACGATGTCGACAAGCTGTTGACCGCGACCTTTCAGCTCACTCCGTGCCGCAGTGCGCATACTGTGACATTCAGGTTCAAGCAGCTTCCAGTAGACCACCTTCGGTGCTGAGTGCTGTATCTATTTAACATAATAAATGTCGATGTTGCGACGTCATTCGAAGGAAACATCAAGACGACGTTAGACCATTGAACTCCCTTGCAAGAGAAGCACTGATCTTCTTCATTACAAAGAGAGAAAAAGTGGCACGCTTAGACCCATTCAGCACTGTCACAAACTGAATGAACCGACGAAGAAAAAAGAACAAGTACCCACTCAATCGACACATACTCACACTTGTTGGAGGTCATACTCGATATCTAGACCAATCAGAATTGTATGTTCCATCTCACATCCGGATATGGAAGACACGAGCGTCGAGGCTATTGGCCTCTAATCCTAACTGATGCAAACAAATCCACTTCTTATGTCATCATCAGAGTCACTTGACTTAAGTAGCTCTTGAAGTTGAGCCGCGCTCGTCATCCTTCCCGACTTAACCACTCTAATCACTACCGTGAACGTTGTCGACGATGTCTAACATAACTTCTGCGATCTCGCCCATCGAGCCTCTGACGACCCATCTGCTCTCGCTCCGCACTCCGCGTCCATACTCTGCTGCAACTGAGCATTATTTCCTCACCGCTGCCGGCGACGGCAGTCTTCCGGATGAACTATTATCTCTATATCTGTCGCAGGACCGCCTGTATGCTGCACACGCATATCCTGCATTCATTGGCCGGCTGCTCGCTGCAGTGCCATTCTCGTCACTTGACGCGGTAGACTCGCCTGCGGAGCAAAGTAACCAGCGGATCGTGCGAGTCCTGAGCGACGCCTTGCAAAATGTAGTACGGGAGGTTGGGTTTTTTGATGAGACTGTAAAAGCTTTTGGACTGCAGTCCGACAGTTGGAGGGAGCTGAAGGCGACGAGGGACTACACGGCGGAGATGGCCCGTATAGGTGTACATGGCCGCATCGAAGATGGTCTTGTGTTTTTATGGGCTATGGAGAGGGTATGTGTTGGCTTCTGATGGCTGTCATATGTCCTTTGCAATGAGCTTCTGCAACTTCAGGTATACCTCGACGCATGGAAGTATGTCGGGTCCTTGCAGTCCATTCGCCTCCAAGGTCCGGGTACTGCACCAGCGGTGGCTGCTCTTGTCTCGAACTGGACGAACCCCGATTTCGTAAAATTCGTTGACGACCTCGCCGATCTGGTCAATAGGTGCGCATTTCGATCCCGGTGCTTTAACGATGCATCTGTGTTTTTTGAAACAAGTCTAACCTTTCAAAGCCTGGATATTTCTCCCGACTCCACAGTTTGGCGGCGTGCTGAGTCCATATGGGCGCGCGTGATCGAGATTGAGGAGGCATTTTGGCCCGTTGGAACCGAGGAAATTATCCCTGGGTAGAGGCTCCTGCCCGATTGCGATTCAGCCACACCCGATTCTCCATGGAGCTACACATGCATACATACTGTACCACTACTCAAATCTGGATGACATTAGAGTCTCTTGGAAGCGCCGTTACTTGTCGGTCACAAATGTCGGTTGTCTCGAATATGTCGGAAGGCTCGCCAGTCCTGGAGCTCTTCAATTGGTGGACGGCACAAGATGATGAAGTGCGAGCTGTTGACTAATCCTTGACATACGATGCCAGCGTCGGCTGGTGAAGACCTTCCATGAACGCGAACGGAGATTTGAGAGAGTACGATCGCAAGTTAGTTGTCTAAATTCAAATCCGAACTGGAACAGCAAATACGAATGACAAGCGGGAGGGCGAGTCATTATGTAACTGGACTATGTAGTGGTACAATTGAAGTCGAGCTAGCAGAAGACCCATGTTCGTCAACATGAAGCCCCAACGGTGAAGCGAGCGCACGTCTCACCTCGTCTACGGTGGCCACGTTGATACAGATATATGTCGCAGTGCCGTTCGGAGAAGTGAGATTCGTGCCAGTGGCAATGATGTCCTTGCATTCCTGTGAGCAGTCGATGTCGACGACCACTGTACCTTCCGCACCGGACGACGACCCTGTCACATTAATATCTGCATGTGGATTCAGTAAGCGGCGCAAGAGCTCAGCGAGGAAGGATACAAACAGTGGACGTCGGAGATCGAGAGGTCGCTCGGATATTCCTCGCACTGCTGAGCGCTCGTGAAGTAACACTAGCAGGTTGCGATCAGCATAAGTTGTGCTATAAATAACGATCGATCTCGTACTTGGTCGATTATGATGGGATTGTCAACCTCATAGACTGCGAAAATCATAAATGCACTGAATGACGCCGGCATGATCGCACATTCTCACTATAGAAGTCTTCAAAGGTGATGTTCTTGACGTGGCCAGTGCCCCCACCTGAGGTGCTATCTGGATGAGTGGATCAGCCAGAATCAACATCGATTTATTGTATTTTAGTATGTGACATACTCGCATATGGACTTCCGCCAAACACTTTGATACGGGCACCGTTCTCCGCGTAGCGCATCGTCACGTTCTTCGCGTAGACATCCGCGACGATGTCCGTCTCACCGGCATACTAGAGGCACGGCATTGAGTGTCGCTCCTCTGCCCATTTGCGTACATCCATACCTGTCCTAGACTTCCGACGGAGATGCCGTGAGAGCCGTTGCACCACAAGTTGCTGACAATAATGTTCGTGCTGTTCGGCTTGAGAGCTGCACATCCGGACATGAGCCATCTAATCGTTCAGGGATCTAGACAGGCACATACAGACACAGTCGTCATCATTGTTGATGACAGAGTCGGTGATCGTTACGTATGAGGATCGGTAGATATCCCAACCGTCTAGCGTCCAATGAGTATCCTGCGGGAATATTTCGTAGCGTAAACAGCACCTGTGTTTTTGGCAGGAGCGCTGGAATTGTATGATGTGGAGTTAATCCTAGACAGAAGGTCAGCATATCACAGAGGCCTAGGGGAGCAGCAATGCGTACAAGACGTTCCGGTACGTGACATTGGAGCTCTGGTAGACAAACTGAACAAAGACCAAAGTCAGCGGGCGAACCCATATCAGAACCACGATGGACGCTCACGTTGTTCTAATGGCATGCGAGTCAATGACGGACTCATTGAATGAAAGACACCACTCACCCAGTTCGGAGAAGCTATTTCGGTGATATCCTCAATGAGAACGTTCGATGCGTTGCCGATTGTCAGCAGAATGGGACGTTCGAGTGTGGCCGTCGAAGCACCAGCGGTTCCGGAGTCCTGACAAGCAGTTCAGTCACAGACGTATTAAAGAGATGACTCTTTCTGTACCCCTGTCTCGGCAAAGTAATCATACCAGACTTGACCATTGCCATCGATCGTGCCGCCCCCGTAGATGTGGATGTTGTCTCCGGATAGCCACCAGAATGTCGATCTATCCGTTATGGTATTCAGCACATCACATCGGCATAGCTAAAGAGGATATTAGCCACGCGTTCTGGTAGGTCAAGTACAGGCTGTTTGGAGACCAATACGCAATGTTTGGCGTATATTGTACTGGCGGAGATGAGTAAATATAGACTCGAGGACGAGTGTTCTGCAGTGCCTGGCCATACCTGTGCCACTCAGCTCGATATCGACGTTGCTGAGCCCATCGTTCTCCAGCAGGGTATTCACGCTGTAATAGCTACCCAGGACGATTTTCGAGTTTGTCGCGCACTCTGCAAATGCATCGTTGATGGATGGACCATCGTCGCGACCTCCTCCCAGTGGTACAACCGTGCAGACGTTGTCATAGGCGACAGCAGCAGTAGCGAGAAAAAACAGGACGATAGAGAGTGAAATCATGTTGTCCAAGCCGTACGGGATCCGTTGGAAGCTGTAATGCGCGAAGTTATATATAAAGTCCTCATCTTCGACCGTCATGCGGTTCACCTTGCGGCATTAATTTGTGCACACGAATACGTACCTGACGCGGCCCGTTCAGTCTTAGACACGGAATTGAACGAGAGAACGGTGTAAAGTGATACCAAATATCATCATTGTTTCCTCGTCGAAGGGCAAGTGTGTGACGGAAATCCGCTGGTTTTGTGGGGGTGACCAAGCTACCAGACGGCCCGGATGTGAGCCGATTCTCATGTTCGAGCTGCGACACGGTCATGAGATCTCTTAGCGAACACAATTTCCGCGAACATTATTCCGAGCGGGAGGTGCACAAGTACAGGATGTCTGGTATACCGGGACAAAACACATATAAGGTGATCATGAATGTGATGTTCGGGTTTGGTTCGGGTGACCTCTGTTGTATGCAATTGGTCACATGAAAGACGCGCGCTAACGTGGTCGCGGCGATGCTCGCTTTCAGTCGCGCCAGGCCTCGCCACCTGCTTGCAATCTCTCCTCGTCGCGCCCACATCGCAGCCAACGATGGCAAGCCTGCAAGGCTACGTTGACCGTAAGTAGCTCCAGCCCGAACCGCTTTCACGAGCCATCAGCTTCCAGTTGCTGAAGGCGCGCTATGCCTGTGTATGACCTTCAGATCGCGTTCTGCTCATTCTGCAAGATGGACGTGCCATTGTGGTACGTGTGCTCTGATTTCTCCTCGATTGTGGTATCTAATTGCATTGCTTTTCCTCTCATCACCCTGATCCATCCGCCACGCAGGGCGTAATGGCCGGTTATGACCAAAAGGCTAACGTTGTTCTGTCGGACTCGAAGGAACGCGTGTATAGCATGGAGGAAGGGGTAGAGGAGATTCCACTCGGACTGTATCTTGTCAAAGGCGACCAAATGTGAGTTGCTGAATCATGCAAATGGCAGATACCGTCGTTAAACGCGCGATATTCGCAGTGTTCTGATTGGCGAGCTTGATGAGGCTCTAGATCAGTCCATCGACCTCTCCACCATCCACGCGGAACCTCTCCCGCCTGTCCACTACTGAATGAACTTCAGAAGCTCATGGAGGCAAAGTTTGCGGCATTCTCCATTGGGGCCGTGCGATTGTGCCCTGCCTCATGGTCCTTCGACATCGTGATGTCCTATTTACGTCTCTACAGCGTATCACGCTCTTCCGGATCACCCGTTCACGGAATAATAGCACTGTCAATGACCGGTTGCGAGGCCGCTCGCTGTGCCGTGGCGTGGGGAGTCTCTCATATTCGGGTGCTCTGATGGGGTGTATAGTAGACGATTGCGTGTTTCACATTCGTCTATCATAGTGGGTTGATGGTTTGCCGTTTGTTGGTCTGTCTTCACCGTTTCCTCACGGTTCCTCCAAACTCTATCGCACGCCTCATTGGTAAGTCCTGCCAATCCTTGACTTCCCATGGAGTTCGTGCTACCTGCATGCATCGTGTTGCCACGAGCATTTCATTCAAGCTCTAGGTCGGACGTATGCATGGTCACCCCAACAGTGTGGATCTGTTGGTTATTGACCAGCATGCGTACCGGCATGCATGGCAAAAATGCCTAGCATTATCTCTGCCGATGCAGGAGTGGAGATCTCTATAGTATGCGTTGCTCAGGGTATCAGTGGCTCGCGCATTGAATCCAGTGTTTGCAGGGATCGCCAAATCCCGAATAGGACTTGTGCGGGCTGCAAGTTGGGCGATGGGCTCCAATGTGTAGAATTTCGCGGTCCGCTAGTAACGACGCGGCATTCACCGCTGGTGGCCAGTATCCAGAGACGGCTGATCCAGCGATCGAGGGAGTAAGCATTTCCTTTCATAACGAGCTTCGCTGCGAGTTGATCCGTTCGTTGAACTGATATAAAGGCTCATGCATTCTAGGGCTGACGGAAATCACGTCGGTGGAGTCGGCAGAAGAAATGACTTCACTCGTATATCCGGTTGCGTATGACAGTGCATCGTCCTATCAGCGTGTTCGACCAAAGAAGGCATTTGATGACAGGTTTGAGCCCAAAGGTAATTCTTTTGGGGTAGTCTCTCATCGAACTGCTAACATGTTCAACTGTAGATGCTGAAGGTGGACGAAAAGTAGGAGGCGAAGTGTGTCGAGATGTAAAAAAAACCGGATGACTACAGGTGAGGAATTTCGCTCTTCCCACACACGCGGGCTATGCATATCTTCATACTGGTAGCATCCGCCAGAATATTTGAACATAATATCAGTGCCAATGGATCTAAGCGGTGTGCCGACCTGTGCTGGGACGGTGTCCTCGCTTGTCGATTTGATGGAAGTCCGCCAACGCCCGTCCTCACAAGCGCGCCCAAAGTGTGAGCGCGACGGTCGACGTGTCCGGCGCGTGCCTCCTGGGAGCTCCCAGGCGCATCCCACACCATTGACGCTCAGCTCTTGACTGCTTTGCCGATGGCTCATGGGAATTTCGTGAAGGCGATAATTTTCGATGCCGGCATTTCCATGCCATTCTACCAAAAACCTGCCTTCTTTGTATTGGGTCTTCAGGGTGGCATGGACAACCTAAGCTCACACGGTGAGCACGCCGCGGTTTACTGAGGTTATGGGCTGATTGGCATCTGCCGCTCATGTGTTTTCACTCAGCGCTGGCAAAGACTTGTCGATCTGTGGAGATAAAAAATCTGCCGGTACCACGTGGATATTCGGCCTTTGCACTGCACCATGGGGCTTCGCAAAGCAGATTGATATCTCTTTGGTTTAATCGAAGGTGTCAAAGGTGCTCTTCGTTTTCTGATGGAGGACAGTTTTTAAATGTTGTCTCCTGGGCCTTACGCTCAGTGCCTCCATACCGACTGCTGAGCCGCAACCGCCTTGAGCAACATCTATAACTATTAGCCGATGTATGGCTCACATCCGGACTGCAAAACTATTTGATATTTGTAGAAATAAAGTTACTACACGATCTATGCAGGCCCGCGAGCCGTGCGGATCATTGCTCGACATCACAAAATTGCTGAAGAATAAAAGCCATCGTACCGATCTCTGTATGTGCTGTACTGGATGATGGGTCTCGGTAGGAAAACAGAAGACATTTTCTTGCAACCATAGGCGGCGTGAGAGGGATGCTAAGCATTGCGCAGCTGCATGAACAATCGGATCCGGACGGGCCCATTCCTCGCGTCCAGATTGCAGGTGTGAGCCAGACATTCGGTCCTCTCACTCGATAACACACTGAAGCGCCATCAACACCGTTTCAATGAATTATTTTGCGGCAAGGGCTGTCTACAAAATTATCAAACGGTGATTGGAGGGGTTTGGTCACGTTAAGCTTTGCGATCCCACCTATCAGCTTCACTGGGTGCGCCGCCTTGCTCAATGTCCGGCAGGCCTCGCTCATTGGCTATTACCACCTCCTCGACTGCTCTCACTGGCGTTCTGTACCCCGCGCACTATTGCCGACAACATACTCGAATGATGGGATGCGGGATTGATCTGTGGCAGGAGCACGCAAGAATCCACCAAGTCCGACCCTGTATCGAGGCCCACGACGAGTGGTCCCTCAGTTCGTTGGCTACCCCCGGAACCAACGCACGCAGCTGCTTCTTGTGATAACTCGTCCAGGATGCCCGAGGATTCTATTGGCGCAGGATCAATAATGGACCCATGCTAGAGCATTTCTGGGAGGAGACCGGGGCCAAGGTCGCTTCCGGTCTCGAGCTGTTTACGGAGCCGTCAGTTGACTGATTAACCCGACTTGTTCGCGAGATTGGATAACTGAATAGTGATCGTTGGTCGCGTCTACCTTCTGATAGGTCCCCGTAATTTGTAAACGGAATGAGCCGTCACAATGGGAGAGCAGAGACGGTGCTTCGGGAAGGGAGTGGTAATGTTCGTGAGTCAGGTTTCAGCTTCTTCCAATCTATGCACATTTGGCTGCTCCCCCGGCTCAATCTGTGCCGTTAATTTATTGACAGGAGTATCCACGCCTCGGCGCCCCCATGGACCGGCTGGACCTGTCTTGCCCGACCTCCCGACCTCAATCAGACGTCCAACCACCGTCGACCTATCGGATCCGAATACCATCGTACCCGGCGGTAGTGCAGCTCCATCCTGAGGGTTTCTCGCACGTATGCACACATGTAGTCGTGCTTCTGTCCTGGCCGGTAGACGCTAGTCAATCTCTGCCACGGAGGCCTTCGCGCATGATGTCAGAATATGCGACCGTTTGACGACTCCAAGGTTTCATCCTCCGATGGCAATGGTGCCTTTCAAATATCTTATAAACAGCGCAGTCAGCAAGCTCCAACGATCGGGCTCAAGATCTTCACGGATCGTGAACGCCCTCCCGGGTCTGTGGCGACCTGTCGCGAAGTACCACCCCCAAAGTGTCGCGGAAGGCACATTACTGCAATCGGAAGCATCGTTGGCCCTTCAAGACCGCCATGATGCAAAACGACATATCACGACGAAGCTTCTGCATCACGGCAATGTCAGCGGTCACACCCTGGCCCGGCCTCTTCTCATGATTGGGCTGTAATGAGCACGAACCGGCTTCTGTGCTCGGCATGGCTTGACGTGTACGACTTAGACGATCCAGATATGTCTGGGCACAAGCCCATCTCCCTGGTAGGATCATCTAATATGAGTTTGAAGTCCCCTTTGGAACGGTTTGATCGGCGACATGGCTCGAAGGGACGGATGTCCCGAGCCCGGTATCATAGCGCTCTGAGGCCCCTATAAGTACGCATCATCCCATGCCTGCCAGTGATCCACGGACAGGGGCCCTCACACTATGAATCCTGCCATAATTCCTCAGGCCTCGTCTCCGCAGCGTGAAGATATGGCCGTGGAGCAGAGCTTGAGTCCTGACGTAGATCATCGTCGAAGGTGAGTTCTGTTCTCAGTGCTTGGCCGATGAGCCAGAGAATGATTTTGGCACAGGCCGAGGAACAGACCCACTCAGTCTTGCTTCAACTGCCATACGTCGAAACGCAAGGCGAGCGCACTTCCTAACCTTTATTTGTCCCTCGAAATGTGACGGTACCGCGATCACGAACAGTGTGACCGCAAAAGACCGTGCTCGAGGTGCATCCAACTAGGATTGGTAATTGAATTTATTTTTTGTGACGTCATCCAGAATGAACTTTCTCCCCCAGACGGGACTTTGCGTTTACGAGATTGATGACCCTGCACTGAGGTACGCTCCTAAGCATTTTATGTATATTCCGCCTGAGTCAAATATTAATAGAGATAATCCAAATATCGACGAGAATATCCGATTGAGAAATCGCATTGCTGAACTCGAGACCGTGCTCCGAGAGATCCGAGGTAACATCCATCTCACCTCTGCGTAGATCATTTTCTCGTTGCTCACGATGAAACCAGGAAAGCCTCATCCACGATGGGTAGAGCCCAGCTATCGTGGAGGAGATGCCCGCGAAAAGTGGCATTCTCGCACGAAGTCAGACAACGTTTATGAGTCCCAGGACCCTGCAGAAATCGATCGAAATGAAGCAACGGCGCCAGCCCAAGGAAGCCATCACACTGCGGAATTCTCCTACGTATCTTCCATGGTCAAGGCGGAGCCAGGTGCCGACTCAGTGCGGAATTACCTGTACAGCCTTCCGGGCCCTTCGCCAGGTGGGTCATCAAATTTTCAAGAGGCTCAGAGTACCATATCGCATGCGTATGGTACCAACCCGCAGCAAGAATACCCCCAGCGATCTCGTTATCCTACTGACTCCGCTGCGTACTTCCACTCTTCCTCCGGCGACTCCCCCGAAATGTACGCCGAGTATTATCCCCGCGGTGCACAACAAGACCTGGACGACGAACAATCTACCGGTTGTTTCGGCTCTCCGCGTATGTCCCTCGACTCCGAAGTCCCGTCCTCTACTTGCTCCTGCCTGACGAACCCGGCCTTTACTCGACCTCTTGCCGCGTTCATGACCCACCTTCATACGACTTCCCAGTTGCTCCAACATGCGTCGGGTGACCATGACCAACAAGAATGTCTCGTACTTGCACACATGATCGAGCTCGATGCGATAATTCGGTATGGTCCCTTAAACTTGTCCTCACTATGGCATGTCAGCGGCATTGCTGACCACTGCACTTCGTAGGAGCGGGAATTCGAATCTTGCAGTGGAGTATTCCACAAGCTCTGCTGAGATGGAGAGGGGAATCATGTCTCCTGAGTCGACGTTGAGCCAAGAATCCGGCTCCAGCGTATCTTCTGATGGGTGGACGCCTCAAAGCGCGAACCATGCCTACTTCCATACCTATGGTATGTCATAAAGCATTTTTTGCGACCATCTCTTCTAATAGGTTGATCTCCATGTGGCGTTACCAGCAAGGACGGGCTGATCATGCATTTTGAAGAACAAGGGGACTATGACTCCTTTTTCTGATCCTTTGCAACGCAAGTCCTGCTATGAGATACCCTATTTATTTACACGGGTCACATTATATCAGGTAATCGGCTTCCTTGACTCTCGTGTGTTCGTATGTCTCAAGTGCGTTCTCGGCTGCAGTTCGAATCCAGGACATTGTATTCGCCCTGCTTGCGAATTGTACATATGAAGAATGTGATCATCGATCCAGCCCGATCGGCTCATCCTCCCGTCTGGTCGTCGAGGTCAGCGGGCGGGCCTCGTAGCTCCAATTTTATAAACCTCAGTCCAGCTCATCCAGGAATGACCTGCGGCAGGCTGCGCGATCAAGAAGGGATGCGGGGGTTTTCACTGAAGACTTGCGGTCGATCACTGGCTCAAACGTGTAGGGCATATCATGATACTCACTTGTCCCGCATTGATGGTAGGATCACGAGCGAAGGGCATATCATGATACTCACTTATCCCGCATTGATGGTAGGATCACGAACGGACTCGGGGATCGTTTGCCGCGTGACCCTGGCCGAGCGTCGGCCAGCCTATTAAAGCCGAGGCAACTCCGGGGCAAGCTTTAATGTCAAGACAACAAAATAAAGCGACTAGAGTGTGCAAGTCTGGCGGCCTACCTATGGTCGTCGTAACTCGAACGGGCGAAGATACTGTCGATTTCATCTGTCGTACGGCGATACCTGTCGAGTGTCAGTCGACATATCTTACGATATTGGTGGAAGCAGAGCTCACTGAAGTGCTCGAGAACTTATCGCAATGTCGTCGCTGGAAACGCTTCAGCATGTCCAGGCACAGCTGTTTGGGGGGGGGGGGGGGGTACATCGGGAACGCGACTGATGCGGCAGCGGCGACAGCGACAGTCAGGGCGATAGCAACGGACGAGCGCATCATGACTAGACAAGCTATTGTTGGGCCGTAAGCCTAACGAGATCGTTGACGAGAAATGGGGTCGACAAAAAAAATCAGTACAAGCTTCAAAAGGAAGACAATCAGTGAACCATATGGGAGATCAGTGCGATTCGCTCACCAGGCAGCACCCGTAGTTCAATGGAGCTCCAAATAGAAGAAAGAGCTCGAGAATTCAAGTCAGGAAGTTCATGATATATGCCTGTTGTGCGCCGGCTGGTGCCGCCGTACCATGATGGCGTTGCTGGGAGCACAGCATGGCCTGTGTTGTTCCATCGACTCCGCATCGCCACTGGCCGCTACGTCGATATGCCAGATATCATTAAGGAATTGCATAGGTGAGATAGGAGTTCCAAACCTGATTTAGCTTTACCTGCCGCAACATCGTCACATTCGAACCCGCCTTTTTTTTGCTTGTAAAGTGCTGTCTTGACGGATTATCGCGGTTCTTGGTGCATCGAAGTCAGTCGTGCCCAAGATACTATCAAAACTGAGTGGTGGCACTGTTCACTTGGTGCCGACAGCATCAGCTGGCTATAATGCGTCATACAAACATTGTGCGTTCTTTGGATACCGTGACGTGTAGCGCGTTTATTTGCATCACATGACCGTGTATGAGGCCTCGGGTGAGCGCCACGGTGAATGGTTTGTTCAGCTTGATCTCACGGCAGACATGACGCGATTTATAAATGTGGAAATCGTGGGGGAATGTCAGCTGATGTCTTACATTTGCCAATTTAGCATTTAAACGGCAAATAGTGCACATTCACAGCCAAAGTGAAACATTTTCAACATGAAATGCCATGGTTGCAAATGTTTGTCGCATGTTTTAGAAATCAGTCGACATTCACACACAATTTTCCACATTGATAAATCGCATCATGTCTGCCGTGTCTGTACTTTGACTACCGTGGTTGCCGCTCTGTCTCAAATACTTACTGCTGAAGGGTATTGAACGCTGTGTTCCATTTCTCCTCCTGCCTAGCACGACGTGCGCTTTGGCATACGCAGGTAGGGTGACCCTGGCTGCCTACACGCGCTTCGGATTCATCTGTCCTGAGACAAGACACATCACTCACGATATCCATTACTACACGCTCACGACCTGCAATATTCCAACATCGTATAAACAGGCTGAATGTGAGCATTCATTCTACTCACTGTCTCGGCATATGCTCGATGACCGGAACAACATCTCACAGACATGGATAAAATAACCCTGCGTCTGCAGAATCTCGACTTGCTTCGAAACACTCGATCATCGTCTACCAACCCACCGGTCACCAATTCGCACTGCTCTTGAAGGCTATCTGTCATCAAATGCTCCAGTCGTGCTCAAATGCACGCATTTTCAGCAAAGCCAACACAGCGCAAGCATCTTCCATGCCCTCGAACGAGTAGGCGACCGAGTGTGAGTTGCTGAATCATGCAAATGGCAGATAGCGTCGTTAAACGCGCGATATCTGTGGTGTTCTGATTGGCGAGCTTGATGAGGCCCTGAACCAGTCGGTCGACCTCTCCACCATTCGCGCGCAACCTATCCCGCTGTCCACTACTGAATGTACTTCAGAAGCTCGTGCAGGCGAAGTTTGTGACACTCTCCTTAAGGGCCGTGCGATTGTGCCCTGTCTCATGGCCGCCTATTACGTCACCATAGCTATCACGCTGTTCCGAATCACCAGTTCACGGAATAGTAGCATTGTCATTAATGACCGGTTGCGGTGGAGTTCGTCTTGTCGGAGTCGCTCGCTGTGCCGTGGCGTGGGGAGTCTTTCATATTCGGGTTCTCCGACGGGGATTGTATAGTAGGCGATTGCGTGTTTCACCTTTGTCTATCATGAAATATACCAGATAAGTTGTCAATATACCTTTTGAAAAGCTAGTGGGTTGATGGTTTGCCGTTTGTTGGTCTGCCTTCGCCGTTTCCTCATGGTTCCTCCAAACTCTATTGCTAGCCTCAGTGGTAAGTCTTGTCATTCTCACGGACTTTGTGTTACCTATATGCGTCGTGTTGCCACGAGCATTTTGTTCGAGCTCTAGGTCAGACGTATGCGCGGTCGCTCTAACACAGTATGGACGGATCTGTTGGTTGTTGGCAAGCATGCATGGCAAAAATGTCTTGCATTACTTATGTTGAGTGAGGAGTGGAGGTCTCCATAGCATGCACTGTTCAGAGTGCCAGCAGCTCACGCATTGAGACCCCCAATAGGACCCTGGCGCGGACTGCCAGTCGAACGGCGACCTGCAATTTTTAGTTTAATACGGTCTGCTTGTAACGACATTGCATTCAACGTTGGTGGTCAGCATCCAGGGCCGGATGACCCAGCATCAGGGGAGTGAGCATTTCCTTTCGTAACCAGCTGCGCCGCTAGATGATCCGTTCCGTTGAACTGATATAAAGGGTCGTGCATTCTAGGACTGACGGTGACACGTCAATGAAGTCGGCAGAAGAAACGTATTCACTCATATATTTGGTTACGTATGACAGTACCTCGTCTCATTAGCATGTCCAACCAAAGAAGGCATCTGACGACGGGCCCGAGCCCAAAGATGATCCTTTCGGGGGAACCTCTCGTCACTGTCACCACATTCAACTGTAGGTGCTAAATATGGACGAGAAATAGGAGTCGGAATGTAAAGGCCGGACAGCTACAGGTGAGGAAAATCGCTTTTCCTATACCCGAGGGCTGCGCATATCTTCATAATACTGATAGCATCTTCCAGAGCACCTGAGATACTATCAGTGCCGATGCTCCAAGCGGCGTGGAGGCCTATGCTGGGACTGTTTCCTCGCTTCTCGATGACATGGCATGTCCGCCAAGCCTCGTCCGCAGAGGGGCGCTCGAGTGTGAGCGACGGTCAACGCGTTCGGCGCGCGCTTCCTGGCCGCTCCCGAGCGCATCCCATACCACTGACGCTCGGCTCTTGACTGCTTCGCCGATGGCTCGCGGGAATTGCGTGGTGCTGAAAATAATGTCGATGCCGGCATTTCCATGCCATTCCACCAGAATCACCGTTCCTTGTATCGAGTCTCCAGGGTGGCATGGACAATCTAAGGTGAGCATACGGTGGTTTACTGAGGTTATGAGCTAATTGACATCTGTCGCTCATGTGTTTTGACTTAGCTCTGGCAAACACTTGTCGCGTCAGTGGAGATAACAAGATGAGCCGATACTGAGCGGACGCTCGGCCGTCGCACTGCATCATGGGACGGCATAAAGTGGATTGATATGTCCTTGATTTAATTGAAGGTATGGAAGATGCTCTCCGCTTTCTGATAGAGGAACATTTTTAGATGTTGCCTGAGTGGCCTCACGCTTAGTGCCTGGTACTAAACGCTGAGCCGCAGTCGCCTTGAGTATCATCTGCGACTACTGGCCATTGTATGGCTCACATCTGTACCGCAAAACTATTTGATGTTTGCAGAAATAAGTCACTAGATGATCTATGCACGCGCGCGAATTATTGCTCGACGATACAAAATTGCTGCAGGTTAAAAACAGTCGTACCAATCTCTGTATGTGTCGTACTGGACGATGGAGTCTCGATGGGAAATAGGAGACTTTTTTCTGACCATAAGCGGCACGAGAGAGGTGCTGAGTATTGCCCGGCTGCATGAACCAATGGATCAGGACAGGATTTGTCGCGTCGAGGTTACACGCGTGAGCTAGACGTTCGGCCATCTTACTCAATAATACACTGAAGCGTTATCAACACTGTTTCAATGTATTATTTCTCGCTATGGGCTTTAGCAAACGGTGATTGGAGGGTTTTGGTCACGTTTTGCTTTGCGATCCCACTCTGGCCGACGCGCTGCCTTGCTCAATGTACGGCAGGGTTTGCTCATTGACTCCTACCACCTCCTCGACTGCTCTCACTGGAGTACCGCATTCTGCACCCCGCGCACTACCGCCGACGACAATGCTCGAATGATGGGAATCTGTGGCACGAACATGCAAGAATCCGATTGGCCGTATTCGCCGTCGCCAAATTCGACTCTGCGTCGAGGCCCTTGATGAGTGGTCTTGACGCTCCCCAGCTCATTTGCTACGCCCCAGAACCAATCCACGCAGCTGCTTCTAAGTTCTTGCGATAGCTCGTCCAGGATGCCCGAGGATTCTATTGGCCCAGGTTCAATGATGGACCCATGCTAGAACATTTCTGGGCAGAATTCGAGCTCAGGGTCGCTTCCGGTCTCGAGCTTTTGCGGAACCGTCAGTTGACTGATTAACCCGACTTGTACGCGAGATTGAACGACTAAATAGTGACCATTGCTCGCGTCTACTTCTGATAGGTCCTTTAATTTGTAATAGGAATGCGCTGTCACAATTGAAGAGCAGAGACCGTGCTAAGTATGGGGAGAAAGTCTTAAACTCTCGTGAGTCAGGGTTGAACTTCTTCGAATCGAATCTATGCTAATTCGGCTGCTCCCCCGGCATAATCTGTTCCGCAGTTCATGCACGCCTAGGCACCTCCATGGGCCGGCTGGACCTGTCTTGCCCGACTTCCCGACCTCAGTCAGACGTCCAACCACCATATTCGAATACCGTTCTCCCCCGTGATAGGCACCTCTATCCTGACCGTTTCTCCCCCATGTAGCCGTGCTTCACTGCTTCTCTCCTCGCCGGTAAATATTAGTCGCTTGCCGCATCCGAGGCCCTCGTGCATTGCATTATGTGTCAGAATATGCGGCCGTTTGAAGACCCAAATATTTTATCACGGTGCTTTTCACACTTTAGAAACGGCGCCGTTAGCAAGCTCAAATGGATCGGGCTCAAGATCTTCACGGATCAAAACCTCCTCCCGGGTCTATGGCGACTCGCGGTGAAGTATGGCACATCACTGCAATCGGACGTATCGCTGACCGTCCAACTCATATGCAAAACGACAAATCACGAAGCTTCTGCGTCACGGCAACATCGGCGGTCACACCCTAGCCCGGCCTCTTCTCATGATTGGATTGTGATCAGCACGAACCTGGCTTCTGTGCTCGGCGTGGCTTGACATGTATGGCTTAGACGATCCAGATATGTCTGGACGCGAGCCCGGGACCAATCCCCCTTAGTCGGACCACCCAATACGAGTTTTGAAGTCCCCTGGAACGGTTGATCGGTGACATGATTCGAAGGGAGGGGTCCCGAGCCCGGTCCTATGTAGCGCTCTGAGGCTCCTATAAGTACGCGTCATCCCGTGCCCGATCCCCGGACAAGGGCCCTCACACTATGAATCCTGCCGCAAATCTTCAGGCCTCATCTTCGCAGTGGCGTGAAGATATGGTCCTAGAGCTGAGTTTGAATCCTGACATAGATCGTCGTCGAAGGTGAGTGGTTTTCTCAGTACTTGGCTCAGCCAGAGTTGATGTCAGCACAGGCCGAGGAACAGACCCACACAGTCTTGCCTCAACTGTCATACGTCGAAGCGCAAGGCGAGTGCGCTTCCCAATTTGACTGGTCCCTTGGGAGCTGACGATAACCCGACCACGAACAGTGTGACCGCAAGCGACCTTGCTCGAGATGCATCCAACTAGGATTGGTAACCTACATTTATGTTTTCATGAGATCGTTCAATGTGAACTTTCTTCCACAGACAGGACTTTGCATTTACGAAGTAGATGATCCTGCCCTGAGGTACGTTCCTAAATAATTCACATATCTTCCACCTAAGTCAAATCCTAAATCAAAATCAGAGATAACCCAAATATCGACGAGACTACCCGGTTGAGAAATCGCATTGCTGAACTCGAAAGCGTACTTCGAGAGATCCGAGGTAAGTCCATCTCGCTAGCTTCATAGATTATTTTTTCGTTGCTCATGATAAATACAGGAAAGCCTCATCCGCGGTGGGCGGAGACCGCCTATCGTGGAGGAGATGTTCACGAAAAGTGGCATTCTCGCACGAAGTTAGATAGAATGCATCAGTCCCAGGATCCTGCAGGGGTCGAAAGCTTGGAAGTGACGGCGCGAGTCCCAGGAAGCCACCACGCCGAGGGACTCTCCTATATCTCTTCCATGGTCAAAGCGGAGCCAGCTGCCGACATACTGCCGAACTACCTATACAGTCTTCCGGATCCTTCGTTTGGTAGGTCATCAAACTTCCAAACGGCCCAGAGCATCGCGTCGCATGCGTACGGTGCCAATCCGCGAGAAGAATATCCGCAGCGATCTCGTTATCCCACTGACTCTGTTGCGTACTGCCATCCTTCCTCCGACGACTCCTCCGATATGTACGCCGAATGTTATCGTTCCGGTGCACATCAATACCTAGACGACGAGCAATGTACCGATTTTTACGGCTCTCCGCGTACCTCCCTGGACTCCGAAGCTTCCTCCTCTACTTGCTCCTGCCTGACGAACCCGGCCTTTGCTCGGCCGCTGGCGGCGTTCATGACTCAACTACGTGCGACTGCTCAGTTGCTCCAGCATGCGTCGGGTGACCATGACCAGCAAGAATGTCTCATACTTGCACATATGATCGAGCTCGATGCGATTATGCGGTACGTCCCTTGGACTTGTCCTCAGTATGGTATGTCAGCGGCGTTTCTAATTATTGCACTTCGCAGGGGTGGGATTTCGAACCTTACGGCGGAGTATTGCCCAAGTCCCGCTTCTGTGGAAAGCGGAGTCATGCCACCCGTGTCGACGTTGAGCCAAGAATCCGGCTCAAGCATATCTTCTGATGAGTGGACACCTCAAAGCGGTAACCTTGCATACTTCCATACCTATGGTGAGTTGCAAAGCAGTTTCGCAACCATATCTTCTGATAGGTTTATCCTTATATTGCGATGGCAGTAAGGACGAGATGACAGTATTTTGAAAATAACGGGATCATTTCCTATGAACCTTCGCAACGCAAGCCTTGCTATGAAATATCCTATTTATTTTCACTGGTCACAGTATACCAAGCGCTCGGCATCCTTGGACTCTCGTGTGTCCGTACTTCTGAAGTGCGATTATCCGCTGCTGTTCAAGCCCAGGACATTGTATTGGCACTGTTTGCGAGTTGTACATATGAAGAATGTAATCATCAATCCAGCACGATCGGCTCATTCTCTCGTATGGTCGTGAAGGTCAGCGGGCGAGCCTCGTAGCTTCAGTGTCCATGAAACTCAGTCCAGCTCGTCCAGGAATGATCTGCGGCAGGCCCCGGGTTCAAGATGGCATGCAGGGATGTTCACTCTAGAATTGCAGTCGATCACTGGCTCAAACGTGTAGCGCATGTCATGATACTCACTTGCTCTGCATTGATGGTAGGATTACGAACGGACTCGGGAATCGTTTGCCGCGCGAACCGGGCTGAGCATCGGCCAACCTATCAAGGCCAAAATGACTCTGCGGCGAGCTATGATGTCAAATCAACGTAGACGACTAGAATGTGCGTGTCTAGAGGCCTTACTTGTGGTCGTCGTAGCTCGAACGGGCGAAGATACTGTCGACTTCGTTTATGGTGCGGCGATATCTGTCGAGTGTCAGTAGACACATCTCATGATCTTGGTGAAAGCAGAGCTCACTGCAACGCTCGAGAAAGTACTGCAATGTCATCGCTGGGAAAACTTCAGCATTTCGAGGTGCAGCTGTTGGGCAGGGGGGATTACATTGGAAACGCAACTGATGGAACAGCGGCGACGGCGAGAGTGAGGGCGATGGCAGTGGACGAGGGCATCATGATCACACAAGCTGTTGTTTGGTCGTAAGCGTAACGAAATCGTTGACGAGAAAAGGCGTCGAAAGAGGCAGAATCAGTACAGGCTTCGAAAGGAAGACAATCAGTGAACCATTTGGAAAATCAGTGCAATCTGCTCACCAGCCAGCACCCGCACTTCAATGGGGCTCCGAAGGAAAGAAAGAGCTCGGAAATACTACATCAAAAAGCACATAATATATACCTATTGTGTGCTGGCTGGTGCCGTCGTATCATGATGGCGTTACTGGGAGCACAGCATGTCCTGTGCTGTTACATCGACTCTGCATCGCCACATACCGGTGCCGTGTACGTCAATATGCCATCATCAAGGGATCACATAGGTGAGACAGGAATTTCTCTCCTAAATAAGCTTTAATCTGCCGTCAAAATGAGAAACATCATATTCGCATCCGCCTCTTTTTGCCCATTAGTAAGTGCTGTCTTGGACTCTTGGCCGACTATCTTGGATACACCAACTTAGTCATACACAAGATTTTATTGAAACTGAGTGGTGACATTGCTCACAATTGCACTTGGTGTAGACAGCATCAGCTGGTTGCAATGTGCCATACAAACGTGGTGGACTCTGGACACTGTGAGTCCAGGGACGCGTAGCGCGCGTTTATCTACATCACATGACCGTGTAGGAAGGTGAGCGTTGAGCTTGACCTTAAATTAACTACCGTGGATACCAAATATTGTTCTCAAACACTCGTCGACGTACTGCTGAGGGGAATCGAACGCTGTGCTCCAGTGTCCACATTTCTCCTCTTGTCTAGCACGACGTGCGCTTTGGCACACCGTCAGGTAGACCCTGTTGCCCACCGGCGCGTCGAATCCTTTGAGACAAGGCACATCACTCGCGTTATCCATCACGACACGCTTGCGGCCTGCCATATTGCTACATCCCATAAACAGGCTGAATGTAGGCCTTCATTTTACTCATTCTGTCATATACTGGCTGACCGGAACAGCATCTCATAGACATGGATAATATTCCTGCGCCTATCCTTCCTCTCGAGCTACAATATGTCATACTTGAGGAAATAGCAGACAATCGTGCATCACTAGCGGCGTGTGGTCTTGTATGCCGCGCATGGCGCTATCAAACTCGTGCCCATCTCTTCCGTACCGTTATCTTCGTCCTTTTCTCTTCCTACGCCCGCTTTCTTGCTATCTGCGAAGCATCCCCTGAAGTTGCGCATCACGTACGCGTTGCAAGATTCAGAGGGAACCTTGTCGGGATCTCGTTCATCATACGTCTTCTGACAAAGACGCCGAACGTTACAAGCCTGTCGCTTGAGAACTTGGATGCGAAAGGGCTTCATCACGCTCGATTCTGCTCTTTCTCGTTTCCTCGTATACAAAGATTGACTATGAAGACCGTCACCTTAACTGAAGAGCAATTCGTGACAATTCTTTGCAGATGTCAGGAGCTTAAGGAGCTCCGCCTGCGGGACCTCGACTTGCTTCCAAGCACTCAATCATCGTCTACCCACCCACCGGTTCGCACTGCTCTCGAAGGCTATCCGTCCTCAAATGCTCCAGTCATGCTCAAATGCATGTATTTTCATTCAAGCCGAAATCACGCAAGCATCTTTCATGCCCTCGAACGAGTTCCCGTTCAACTGCATTTGCAGGAATTGCATATCGTATGGACCCATTGGTCAACTGTTGATGCACAACGTATCTTGCGCGGCGCAGGAGCGAATCTGCAATCGCTGAATATCACGCCTGCTCTAGCATGGCATAATCGCGCAGAGTTCCACTCATTCGATCTGGCCCAAAACCTTAACATAACCGAGCTACATTTGAAGGACTTTTCGTTGTCCGTAAAGGCTGAACACTCTCAATTCATGCGAGGGGGGCTGAGATGGATACCGGCAATATTGATGGATGTCCGTCCACACCACAAGTGCTTGCGGAGAGTGCAGTTCAGCATCCGTATCCGTCTTTCCGACCTTGTGAGCCAGGCGGAATCGAGCTTTCTTATAGGGCTTTGGACGGCTCTGGATCCGGCATTGGCTCCAATCACGAGCCATCACCCAGGATTACTCGTCATCTTCAATCTGTGCTCTGAGACCAAGCACGACAGATGGATGCAGCCGGCAATCAGCATGCTGAAGCACCATCTGCTGAGATCTAGAAAGGGGTCCTCCAAGATTGTTGTGCGCTGCTATCAAGGCCGGAATCCACACTCTCAGAACCTACTCGGCGACACGCCATATCAAGAATTTCTAATGCATCAGTAGACGTTCCATTCGGTACGTCACAAGGTTGTCCGGAACCACTTCAACATTGATCATCTGATATGATAATTATGCAGATAGTGTGTTCCTGGATTCTAATCGGCTGCGGAAGAAAGCGCTGAAATTATGGGATTGACCCAAGACATCGTCAACCAGTCCCTGTGACCTCGACGATCACGACCTACATCAGTCCAGTACATGTCATGGATATAGCTCTATATGCTGAAGTCTACCCATATCATATGCTCGCTCGAAGCGAGTTTCCTCGGGAAGAGTGGATTTGCGTGCTCGCGTTGGTCCTCGCACTCGGGAACGATCATGGTAAAGATAGGTCCATCGTCGTCTAGGGTTCCTGACAACGTGGTGTTACGCTTTGTCAATATGAATACCGACAAATTAGAATGTCAATTGTGACAGTTCACGGTAGGTCTCGATTGTTCCTCCATTGCTTCCATACATGCATGTATAGCAGCATGAATGGATGGAGCCTTACTGGGCATGCATTGCCGCCAGCACGACCCTGTCGGTCATAAAAGCTCGCCGTGGGCTAAACTCAAGCTAATCCCACCATTTCTTTCCCTCATTCGCTTCAGAAGATCCCGCAGATTCATTATGAACAGCCCTCAGGACCGCCAGAATTTCGTCCGCAGCGTCAAGCTCGCCATTCCTCCCACTCCTCAGGACCGCAAGGACTTTGTATGCAGTGTCGAGCTGGCCATCCCTCCCACTCCACCATCCGCGGAGGGTAGTGCAGTCGTTGCTGCTCAGGCTGATGACGAAGAGACTGCCTCTGTCGTTGACAGCTCCGCGATATCCTTCGTCGGTAATTTGTCTGCACAGCAGAAGGTAGGCGTTCCGCACTTACTATTTCGTATGACTCTCGCTCTCATACCGGATTGTCTATGTCGTCCAGTCCGACGTGATCAACTCGACACTGTTCGCACAGTGGGCAGCCAATTCACAGTTCAACCGTAACAAGGAGCCCACGAAGTGGTACGATGTCTACACGAGCACGCTCGAGAAAGTCGGGTGGACCGTGCAAGCCATGAGGTATGCGGGCCGTCAGTACGCAGTCGCCACCTGGAATATACAGCTGACGTTGTATTACTGTAAGCTTCATGGAACTCCCTAACGCAAGTACATACGGCACCGTGGACAAGGCAGTCCTGAGAGTCATGGAGACCTTCCTCACCCCGGCTCTGGTCGAGCCGTTCAGGGCCATGATCGAAGCTTTGGATAAACCTGATGCCGAGCGTGCTTACAGTATCTTCAAGAAGCGCTCCTGGGAGCAGACCATGGCCGACTTCCAGTCAGGCGTGTGCATGTACGTGCCCGAACGGCTCTGCGATCTGATTTGGCTCGCTCATGCACTCGCCCGTTTCACGACAGCCTGGGCAATGGCAACAACGTCAAGTGGCGCATCGCATGTTATGACTACCAGGCGTCCGGCTTCGACGGCAATGTTCTTTTCTTCAAATTTGGGTCCAGTTCGGTTACCTTCCAGTACAGTATGTCCCGCACATGTGTTACCCCGAGTTCATAATCCGTCCATGCTGACGGTGCACCATTGTAGACACCCAGGACATGGTGTTGGATGAAAAGAAGTATTCAACGGTGAGACAGGACATCGTAGAATCACTTGGAGCCAATGCGAAGGACTATGTCATGAACGTTCCCTTATCTCCGCCCCAGTGATGAGTCGACTGATATCCGAGATAATGCCCTTTCTTCACTGATTCTGTAACACATTTTTGGACCCTCCCGTGTTTCACTCAGACACATCAACTGTCTTCAGCCTTCAGAAAAGCATGGTTACCATGATTGAGCATTTTTTGCGTGTAATACTGAACAACAGTCTGTAACAAAGCTATCACGCTCAGAATCATTATGTTGTGTTGCAACGATAACTGTACAAAAAATTTCATGTAAAATTGACTCCCTTACTCATATCTAGCGATCAACGCGATGGGAGTAGACCGGCTGGCGATTCATTTGCCAATGTCATCAGGTTGGAAATGGAATCCCCAGGAGGCACTGCTCGGATGTAGTTTGAGTGAAACCCATGATGGCCTCTATATTTGTGTCTCCCATCGAAGTGTCAAGAATTGAAGCGGTGAAGCGGTGCGCCACCATCGTCCGCTATTCATCGCGGCTAGTGTGAAAGACCGAGAGCATGGAGATGGGCATGACCGCTGGGCATGTCCAGGAGTGTTCCGATGGAGTCGGTGGCCTTCTAGCTGCGAGTTTACACATTTTTCTTCATCAGTGATCCCTCAGGCATCATGCATCAGCCTTGGATGGTCATCCGTGCATAGGCGCCCGTAGCACCGTTCAAGTTTGTCTCTCTTTCTTTCTTTCGAGCGCACTGTCACGCACCGTCAAATAGCATCCTGCGTCGCTTTGACACTTCCAGCCTCGTGGAATGACACATCGGAGGGTTATGGCTCATTCTTGAGAGGCAACTACCCAATGATCCATCCTCAGGATTGGCATACTTGGATGAGATCCTCATTCAGCATGTTCTCCGATCGACACTGTTCTTTGAGGTTTTTTGGACTCGATATCTGTTGCAGATTCTTACAGGATACGCGCCCAGCGGAAAGAAGGTCAATAGACGAAAGGATTGCAATCTCTTCAAACACTCACACGAGACGATTAAAATCTTTCCCACTCTTAGCCTTCTCAACTGTGACAAAAATCTTCGCATTTTCGCATCAACTGAGGAGATATGACAGAAACATTCGAACTCTATCTTCGATATCTTCCATTATTGGTACTTGCACCCCGTGTGAGAGAACTTTATAGCTTCGAGCGCTCCTACAAGAGCGCGCAATTGTTGCTATCGGCGTGCTCCTTGCTCTCAGGCCCATTGTCAGCACGATGCCTATCGACAAGCCATACAGTGGAATAAAGCGAAAGCTCGTGTTGGGAATAGACATTGGGACGACCTACAGCGGCGTCTCGTTTTGCATTCTCGACCCGGGAGAGATCCCTCAAATTCGCAGCGTTATACGGTACGCTATCGAGAGTCTATTGGACAATCATCGCTGATCTTATGTTAGCTATCCTGGACAAGAAGGAGAGAACAAGTTCAAGGACCCAAAGATCCCCACGATCGTGTACTATAGCGAAGATGGAACAGTTCGTGCAGTGGGAGGGGAGGCCAGACTAGACGCCAATCGACTCCAGGCCTTGGATGAAGGCTGGGTGTTGGCGGAATGGTGATTAGGTTCCTTGTTCATCGGGTGGCCTGGAAAAACTGACAGGACGAGGTTCAAATTACATCTCCGTCCACGCGAATTGGCGTCGGATGATGAAGATTTGCCAATGCTTCCGCCAAACAAGACCCGTTGTACAGATCCTGGCGGATTTTATGCGATACCTATATAAATGCGCCAAGGAATACATCTCCGAGGAACACCCAATCGGACGTCGACTGCTGCAGTCGGAGTCCGATGTCGAGTTCGTTCTGGCCCACCCTAATGGATGGGGTGGCAGCCAACAAGCAAAGATGCGGCGAGCCGCGGTACTTGCAGGCCTCATCCCAGACTCGGCCGTTGGTCAATCGCGGATCCATTTCGTGACAGAGGGAGAAGCTAGTCTGCACTATTGCATAACTAATGGTCTCGCTGGCGACGCTGTCAAGGTCAGTATAGTAGTTATCGTATGACCCTCCGTCGCGATAATTGCTTTCACAGACCGGCAACCAATTGATGATCGTCGATGCTGGAGGAGGGACTGTCGACCTGAGTACATACAGGATTATGAGCACGATACCTGTCAAAGCCGTTGAGAGCACTGCTCCGGATTGTAAGTCGCGGATCGGAGGAGTGGGCTTGCCAGATTCGACTCATGGATTGTAGGTGTCATGCAGGGATCGACATTTGTCAATGCCAGAGCTGGACAATTCCTCAGAGGTACGTTGTCACATTTCTGCATATTCATGCATTTTTCCGACAAAGGCGTACCTCAGACAAGCTTGAGAACTGCCGTTTTGGCAACGAAGAATATGTCGAAACGATGCTCGAGTATTTTGAGAACTCTACCAAGCCTACATTCAGGGACCCTACAAAGGCTTCCTATATTAGATTTGGTGGTCCTCGAGATACCGATGAGCAGCGCGGCGTCAAGAGAGGAACGTTGACTTTGTCTGCGTAAGTCAGGTAGACGTCAAATATGCTAGCGATTCTCAAAATGCTTCAAGGTCGGACATGACTACACTCTTCCGACCCTCCGTCAGCGCTATTGAGGATGCAATGAGAAGACAATCGTCAGGGGCCAGCGGACGAATCAATGTCAGTAACTGTCTGGTCATTCTTGTGGAGCTCAACGTATCGAGATCTTTCAGATGGTGCTGCTGGTGGGAGGGTTTGCGGCGAGCCCATATTTGCGTACCGAACTTCAGAACTACGCAAACAGCTCCGGCTTATCGCTATTCTATCCCGATAGTGGACAGAGTCAGCCGTAAATGCAGTCCGGTCTTCGCCACAGTTACTTTTCTCATGTGTCCCACAGCGTCAAAGCTGTCGCGGAGGGTGCACTCTCTTATCACCTCGATGATGTTGTGTCGGCACGTGTGGCAAAGTATGCCTACGGATCGTCTTGTTCCCGTCCCTATATCCCGTCCTTGCCCTCCCATGAGGCACGACAGGACAAGGTCGGCCGTGCCGCATCGGGTCTCCTGTTTATTCCAGATGCCTTTACGACCATCTTACCTAAGGTGCGCGTATTAATTTTCATACATTCCGTAATTTAACATCTATATGGTCAGGGAACGCTAGTGTCGAAGGAGGAGGAGTTTGCGGATTCATTTGTGGGGATCGGCCCGCTCTCCAACGTCGATGTGATCTTGCGAGATGTAACCCGTTATAAAGGATCCGAAAGAAGCCCGCGATGGATGGATGAAGAGCCGGGTAAGCATGAATCGAAGCATCCAGTTCAGTCTAATTTATTGGAAGTACCCTAGAAATGTATGACACGTTGTGCACTATACGCGCGGATATCTCGCACATTCCGACAGTGCGAAAGCGAGGTCTGCAAGGCGACTATTACGAGCAACGTACGAAAATGATCTTCCTGTTTGGCCTAACTGAGCTGAAGGCGCAATTGTCTTGGATGGAGAATGTGAGTTCGTCACGACATGATTCTCCAATCGCACCCACTTATTATAGAAACTTTAGGGTCAGGAGGAAGGGTGCTCATTCATGACAGCGATTGAATGCGAGCTCTGACAATGCCTGTTACAGGAGCCCTGCCACCATTGTCTACGAGGAGGACGATAGTGACTAACCTGGGTGGCCTTCCTCACCAGCGAAACTGCCTTGGAGCAGTGCCAGCTGTCGTTCGAACGTTCTGCGACATTCTCCCATGTACCGATTACCGTTGTACTTGCTTTGTTACTTGTTTTCGCGCTTTGCACTGCTTGCTTGTGACTAACGACATATTCCATCTGTTGTGTTGTGCATGTCCATGCCTCATGGAGATGAGTACAAACAGCTCGGAGCCTATGAAATGCGCAACGGGTACTTTACAATCAGATCGATTTACCTTGACCCGAACCTTGTTCCTATTCAGTCAATCAATTGACAATGACGCCAGAACGCATAATCACAATTCACTCTCTCAACTTTGTCAAGGCGGTGAAGAACGCAACCCAGCTCTTGCCGTCCGCCGGTTCTTGAGAAAGGTATCCGAGCCTGATGTCAGCGATCACCACCTGGCAGCGACGCTCTGATTCTTTGTGGTGTAGCGTCGTCAATGATGACAGACTGCGTTCATGGAAGGTTCTACCTACCTGAATCCCCACGATGAGATGATCAGTCTCACGACGTGCACATGACAGACGGAAGAGATATCTCTAGGATGATGTGTTATGATGACTGGGGAAGGAGAGCAACAGACTGTTGTCGACCGCAGTAAACGAGTCCGTCGTCAGCTTGAGGGTGTTAGGGATTCGTGTCCAGGTTGCGTCCCCCCCCCTCCCCCCCACGACGACGTTAGGACACGGGCACTGAGTTCTTCTTTTGTTGCATCGATGTATCATCCTGTTTCGACTGCAGCCTGCTGGTATTCAGTTGCCAGCTCTTTGGTGAGTTGTACGGCCTGCACGAGCTCCTCTTCTCTGCGTTTGATCTGGTGCCCTTGTTGGTCGAGTAGTTCGCGGATCAGTACTCGGATCAGTTGCGTATCGAAATATTGACCTCTTCCTTTGCCGCATCACTGCTTCCTTTAATCTCGTCCACAGCCTGCTCGAATTGATTTGCTCGCTCCTTCGCAAGTTGTGCATTTCGTACGAGCTCTTCGTCTCTACATATGAAATGCGACCCTGTCCCTTTGCATGCCAGTCGGTGAAGCGGAGGGCAGACACGATAGAATGGCTGTCAGAGACATTGACCACCAATGCCGCGCCTTCACCTATGATCGAAGATCGAAGTGTACGCTAGAGTTGAATGCAACGTTGTGTCACAATTAACTGAGCCTGAGAGCGCCCTGAGGTCTCTTCCAGTGCATTGTGCCTAGTGCTCCGTACTAGCTGAGAACGATCAGCGAGGGCCCAGTCGATTTAGTCCAAGTCAATATGCGCTCGGGTCCGTGCCCCGGCCCGCTCGTTGAAGTTAATGAGACTCGTTCAGGTTGCACATACCAGCCCCAGATGATGTATATTTGAACACGAAACCGCCCTTTCACTTCATCCCGCATCGCATCCATGGCATCTACGACACCGAAGCTCTCGCATTACAAGGTTTTGATGTTCGACGTCTACGGTACCCTCGTGGTATGCATACGTATCGTGACAGGACTGTGAGAATGGCATAAAGACTGCGTTGCAGCCGATCGTTGCAGAAACTTCCCTCGAGTCGAAGGCTGCCGGCCTACATGCCTTCGAGAGCGTCGAGACTAATCTGCAAGCACGCTATTCGAGCATGCGGTACTGCGAGCTGCTCATGCGCACACACGCATAATTGGAGGCCAAACTGCACGGCCAGGTGACCGTGCCTTAGGCCGGCAGCGAGGGTGGGAGCATGCAGACAGCAGTGCAGGCGGGCGCGAAGGAAGTGGGCAGTACGGAGGTGGGATCATCTGCATCTGCTGAGAGCACAGAGAAAACGGACGCACATGTGGCGTTTGGAAAGAGCATCGCGAACTGGCCAGTGTTCCCGGATACGATACCCGCGCTGGAGTAACTTAGCAAACACCTCAAGCTCACCGTGCTCTCGAACGCTTCGCGATGACCCAGCGCATGCGGCAGGACGCCCTGCGGCGTGTCGAGGAGGAGTTGAACTTGGGCGTCGAGAGCGACGAGGTGATGGTGGTCGCGAACAGCGTGTTTCATGATGTCATGTCGGCGAGGAAGATGGGGCTTGGGACGGCGTGGATTGAGAGGAAGAGGCCGGTCATTGGGCATGACCAGGAGGAGGGGGCGCAGGCGACGTTCAGATGTAGCACCCTTGGGGAGATGGCGGAGGTGTTGATGCGAGAGTTGGGCAAGTGGTCGTAAGAGTACACTTTCGCCACAAATAATTAAGCATTGAGTGAAGTCCAATATGTGCCTTCAATGTCCTGTGCAACGATATGCTGTGGCAAGATGTGGCGGGAGGTGACCGCTCGGCCTTTGCCGATCAGCCACGATCGTTCCTCGATCCGCCACCCCTGCACTCAATAAGCGCCCCACGGGACGCGTTACTCAGACCCTCAGCACCATGTGCTGGTATTCAGCGGTGAGACAGGACATCATAGAATATAGAATCACTTGGAGCCAATACGAAAGACTATGTCATGAATGTTCCCTTATCTCCGCCCTGGTGAGTCGACTGATATCCGAGATGATCCCTTTTCTTCACTGATTCTGTCAACAAGAATTTGGACCCTCCCACTGTGCTTCGCTCAGAGGCACATAGGCGCCCGTAGCACTCTTTGCCCACCACTCGGCGTAACGTACCTTTTCTCTCTTTCTTTTCTTCGAGCGCACTGTCACGCACTGTGAAATAGTGTCCTGAGTCACTCTGACATTCGCAGCCTCGTGAAAGTACATCTCGGAGATTTAGGGCTCATTCTTGCGAGGCAGCTACCGAATCATCCATTCTCAGGATTGGCATACTTGGATGAGATCCTCATTCAGCATGTTCTCCAATCCACCCCGTTGTTAAGGTTTTTGGAACTCCAGATTTGTTGCAGATTCTTACAGAATACGCGGCCAGCAGAAAGAAGGTTAATAGATGAGAGGATTGGGAACAATCTCTTCAATAACTCACTGGGACACGAGTCGATCAAAATCTTTCCCACTCTGAGCCTTCTCAACTGTGACCTTCGCATTTTTTGCATCAATTCAGTGGAGATATGGTTGGGGACACCACTTCATGACAAATTGCATTTCTACTCCTAGCACCTTGAGATTGAAAATCTATATACAAAGTACCCATAGATACGTCCAAATCTGAAAGTACGAGTTTTTTCTGAGAACCTAACCCTACCCCTAATAAACAGCCAAATTGCCCCAAGGTCAACGGTTATCAAGAGTATGGTGCTACTGAAAACACTTACCTTTCAGGCCATGGTAAGCTCCATCTTTGCCTTCCATCCTAATCTTGCATCTCCAGGTCCTTCAACTGCAATGCATGGTGAGACTTACAGGTGCAAACCTTTTTTTGTCACCGCTCTTACCGGCGCTTACTACGACTACATTTGGTAATACCAGCGCTTATACTACCGGCATAGCCATATATGGTAATGTATTAGTAAGCGAAATGGCCAAATTGAGGCCCGAAAACTCAAACTTTGGATTTTGGAAAATCTGCTCCAGCCATGTTGTAGAGCATCTCTTTAGCTATGATTCTATATATGTTTCATGAATTTTAGTGCAGATTCTGAAAAGCCTTAGCAAATCTGCGAGATGGCTTAAACACTTACCATGAAGTGGCGTCCCCAACCATATGACAGAAAGTCTCGAACTCTAACTTTAATATCTTCCATTATTAGTACTTGCACCCCGTGTGAGAGAACTTTATAGCTTCGAGCGCTCCTATCAAGAGCGCGCAATTTTGCTATCGGCCTCACCTCCTTGCTCTCAGGCCCATTGTCAGCATCATGCCTCTCGACAAGCCATACGGTGGAATCAAACGAAAGCTCGTGTTGGGAATAGATGTTGGGACGACCTACAGCGGCGTCTCATTTTGCATTCTCGACCCAGGAGAGATCCCTCAAATTCGCAGCGTAATACGGTACGCTATTGAGGGTCTATCGGACAATCATCGCTGATCTTATGTTAGCTATCCTGGACAAGAAGGAGAGAACAACTTCAGGAACCCAAAGGTCCCCACGATCGTGTACTATGGCAAAGATGGAACAGTTCGTGCAGTGGGAGGGGAGGCCAGATTAGACGCCAATCGACTCCAAGCCTTGGATGAGGGCTGGGTGCTGGCGGAATGGTGATTAGGTTCCTTGTTCATCGGGTGGCCCGGAAAAGCTGACAGGACGTAGGTTCAAATTACATCTTCGTCCACGCGAATTGGCGTCGGATGATGAAGATTTGCCAATGCTTCCACCGAGCAAGACCGTTGTACAGATCCTGGCGGATTTTATGCGATACCTATACAAATGCGCCAAGGAGTACATCTCCCAGGAACACCCAATCGGACGTCGACTGTTGCAGTCGCAGTCCGATGTCGAGTACGTTCTGGCCCACCCTAATGGATGGGGTGGCAGCCAACAAGCAAAGATGCGGCGAGCCGCGGTATTTGCAGGCCTCATTCCAGACTCGGACGACGGTCAATCGCGGATCCACTTCGTGACAGAGGGAGAAGCTAGTCTGCATTATTGCTTAACTAATGGTCTCGCTGGAGATGCTGTCCAGGTCAGTATAGCAGTTATCGTATGACCTTCCGTCGCGATAAGTGCTTTCACAGACCGGAAGCCAATTGATGATCGTCGACGCTGGAGGAGGGACTGTTGATCTGAGTACATACAGGATTACGAGCACGATACCTGCCAAGGCCGTTGAGAGCACTGCTCCTGATTGTAAGTCGCGGATCGTAGGAGTGGGTTCCCAGATTCTACTCATGGATTGTAGGCGTCATGCAGGGATCGACATTTGTCAATGTCAGAGCTGGACAATTCCTCAGAGGTGTGTTGTCACGTTTCTGCACGTTCATGCATTTTCCCGACCACGGCGTACCTCAGACAAGCTTGAGAACTCCCGTTTTGGCAACGAAGAATATGTCGAAACGATGCTCGAGTGTTTCGAGAACTCTACCAAGCCTACATTCAGGGACCCTACGAAGGCTTCCTATATTAGGTTTGGTGGTCCTCGAGATACCGATGAGCAGCGCGGTGTCAAGAGAGGAACGTTGACTTTGTCTGCGTAAGTCAGGTAGACGTCAAATATGCTAGCGATTCTCAAAATGCTTCAAGGTCGGACATGACTACACTCTTCCGACCCTCCGTCAGCGCTATCGAGGATGCAATGAGGAGACAATCGTCAGGGGCCAGCGGACAATCAACGTCAGTACCTATCTGGTCATTCTTATGGAGCTTATCGTATCGAGATCTTTCAGATGGTGCTGCTGGTGGGAGGGTTTGCGGCGAGCCCATATTTGCGTACCGAACTTCAGAACTACGCAAACAGCTCCGGCTTATCGCTATTCTATCCCGATAGTGGACAGAGTCAGCCGTAGGTGCAGTCCGGTCTTCGCCACAGTTACTTTTCTCATGTGCCCCACAGCGTCAAAGCTGTCGCGGAGGGTGCACTCTCTTATCACCTCGATGATGTTGTGTCGGCACGTGTGGCGAAGTATGCCTACGGATCGTCTTGTTTCCGCCCCTATATCCCGTCCTTGCCCTCCCATGAGGCACGACGAGACAAGGTCCGCCGTGCCGCATCGGGTCTCCTGTCTATTCCGGATGCCTTTACGACCATCTTACCTAAGGTACGCGTACTGATTCCATACACTCCGTAATTTAACATCTATGTGGTCAGGGAACACTAGTGTCGAAGGAGGAGGAGTTTGCGGAATCCTTTGTGGCGATTGGCCCGCTCTCCAACATCAATGTGATCTTGCGAGACGTAACCCGTTACAAAGGATCTGAAAGAAGCCCGCGATGGATGGATGAAGAGCCGGGTAAGCATGAATCGAAGCATCCAATTCAGTCCGATTTATTCGAAGTACCCTAGAAATGTTTGACACGCTGTGCACTATACGCGCGGATATCTCGCACATTCCGACAGTGCGAAAGCGAGGTCTGCAAGGCGACTATTACGAGCAACGTACGAAGACGATCTTCCTGTTTGACCTAACTGAGCTGAAGGCGCAATTGTCTTGGATGGAGAATGTGAGTTCGTCACGACATGATTCTCCAATCGCACCCACCTATAATAAAAACTTTAGGGTCAGGAGAAAAGGTGCTCATTCATGACAGCGATTGAATGTGAGCTCTGACAATGCCTGTTACAGGAGCCCTGCAACCATTGTCTACGAGGACGATAGTGACTAATTTGGGTGAACTTTCCTGCGAGCGCACCTCCTTGGAGTAGCGTCAGTGGTCGTTCGAACATTATGCAATTATGCTCTCATGTACCGATTATCGTTGTACTTGCTTTGTTGTTTCCGCGCTTTGCACTGCTTGCTTTTGACTAACGATATATTTCATCTGTCGCTCTATGCATGTCCACGTCTCATGGGACATGAATACATCGGTCCGCATCACTGCTTTGGTTAATCTCGTCTACATCTTGCGAGAATTGATTTGCTTCTTCCTTCGCAAATTGTGCATTTCGCATCGCACGAGCTCTTTTTCTCTATATTCAAATTGCGACCCTGTTCCTTTGCATGCTGGCATCGGCGAAGTGGAAGGCAGATGCAATAGAATGGCCGTCAGAGACAGCTACCACCAATGTCGCGCCTTCAAAGCTTCACACCTGGTAAAGTTTGAACGTTTGAGCCTATGATCGATAATCGAAATGTATGGTACAGCAACCGGTCGTAGTCAGCGGTTGCCCTTTGATTGAATGCATTGTTGTGTATTGAGCCTGAGAGCGTTCTGAGGTCTCTGTAAGCAAGCCATGCGCGCTCATGCGGCAGGCATGACGTTCGAATTTGATGCATGATGGGAGGGCTCCGAAGCCGAGCATTAGTCCAAGTCAATATGCACTCGGATCCGTGCCGGCTCGTCGAAACAATTGACTCCTCCGTCGCGTTCAGATTGCATATGATACACGCTATCAGATCCGTGCACAAGCCCTCACAGCCAGCGCAGACGCACATTTGAACACGAAGCCGTTCTTTTGCTTCACTTCGCATTGCATCTATGGCATCCGTGACACCGAAGCTCTCACAGTACAAGGTCTTGATGTTCGACGTCTACGGTACCCTCGTGGTATGCATACTATGCATCGTGATAATGGAGATCGCCATCATCTAACGCTTATTCGCCCGCGAGACAGGATTGGGAGACCGGCATAATGACTGCCTTGCAGCCGATCGTCGCAGGGACCTCCCTCGAGTCGAAGTCTGAAGCCCTACGTGCGTTCGAGAATGTCGAGACTGATCTGCAAGCGCGCTATCCGAGCATGCGGTATAGCGAACTGCTCGCGCACACACACGCAGAGCTGGATGCCAGACTGCGCGGCCAGGGGACCGTGCCTGAGCCCGGCAGCGAGGGTGGGAGCACGCAGACAGCGGTGCAGGCGGGCACGAAGGAAGTGGGCAGTACGGAGGTGGGGACGTCTGCATCTGCGCAGAATACAGAGGAGACGGACGGACACGTGGCGTTTGGAAAGAGCATCGCGAACTGGCCGGTGTTCCCGGATACGATACCCGCGCTCGAGTACCTCAGCAAACACTTCAGGCTCACCGTGCTCTCGAACGTCGACCGCGCCTCTTTCGCGGCGACCCAGCGCGCACTCGAAGGTCCGCCGGACGGGCGGCGCTTCGCGTTTTCCGCAGTATACACCGCGGAGGACGCCGAGTTCTACAAGCCTGACCCGCGTGCGCGGCAGTACGCCTTGCGGCGCGTCGAGGAGGAGTTGAGCGTCAAGAGCGACGAGGTGATGGTGGTCGCGAACAGCGTGTTCCATGATGTTATGCCGGCGAGGAAGATGGGGCTTGGGACGGCGTGGATTGAGAGGAAGGGGTCGGTCATTGGGCATGATCAGGAGGAGGGAGCGAAGGCGACGTTCAGGTTTAGCACGCTTGGGGAGATGGCGGAGGCGTTGAAGCGAGAGGTGGGCGAGTCATCGTAAAGAGTACACCGTCGCTGCAAAGTATCCAGCATTGTGTAAAGTTCGTTGCTCTCGATGTTCTGTGCACCAAAGCCCAAAAAAAACGCCTGGATTGCTGTGGCAAGAGGTGGCGGCTCGGCCTTTGCCGATCAGCCACGATCGTTCCTCGATCCGCCACCCCTGCACTCAAGAAGCGCCCAATTCGACCGTAACGACCGCTCAGTTCATCTTGTTTCCGCTGCCATCAAAGAATATATCGCATATACCTTGCTATAACTCGACTTTAAAGACCATGCGGGTCATCGTTACGGGTGAGTCTTACGAGAAGTTGGTCTACCATCGCTGCGAATTCATGCTATCATTTTGCGTTATTGACCTGCCACAGGCGCATCCGGGGTGTTGGGCTCCGCGGTATACAATGCATTCAAGGCTGCGGGACACACAGTGCTTGGCCTTGCGCATTCTCGGCCAACGGAGGAGCTGAAGCAGCTGGACCTTCTCAATTCTGCCGAGGTGGAGAAGCTGTTCACGGAGTTCAAACCAAATTGTCCGTACGCCCACGCAACAGCGTCGGAATGCGCTCATCTTACGAACTGGCGATAGGGGTTATTCATTGTGCGGCTGAAAGGAGGCCTGATGTTGCTGAAAAGGTGCGCATCGCATTCGTTGACATCGTGGGGCCATGGTTGCTGACTTACTGGCTGTCTGGCCACATCGGGGTCGCCTGCAGAATCCTGAAGGCGCACGACAAGTCAGTATCTCTCCAGCAGAGGTGCAGGCAAGATCGCTCGTTGATCGGCGCTCTCTATAGCTTAACGCCGTGCTTCCCGAGCACCTCGCAAATCTCTCGAAGGCGCTCAAGTTCACTCTCGTATACATCTCCACCGGTGCGTCGTCCTCCTATGTTCCTCATTAAATGCTCCTGATTACTTTGATTGCTATATCTCTTTGCTCATAGACTACGTCTTCGACGGTACATCCCCGCCCTACACCCCCTCCGCGATGACGAAACCCCTCAACCTGTACGGCCGCACAAAGCGCGACGGCGAGCTCGCGGTGCTGGGTGTCGTGGGCAGCAAGAGCATCGTCCTTCGCGTGCCCGTGCTATACGGCCCGGCGCCGAAGAACGCGGACTCGGCGGTGAACATCCTGCTGGACGTCGTCACGGACCAGTCGGGCAAGCAGTACAAGATGGACCACTACGCGACGCGCTACCCGACGAACGTGCTTGATATCGCGGACTTTCTCGTGCGGCTTTCTTGTGAGTGTTGCATGTGTTGCCACGTCGTGGCAGTGGTTGGCAGGGGTTTTTTATTTAAACGGTAGCGCTCCCACATACCCTGGCCATCCCTCCGATTCTGCATTATTCTGCGGGCGAGCCGTTTACGAAGTATGAGATGTGCCTCGAGTTCTCGCGCATCCTCGGCTTGCCGCACAGCCACATTATCCCAGACGCGGAGCCGCCAAAGGTGCGTCGCTCGTGTATTCACGCCGGACAAGTGACGATGGTGCTGATTGGCATGCGGTATGTTCTTGTTTAGGGAGATGCGGCTACGACACGGCCGAGAGACTGCCAGCTGTACACGCGAGAGACGGAGGATCTCATGGAGGGTCATGGCGGATTGGGGTGGACGCCGTTTGAGGAGTGGTGGGAAGAGTATTTGAATGCGAAGCAGTAATGTGCTGAACCATTCCCGGTCTTTCCGGGTATGCTTTATACCTATACCTAGCATATCATGTCGTGGGAGTGCGAGGGGTTGTATAACTACCGCAAGTGTATAAATATCTTTGAAATCATGAATGCGGGGACATCATACACCTTGGCCAAAATTCACAGATACCACGACTATATACGCTGATCTTTCATAACGTTAACTACTATTTCTAGTCAATTACACAATTCCGTGTGTCTTACTCTACACGCTGATGCCCATGCCAACTTCCACCTATAACGCAATCTCCTCACGTGACCGCGGCGCGGCGCGTGACGTCATTTCTTCCTCGCGAGGGCACGCCACGAATTGACGCCACCGCACCTCGCGAGTGGCGTCGAACGGTGGGACATAAAGGCAACCACCTCTTAGCACACATCCAAATAATACCCATATCCTGCTCGAACGTTTTTCGCCTTCACTGCAATTTTTCATCCGCAAATACTAGGAGTATGTCTACATCAACCGGAGCAGGCGCGTCGTTTGGCACCCAGTCTCCTCCTCTGGAGGCCACCGGCCAGGAGAAGCCCATGGGCGTGTCGTCTGTGAGTGGCGAGAAGCCTGAGGCTGTGCCCGATGCTCAGCAGAGGCAACGTGAGTCGCTGCGTGGTATTATTCCTGTGGCGTGCGCTGACTAGTGTGTAATCGTAGAGTACTTCCCTGAGGACGTGGAGACGGGGAAGCAGAGTGCTGATCAGGTGGGATCCGGAGTGCCGTCGGTGAGTGGTCGGTTCGGCAGGGTGGCTTCTGGTTGATTGAGATTCTGACCGAGCGTTGAATATTTGAATAGGAGGGCAAGACGAAGGAGGACTGATTGGTGGTTGGGTTGCGTGCCGCGTGTCGAGAACTCGATATGCTGAGTTGGCGGGATAGAACTCATCATGTCTTGTATGCCACCGAGTTCTTTTCGTCTATATTCTGTCTAATGCATCATGGGGATGGCAGGCCAGCGTGATATTCTCAATGCAGAGTTTCGCTCATCTAATCTATCACCATCAAGTTTGGATGAATGCGACAGCGGTCATAACAAGGACGCGGCCAGTTGTCAAAAGCGCAATGTTTAGATCCTTCGAGTGCCCAGTAAGGACATCAAAAGTCTAGTGAGTAACGCTGTGTTTCACAAGAAAGATATAGCAGTAGCAATCATCTTCCACCGTGAGCCGACAAGAAAGATGGTTCATGCTAGTGGTTCGGGATATTCGCGTAGATTCATTGAGTTTTTAATTCACGACATCTTCAAGCAACAACGAGAAATTTCTATTCTGGAAGGCGATCCAATATACAAGCTGTATGGTAAACATTGAACACTACAAAAGCAATCCATAATGAAGCAGTTGGCGAGAAAGAGATTAATACAGGTTGCAGAAAAATGTGAGAGAGGCAGCAATACATGATGAGGATTGGAGAAGTGAAAGATGTAGATGGTGCAGTGATTCCGTGTGAAAGTAAGACAGAAAGGTAGACTGAGGAAGACCGTAGCATACCGTCACACATTCGATGCCGGCTACTTGTCCTAGAATTCAGGACATTGAAAATATGCGGGATACTCACGCAGATGCCGGTGGAGGTCTTCAAGCGACTTGTATGGCCAACGCGGGTCTTCGATCAAATGTGCGACACAGCCTCTCGTGATGGCCTTCCAGTGTGCCTTTAAGCAATAATCCCGCTGGCTCGCATAGTCGCATCCGGGCCAAGGGCAGTGGTATAGCATGACCGGTGCGCACTTCATCACCATCCGGTCGTCGAAGTGTGAACGATCGTCTTCATGTCGCTTGAGGTCCTTGACCTCATCGAATGTCCATGGACATCCCCGCGCCCTGAAGCGGCAATGCTGCTTGCGGTTGCATTGTACCTCCTTCTTCCGGAAGAGGTCCCATAGAACCTTTGAAATAGATTGTCAATGATATGTCTCGGAGGTGAAGTGAAGAACTCACCAGATCCCCTTCATCTGCCTGCTGACCGTCCGACTCGGCCGGTGGCGCATTCTCGTCGTTCTCCTCTCTGTGCTTCCGCTTGCGAGATGTTGCCTTCGCACCAAGCTTGGCCGCCAACGCCTCGTTCCGACGTCGCCGAACAAATTGTTGCATGCTGCTGGAACGGATAGATGAGGAACCCGCCTTCGAAAGGGACTCTGCGGAGGCAGGAGGAAGCGAGCGCGCTTTTTTTGCAGGCCTATGTTGGACAGCATCAGGCAGGGGTGCGTTCTGCATGAGAGTCTGCAAGGGCGCGAGTGCAGGTGCAGACGGGTACTCTGGCGCGTCAGGAGGAAGGGTAAAGTCAAAGTCATTACTCCAAGTAAGACCCTCCACAGCCGAGGGTCCGACCAGAAGTGGGTCACTCAGCATTTTAGGCTCAGGCAAAGTGCGACTATACCGCGGTGCAATGCTGGACCACGATGATCCAGCATCTGGAGACGATGTAATTGACGATAAAGAGGCAGGAGGGATAGGCCAGTCCCCTGCAACGCCTACAGGCATGTCTGGGATCGTATATCCAAAAGTAGGAAGTTCGGAGCCGGTGGGAGAGTAAGTGCCATCCAGGGAAAAAGGAGCCGAGTCGAGTCCGTATGAAGGAGCGCATGTATCCGCCTGCATGAACAAAGACTCATCCCAGAGATAAGACGGCGAGAGATCCTGTGGCACTGGTGGCAATGGGTGGTCAACAGAACGAGAGGCGGTTGGGACCTTACGCGGTGTGGCGGGTGCTATATCGGTGGCGCGACTAGTTCTGGTAAGAGGCAGCCAACCCCACTTTGGCGACACTGTGTGTGACATATCAGCCTGCGAGATGATAATAAATGCGACTAGATATAGCGACGTACAAGGAGTGGCGGGCAAGTCCATGCTGGCGAGGATGCTCGCTTCGAGAGCATAATTGCGTTGAGATGGGAACGTTGATGGCAATCCAGTTCCGCGATAGTCGAAGCTTCCAGTATCGGCGAAATAAGGATACGTCAACCATGCATCGG